AGATCTGTCTAATATATTTGGAATTGTTACTGCAGTTCAAGCAAAAGCTGCTCAGCACTTACTTGGATATCCCAGCACCGATTGGCTGTGAAAGGCTCATCCACAAAACGAGTCCATTTTTGCCCATTCCATCGGTACTGGCGCTTTGGATACCATTCGAAATGCTCAGCAAGGATAGGATCTTGGATTAACCCCAGTGCCCAGTCCCATAGATCGAGATGATGGAATGGATAGCTCTGGATAGAGTCCCCATAGTCTGCTTTGATTGTGGTGCAGGTGAACTGTGGACGTGATGTTATAATATATTCAATACTTTATGATTGGTGCACATCTTACGTGTGTAGAATGAAGAGCATTGCTCTTCTCCCACAGACTATCCAGGTCCTTGCACGATTTGATATGAAAGTTGGCAGGGTTGGCAGTGATACCAGATATCAGACAGAGTAGACTTGCAATCTCGCCTTCATTGAGCCCAGTTTTAGCCGTGAACTCTGCAAACTCGAATTCGAGACGAGACTCAAAAGGATGATGTGGGGACTTCGCAGCCTGATACGTAGACTGTGTGATAGGTGTATCATGACGGAGACTGTCGGCATGTCGGACGAAGGCCGGACATCGGGAGTGCGGATGGTACTCTGTCTTGATGTCGCCAACCTTCGGATTACCATCCTCCGAGGGCCACTGAGGCGTTGAATCCAATGTCCCTTCAGATGGAATGGTATCACCGGACAGCCCAGGTACGTTAGAGTCTTGCACATCAGTGCCACGATCTTGATTACATGAAACGGAATAAGTGTGTGGCTACCAGGAGAAAGAGTAATATATACCATCAGAGTCCACTGCCTCTGTGGCTATCAGCGACAGCGAGCAATCTGATTCAGACGAACGGGCTGATTTCCCATCAGCTGCGACTTCGGGGGGCCAAACATGCTCACATACCAATGAGGGGAGAAACAACCTGTGAAGCGGAGGCGGAGGGAGCGTGCAGATGTTCAGCGGACCCCGAGCCGGCGGATGACGCTTCAACCCAGGTAAAGACGTCATTTACATGCTTACACAGATATCAGGAGTCATAACTCACCTGGCACACGAGACGCGGTGAAGATATCCGCTCGTTTCTGCTGCTCTACCTCTCTCTTCCTGCGACAAGACTCCGTATGGCGTGGGAGACCAGCCGGGGTGAACGTTTTGCCACAGATCGCGCACGGAATCTTGGAATCCGAAGGTTTTGGCCCCCGAGGGCGAGACGAAGCCATAAGGGAGTCGCAAATGGAATGGGACGACAAGGGGATGATGGGCGACGAATGATGGCAGATAGAGGTCGTCGAAGGTCTGCAAATAGGAGAGATGGCATATGATCGGCACACGCAGACGCAAACCTCGAGGATGGAGGGCATACCGTATTAGCAGAGGCGGCAGATGCTCCCGGGATATCCGCGAAGTGATGGACGCCGTTGGGAGCTACTTGGAGTGATATGAGAGGTGAATGCATGCCAGTCAATCCAGAACTCACTTACCGCGAGATATTGAGACAAGGAACGGCACGGAGCCGCGAGGAGAGGGCGAAAGTCGATCGTGGCGGGGAGCAAGTGCGACGGGAAGCCGGGCAAGCTCCCGTGCGATATCGCCAGCGTCTGGCAATGGTGCCGAGGAGATTGCCACGGCATGGGGATATCGATCCGAGGTTGCCGGATCCGGCTTGCAATGGCGCCGCAAGATAGCCGCCTTGCAAGACGCCTTGGGTTTTTCCGACATCTGGTCGACACCTCCGCGGCCCACCGCACCGAAATCTGGCAGCCGCATCTCCGCGCGCAGCCGCAGAACCGTACGGCTGTGCGCTGGACGATGGATCGATGACGTCCGTGCTGCAGGGTGCTTCGCGCCCCCTGGTCCCTCGCTATCTTGACGTAAATACAAGCCTGCAGGCGCGCGCCGTGGCTAACGGCGCGGGGCTGCGAGTGGGTGGGCGGAGCGGTCCCGGTTCTCGAACTGCAAGCGCGCGCTCCCTGGCACTCCGGACGCCAAAGAGGCAGGAAGTCGGCGCTGTCGGGCGGGAGCCCAGGCGAACGACCGAACTCGCGCACTATCCCCGTCGCGGGCCCGTTGGGCCCGTCGTGGCTTTCGGACGTCTTGACGAGCCTGGCAGGAGAGCCGCGGACGCGGACGCGAGTGTTATCGCCGGGCGGGGGCGGCAGCGGCGCTCCCCGGCGGAGTCGTACGTACGGAGTCCGCTCCCAGCCATACCTGCGTTATCTTGGGCTGCAGCTATCGCCCGCGAAGCCCGACGGTCGAGTCGTCCGCTCTCAGGCGTGCGTGCCGCGCAGAGAAGCGCAAAGATCGCAGCTCGATCGGGACAAAGTGTGGCTTCTGCAGCCGCGCGCCGGATAAGCCTCGCGCGGGGTCCTGTGCCCTGTCGTCGCCGGCATTCCGCGCGTTCCGCCGGGCCGCCATGGTGCAGAGCAGCCCGGGCGCGTGCAGCCCGGCGTGAATGCCCTGGGAGCGGATCCAAGAGACGACGACGCGGGGAGACGGCGGCGGGAGGGTGGCGGGGGTGGACTGCGACAGCGTTGGGGTGTGTGAGCTTTCGCGAGCTGAATGGCGGGTGGGCTCTAATCGAAACCTGGGCATGGAGCGGTGGCGGGGAGCAGTGGTGACGCCAGGGGTGCGCGAGAGTCGAGGTGTTCGAGCGCGAGCGCAACTTGGGCTGAGGCCGAGGGAGAAACTTGGGGCTGGGGGCTGGAGACGACGGCTGGAGGCTTGCGGGCGACGCGTCGTAGCTTGCGCGACGGCGTGCGCGGGTCCGGGGTGGTAGAAGAGGGAATCTCGGACGACGTAGTGGTGGCTGCGGGAAAGGCGTGGCAGGGCGAGGATGGTGGAAGGGAGCAAAAAAGAAACTTGAGGGGTGCGCGGGTAGAGCACGCCAGGAAACCAGGCCAGTGTTGTATCTCTCACTATTGCTCGGTCTGGGCGGAAGTGACTCAACGCAGCCTCGCTCGACGCTTCCGACTTCGCCAGCCCGACTCCCAAACGCGTGGCATCGCGATTCGAGTTCCTGGCGCACGAGGCAACGAGGTGCCTGTGTTCTCACGCTGTGAATGTGTGAGTCTGTGGGCACTGGGCCACCTTGAAGACGTGGCGAAATAGGTGAATGAGTCGCTCACGTGACGTAGCCTTACCTTTTGACCATACATTTGGAGCCGATGTCTTCATCGCTTAGAGAGTTTGCGATACTGTACAATTGACGACGATTTCGGGGTGTATCGCGCACGGGTTCATACTACTCCGGTGAGTTTCGGTGACGTGCACGTCATTCCTGTAAGCGATCGAGATAGTCTCGAATGGAGGTATGGGGAAAGAACACACCAAGGTGTATTGTTCCGGAGACGAGCGCTCAGCCTAGCATGACGACGTGGAGACGCAGCTGACGACATGGTTGTATCCACGTGAGAGCTAAGGTTTGTGCGCAGTGAACGTGGTGTCCTTGGCGATCATACAAATACCATACGATGAGAATGGTTGTGTCCAGCGCTGGCAGGTTAATCAGGAGGACCGGCCTTGCCCCAGTTTAATGAGACTTGAACTGTGTGTCGCGACAAGGAGCTCTGGAATTCTGAAATATCGCAATAAGCAGGGATGTACTAACCTTGCCGCTCCAAAAAGCTACTTGCCTCAAGTGCTAGTCGAGACGAACGTCGAGCGAAGAGGTCATTTGGCATTTCCCGGGAAGCTCCGGCGGCGCTCGGCGGGTCCACCGCGCGAACAAGATACCAAACGCGGAGCTCCTCCTCCCACGGCGCTTCAAAACCGTCTCTCCTCTGCTGACCTCCCAGCGACGCGGGTCTTCGAGATCCGGAGAACCGTGGAGTGGCGACATCCGCGACCCTTTTTGACACCCCCGCCACCCGCGTCCGACGACGTCAGGACGACGTCCGCTGCCCTTCCGGTCGCGCGCAACGCGCGTCAGCTGCCCCCTCGCCTCGGAGGGATCCCCAAGCGCCCGTCGAAGCCCCACAACGCGAGCACGACCCGTGGTGCAGCGCACCCGCGCGCGTGACGGACGGCGCAGAGGACGGAACGTCGACGACGTCTCACGAGGAGGACGGCCTCCTTCGCGGCCGCGGTCTGCTGACCGCCTTTCTTTCGCGTCTCGCGTTTCGCGGCCCCGCTCGCTCGCTCGTCGTGCAGCGCGACGTGTTGTTTGCGCGGGTGCCGCCACAAAAGACTGCGCGTGACCTTCGGAAGGCGAGCAACGAAAGTGCGATGACGCCACGGGCCCAACAGCTGGTTAACTACGGAGGCCAACGAGCGCAATTTAAAACGTGCATTAATTCGATCACGCGATCGCGACCGGCAACGCCCGTGATGACGTCGTGGCGACGTCGGGTCCCCCCCTCGAGTGGGAGGGGCGCGATGGTCTCGGAGCCCGGAGCAGAATCCGATCGCGAACCTCGGCCGGGGCGCACGGTGGTGGCCGGCATGTGCGTGCACGGGCGCGACGCGTGCTGCAGAGGGAAAGATGCCGCACAGTTCGAACGCACACACGGGACGTCCGGGGGGAAAATCGAGTGTATACAGCGGCGGGCGCGGAGGAGTTGTGGGGGCTATTCATACATACACACATGTGTGGGGCGGGCCGGATGCGTATGTGCACGAAACGAGGATGACATGTGACAGGGACAGGGGGAAGAGAGAGAGAAAGAGAGCAGAATGCGAGAACAACAGCAGCAGACAGACAGACAGAGACGGACAGCGAGCGACTGGGGGGAGTAGACCGTGTCCGGACGCGTGAGAGGAGGGGAGGTATGATGTTGCGGAGGCGCGCGCGGGGGTGCGGTGGAGGCGGATCCGGAGGGCGAGTGCGGGGCGCCGGGGTGGAAACGGGGGGAAGGGGGAGGGGTATCGGTGTCGAGCGGCGCGCGGCGTGTTCCCCGGCACTCACCCACACACATTCCGTATTACAGTACTTTCAGCAACCTTCAGAGGCCACTGGCCGGCGACGCTCACGCGGGCACCCGCCGCGCCGCCGCCGCGCGACACTGGAAGCAGTCGTCCTTGACGGTGTCGATGTCCTTCTGGATGTCGGGCCCGAAGTTCTGAGCGGGGAGATGGCGTCAGCGGTGCGCGAACGTGCGCGAACGCAGGGAGGATAATGGGGCGCTCGCGACATCCTGCTGGCGGCATGGCGCGAGACACCCCCGATCGCGCGTGGGGAGGGAAAAATGGCATGACAGGGGTGCGCACGTGAGCGCGCCCGCGTCTCCTCCCCCGTGACGGAGACGGCGGGCGGGAATGCGGGGGGTGTGGTGAGGAGCAAGTGGGGTGCGCAAGGGTGACGTTGCGGTGGGCGTGCGCGACGGGGGAGAACAAGTGGAAAGGCGCGGTGGCGGTTGGAAAAGAAAGGGAGGAGAAGGACGGGAAACGAACCTGGACGCAGTACGGGTCTCGGCAGGATTTTGAGTGGAGGTAGCTGCGCGTGCACTTGGACGAGTTGCAGTCGACGATGGCGACGACGAGGTGGCGCTGGAAGTGCTGTTCCGCGCGAGGGCGGGCGAGGGGGGAAGAGGCGCGCGGTCAGCATGAGGGCTCAGGTGACTCGTGCGTCATGCACGGACTGACCCCACACTTGGACCACCGCGTCCCTTCTCTACGGGGGGAGGCACCGACGTGAGCGTGCGCGCCGGGGAGAGTCGAGCGAGAGGACGTACGCGATTCGCTGGCACATCGTTGGTGGCTTCTTTGAGGATGAGGAGAGGTTGGGCGGGTGGTAGGCGGTTGGCACACAGGATGGTCGGGGGCGTCGAGGACAAGCAGGGACAACGGGGGAGAGGGCGAGGGTGGACGACGAGTGTGTCGAAGTGGTCGACGCGCAAAAAGACGGAGGAGGGTGTGAGTCACGTTGACGGGGGCGGGAAGGACGGGCGGCCTCCCGGTTTTTATGCGCCAAGCGGGGAGGGGAAGCGCCCGGGCGAGTATCCAGATATCGCGTCCGAGGACAATCGCCCGGCGGGTGCTCGTGCCACTCCTTCGAAGCCCTTGGTTCGGCAGGCCCGCGCCCGCCTACACTCGCCGTCCTTCCTTCTCGGACGGCCGGTGCACGCCTTCCCCGGCGTCCCTGGCGCAATTACCGGCCACGCGGGCTCGCAGCCGCGCCTTCCCTTTGCACACCCACGCATATTACTTGGGTCCCCACCTATACGCGATCGAGCTCTGTTCCAGGAAGGCATCGCGCTCGTCCAATCGCCGCGCAGAACGCCTACACAGATGGCTGACACCAGCGAAGGCGAGCGACCTGCCTCCCCTCCCGACTCCAGCTCAGTCCTGCCTGATCCAGCCCGGCTTCCGCCAGATCGCGCCGCGCCTTCTTCCTGATCGACCTCTCCTCGTCTTCCTCTCCTGCCGGGGCGTCACATGGCCAGCGCGTGAGATGCGCACCAAAGCTTGCGGCGCGACGCACGCACACCCTCATGCCGAGATGGCGACCGCCGACAGCACTTGGAAGGCGCCATCCGGCGACATTCCAGCCATCTCGTCATCGCCCTCCCGAGTCCTCGTCTTCGTCCTCGATCGTCCTCCGACGCCCGGAGGACGCGCTCCTTGCGCCCCGGACCGCCCGTCGACATTTCACAACCCACGCGCACCAGCGCAGACGTGCGCGACCGCCCTTCGCAGCTCGCGCTCCCACTCGCTCCACGCGCACGCGTCCTCTGCCGCAGTCTGTGTGCTCGCGCGCGAGGCACACACGCGCACCGGCCGAACGTGCGCGCGCGCGGGTTCTGGCGCGAGCTTCCACGGAGAGCGTCCGCGGGCGCGCGCGGGAGCGTTATCTCGATCAGAACCCGCGCCTTCGAGTCGCACACAAATTTCGCGCGCGATTGCGGCTGGCCTTCCGCATCCGGCCGCTGCTGCCTTTGGATCTGACCGCGGGTGCCGCCGTCTCCGCCGCTCGCGCTTGGCAGACGGCACCGTGCGGCGTGGACGGGCAGTTTTCGGTTTTCAGCCTCGCTGCAGGCTCCGTCCGGGCAGCGACTACGCCCTTTGCGTCCACGCCCATCGAGCCCGAATCGACCGCGCCGCCCAGCTGCGCGCGCGCGCGCGAACGCTGGAGGATCTGCAACGCGCCCCGAGCTCTCCACGGCCCACGCTACGTTGACTTGTCAATGTCTGCCAGTGCTGCCATCGATCGCGCGCGGACGCGGGGCCGGATCTAATCGGAACCGCGTGCTTATCTTATCTCTGCCCGTCCGGATCCGGATCCCCTCTCTCGAACTCCCTCGGCCCATCGCGCGGCGTGGACGCATCGATCGCGGCGCGCGCGGGAAGCTTTTATCGATTGTATGAGACTGAAGGTTGAAAGCGGATGCTGCTGCGGCTTACGAGGAACGGTGCTGTCGTTTCGACAGCCAGCGCGTTCGTATTGAGCGTGTCGTCGCGGTCATATTGTGAACGTGGCGCAGACACCGGTTCCGCTGCTTCCGAAACGAGAGCAGGCACGTCGAAACACAGTTCAACACGCGAAGGCAAGGAGGTACCCGTCTTCTTCGCACCGCGTGAGTTCGCCTGCCCGCCTGCGCACGCCCAGGACGACGGAAGCTGTCGAAGACTCGAAGTGGCGATCGCCCGCGTGGACGACATGGATATGCAGGCACGCGCACCCCCCGGCACCGTCGCTTCCGCCCGCTGTACTTACGCCGTGTGCGGTGTGTGGGTTCACGTATGGACGTTCATGAACGAGGATGATGCACTGATGACGCGGACGAGGAAGCTCGACGTCCGCGGAAGCCCAGAAGCGGCCTCGGCACGCAGTACGCATCGCCTCCCGGCCGTGCGCGTCCTGGTGCGAAGACCAGAGAAGCACGGCCGACAGAGATCGGTACCTGCGCGCGCGTGCAGTCCGGTGTTTGCGTCGCGCGAACGCGGTTCGAACGGCGTGCCTCGCGGCTGCAGACCGAAGGTGCGCACGCGGACGAGCGGCGAGTACGCGGCGCGCGAGTACGCGAGCGCAGGCCGAGGGCTAGGCTGACAGGGTGTCCGCCGCGTACCGTACTGGTCCAAGGGGGACCAGCCGAGGACGTGTTTGGCAGCAGAAGCCGCGGGCTGAAGAAAGCGCGACCCCCGGAATGTCAGCGACGCGCGGCGCGACGCCGCACGCGCAAACCACACCTTCCGCCCTCGGACGGCGCAGATGCGACGTTCGAATCAGCCGACCTCCCCCCGCCGCCCGAGGATTACGATTACACAGCATCGGGAGGCTAGGACAGCCCTGCAGGCGCAGTCGCGGTCGCCCGATGAAGTGGACAATGGGCGTGGGGTGAGCGTGGGTGCGTCGCCCCGACGAGGCGGACGGGTACAGAAAACAGACCTCGTCCAAACCCGACTCCGAGGATGGCCGTGCGCGCGACATCTGGGGTCCCTAGAGCGGGTGTCCAGGTGTCCTCGTACCAAGCCTGTGGATCCATGGCCCTGCCCCCGTGACCGCACGACGCGCGCGGGCCCGCGACGTTTGAGCCAAACTGCCAGTGTCAGTGTCAGCGGTAGCCTTCGCCTCGTGTCCTCCCCCATTTACTTCCGCGGCGCGCGGGTCACCAGTGCGCCTCCAGATCACGACGGACGGACTAGCAGCCTCGTGCCGTGATCCACGAGCCCCCGACGAGCGCGGCTGCGGTGGCCATCGCCCGCACGAACAGGCCTGCACAGCACCTGCAGGGTCTGGTCTGGTCAGGTCCGCGCACCCAAGGTGACGTTCGAAGGAAGGCACTCGAGATCAAACCCGGCAGCCTGGGGGGACACGCTGCGGACACGCGGAGCAGCAACGATTCAATTCTGTATGACGCGACGGACGCATACCAGTACAACAACACCCCGAGTACAGCCCCGTGCCGCGCCCGCGAGCACGATGGTGCCGTCACCGATCGCGGCCCTCGTCCCGTGGCGACTCCGCCACCCCCGCATCCGCCTTCGGATCGGGCGTGGCACTCGCACGGTCGAGGCGGACGACGACGAAGCGCCGCGTGAGCTGGTTGAACACGCTCCCGAAGATGAGCGCGATGAGCGTGCAGCTCATGATGATCACGTTGTACGGCATGCTGAAGTCCGGGGTCGCGAGGTCGACGAGCAGCGCGGGCGTGTACACGCGCGTCGACCGGCCTGAGCCTGGCCTGAGTGCGGACCCGTTCCCGAACGCGAAGGGTGCGAGCACCGCCGGCGGCAGGTCCCAGCCCCGCTGCGCGTCGGGCTGGTGCTCGGTGTACCGGAGGAAGGCTTTGGCGACGTCCATCGTGAGCACCAGGGTTGCGTGTGCGGGGAGCGTCAGCGCGGCTTGCAGGAGCGCGGGGCGCCCGTGGGGCTCTGGCGGTGTGTAGGCGAGCACGGACACGAGGTCATCTGGGGAAAGCTGTCGTGTCAGCGTAGGTGCCCTTCAGGCACTTCGCGCAGTAGACTGACCACGTAGGACCCCATCCACGCGCGCTTCGAGTGTGTGGAGGTAGAACTGGAGGTGCCAGGGCATGGTCTCGAGGTAGCCCGTGCGGACCTCGACCGGCAGGTTGTTCCTCACGCTGAGCGCGAACTGGGCGTTGGCCTGGTTGACGCCCTTGAGCGTGCGGTGGACCGAGATGTCAGCCAGCGGCGGAACCTCCGACGACTTCGCTGTCGCAAAGGTCAATCAGGGCGAGCGAACAGAACGGGGCAGTGCGCACGATACACGAAGTGCTCCTCCTCCGGCCAGCGAAGCGCGACATCGAGCGCCTCGATTTCTGCATGGGGAACGGTAAGTTCGGGGTACCGGGCCAGAAAGCGCTCCGCGGCGTACTAGCGTCGACCTCGTATGTCGCAATCCCGTTTGCGACTGTGGTCGGATCCGGTGTTATCGAGTACGGTGACGGGTCGCCCGGGAGCTCCACTCGGACCTTGCTGCGCCGAGCGACTGGGCAAGCACGTTCGATCGTGCGGTCGAAAAGCGAGTGAAGCGACCAATCTGCGAGCGTGACATTCAGCATGACCAGTGTTCTCCGCAAGGTTCGCATGAAGACTCACCTCGGCGGGCATCATGGGAATAGCGAACCGGGTCGAAGACGCCCTGGAAGGTGAGTCGCAACTCCACTCCGATCTCCTCAATGTAGCGCACGTGGACGCTGAGGCCATGCCAATCCGCATCGAAGAGTTTGTGAGGGTTGAGAAGCGTCGCGATTCCAGAGGACGACTTGCAGGGCAGGAGCTTGAGGAAGGGCGTGAGGTTCTCGGTGCATACGTGTTGCGAGGCGAGGATCGCGTGCCGAAGCTGGTGGGGGTAGGTAAAGTTGGGGAGCGCGCCTTCAGGCTGGAAGGTGAGGTAGGGGCTGGTAGTCCGCTGCTCGTCCAGGTGTCCTAATGACGCGCAGAACAAGCCGCCGAGCCCGTTTCGCAGGCCCGACCATCGCCGGTCAAGGCTGGGAACGCGTCAATGCAGGAGGAAGAGAGAGAAACTCCAGTACTCACGAAGATGTCGTGCTCTCTCCCATCCACGCCCACAACTCTCCGCCAGTGCCCACTCCAGATTCTTCCGGATACCCCCATGCGTCGTAATCCCACCTTCCGGCGTTAAGAGAGAGATGAAGCTCCGTCACGGCGTATTCACGGAGCAGCTGCCCCAAGGCAAGAGGGAAGACGGTATAATGCTGCGCTACAAGCGATATGTAGGCGTGACGATGCGCATATAGTTGACGAACGCACCGTTATCATCATCTGACAGCGCTTGTGGGTCTCTGGGAGACGATCCTTTCAAGTGGGTCGTGAACTGGAAATTGGCCATGAGTTTTCCGTCGCGTAGGGGCCGAAGCGACAAGTCTTCATCAAATACTTCATGGCTTGCTGCTGCCGCTGTGACAACAAGATGAAGGGCGAAGATGAGAGAAGAGCGCCAGCAGCAGCCTGCTTTCATCGCGTTGCGTTCGAGGTCGCTAGAGAGAGTAGCAAAACACAAGGCTGGTGGGTGGAGAGAGGTCAAAGTTGCAGCTTGTCGCGGTGGCCAGCGGTGGCCGCTGCCAGTCACGACTAAGCGCCAATGACGTCTCGGTATGGACGGGCGCCTAAAGACACTCTCTACATCTCCGTCTTAGCGCCGATGGCAACCGCAGCAACTCAAGCACTCAAGTCCGAGCCAGGTTCGACTTTGGTTCGCCCTGTTTTTGTCACGGTCAACGTCGTTTCCGCCGGGTCGTGCCTTTTAAGCAACGGTAAGTGTAGTCCAGCCCATTCTCCTTGAATTTGTCAGATGTGTAGATAAGTTTTGGTGAGCGGCGCAACATAAGTAGAGGATCTCGGTTCGCATTTTGCTAGGTATCTACTCATTGCTATCCCGCGAGGCATATGGATACACACACCTTGCAGGCCCAATGCACTACTAACATTATGCTCGTCTTCTAGCATGTCAGGCGTGTCGTCTAGAAAATTTACCATCGAGGTCGCAAACGAAGATGAGCCCATCTCGCGCGCGACCCGACGCGTCGTGATCAATGTGGACATCATGAAGCAGGCCAAGCTTTACGCTGGAGACGAAATCGCCATAGCTTCCCCAAATTCCACGAAAGTGAGCACACAATCGTCAATCGCCAGCCGTCTTCGAAAGCTCGCCCGCCTTCCTCATGATCATCTCGGTCGCAGGCGATCGCGGTGGGCGTTGCATGGCCCTCTTCCGACATCTCTCAGGACCGTACGTACCTTCCCATCCTTTACCACGACAGTACTCTGATTTGAGCGCGACTCCCAGGCATACTCGTCAGCCCACCACTGCTTCTGACTGCGAGGGTGTCGCAGGGGTCCACGGTCAACATATTCCCGCTCGGTTCTTCCAAGATTCCCCGCGGAGTTCCGTCTCTCCGGAACGCCGTCGTGGCCCACATTGTCCGTATCAATGAGTCCCTCGCAGGGTCCGACGCGGTGATCCCCGACGTGGTGAAGGGGAAGCGGCGAGACTGGCTGATGTTGGCAGTCAAGGAAGCGTTGGGTGGGTAATGGCTTTCCCTCGATATCGTGCCTTTCATTCAGCTGAATTCCCACCCCAGTGGAATTTGGGCTCATCACGATCACCCAGACGTTCGACCTAGCGTATGAGGGAAAGACGAGGCGGATATCTCTGACGTCCGTATCGGCGGTGGGAGAAGCGGCGGATACGACGACCCTCGACGAACAGCTGGGATCACTATCCTTAAAGGACGCTCCTGCGAAACTCTGGTCCGTCACCTGGGACACGACCATCGTGCTTGACGTGGAGGATCCGAAAGAGAAGCCCGAGAGCACTCCAGAAGTCAGTGGTCACTATGCTCTGCTCACACGAACGCTCATCTCCGCTTCATCCCCCCTCTCGCAGGATTCCGGTACGGCGGTCCAGCGCGGGGTCGCCCCTGACGCGTACGCTGCCGTTGGCGGACTCGACAAGCAGATCGCACAGATCCGAGACCTGATTGAGATCCCGCTCACCCGCCCCGAGCTCTTCCGCCGATTCGGTGAGTCTCGTCCCATGGCCCGTCCACCCCTCTGTATCTGACCCTCTCGTCTCCTCGGCGCCCTGCCATAGGCCTGAAGCCCCCGCGGGGAATCCTTCTGCACGGCCCCCCGGGGACGGGCAAGACGCACCTCGCGCGCGCGATCGCGGCGTCCACCGGCGCCGCGGTGCTCACCGTGAACGGCCCCGAACTCTCGTCCGCGTACCACGGCGAGACCGAGGCGCGGCTCCGGGACGTGTTCGCAGAGGCGCGCGGGCACGCGGCGTGCATCGTCGTGCTCGACGAGGTCGACGCGCTGTGCCCGCGGCGCGAGGACGGCGCGGGCGGGGAGGTCGAGAAGCGGGTCGTCGCGCAGCTGCTCACGCTCATGGACGGCATGGACGCCGGGGAGAGCGGAGATGGGAAGGGCAAGGTCGTGGTCGTCGCGACGACGAACCGGCCGAACGCGATAGACCCCGCGTTGAGGAGGCCGGGGAGGTTCGACAGGGAGATTGAGATCGGTGCGTGGTTTGTCTCCGCGCGGAGATGTGACGGTGAAGTGTACTCGCGACAGGCGTCCCCGACGCGGAGGCGCGCTTCGCGATCCTCAAGGTCCTCCTCGCCAAGGCGCCCCACACCCTTTCGGACGACGACCTCCGCGCAGTCGCCGCCCCCGGGCACGGCTACGTCGGCGCCGACCTCTCTGCCGTCGTCCGCGAGGCGGGCACCCTCGCGATCAAGCGCTGGCTCGCCGCCTCTCCCGGCTCCCCTTCCCGTTTGTCTCCTTCGCCGACTGCTGGAGAGCCGGTGCTGGAGCTCGCGGACCTACGCGCGGCGCTCCCCGCGGTGCGGCCCTCGGCGCTCCGCGCGCTCGTGCTCGACTCTGCCCCGGTGCGGTACGCGGACATTGGCGGGCAGGCGGCGGCGGTCGCGCGCCTGCGCGAGTGCGTCGAGTGGCCGCTGCGGCACCCGGAGGCGTTCGCGCGCCTCGGGGTGGGGGCGCCGCGCGGCGTGCTGCTGTACGGTCCGCCGGGGTGCAGTAAGACGTTGCTTGTGCGGGCGTGTGCGACGGAGAGCGGGGTGAACTTCTTGGCGGTCAAGGGGCCCGAGGTGAGTTCAACAGATGAGAGTGAATTGGAGGGAGTTGATTCAAGGCGTGACTGGGTAGCTTCTGAATAAGTACGTGGGTGAGAGCGAGAGGGCGGTCAGGGAGATATTTGGCAAGGCAAGAGCTGCGGCGCCTGCGATCATATTCTTCGTGGGTTTGACTTCGTTTCAAAGACAGATGAATGCTTACAATCTTTGCATATGGTAGGACGAAATCGACGCACTGGCAACATCGCGGTCAGACTCAGGTGGGGGTGCGCACGAGGGCGTGCTTACAAGCCTACTTACTGAGATGGACGGCGTCGAGGCGCTGAACGGGGTCACCGTCGTGGCCGCTACGAACCGCCCGGATGTGATTGTAAGTGCGTTGGAACATACAACGATCATCTGACTGAGTGCCACAAGGACTCTGCGCTCATGCGTCCCGGACGGCTGGACCGGATACTGTATGTCGGCCCGCCGGACCTCGAGGGACGCAAGGAGATCCTCCAAATCCGCACTCGCACAATGAGCATCGAACCTGGCGAATACCTGAGCGATATCGCAGCGTTGGTTCGTTTTAGCGTGCGGTGTTCTCGGAGATAGAGGGGTGGCTGATAGCTAATGTCAACAGACGGAAGGATGCTCGGGTGCGGAGATAACGGCGTTGTGCCAGGAGGCTGCGCTTCTGGCGATGAAAGCGGACATCGACACACCCTTCGTGAGTCTCGGCCTTTCATTTCATTGCGGCTAGTGACTGAAAATTTGCCAGGTTCCCCGCGGGGCGTTCATGGAGGCGGCGAAACATATCAAGAAGCAGATAACTCCTGAGGTGGTGGCAACGTACACAGCGTGGAGAGACAAGAATGGTCTAGTAGATGCATGATGCGTATGTGTATGCTTCATCATAGGTTGTACAGACTGGTGAACCATCCCGTCCACTTTCCCTCTGTTCTCGCTTCCATGGCTCCCACTCCGACATCTGTAACCTTCACCTATACCCGTGAGCATCGCTGGTTCCTCGCGGAGTAGTGGAGGCTGTAAGAATTCGGGTGATGGCACCGAGCGATACGCAGAGCAATGTGTGTCCGAAGATGGAAAAAGTCTCTTTAGTCACTGTCGTTGTATCTACTTCACATATTAAACTGCATCTCTGATCCCATTCGTCAAGTCTGTCGTATCTCTGCCCTGATGTCTTCAAGGAGCTGCGCACTGCTGCTCCGCCGCGATGTCCCACTGGGTCCGGAGCGTGGCGCCATCGTAGCTGAACGCGGGGAACTCGCCCGTACCCGTGGGGAGGGTGGTCGCGGTGGTCGCCACGCACTGTGCCGTGAACTGATTAGTGATGCCCGCGGGGAGCACGAGCTGGCCGGTACGCGCTACAAGAACGGCAGTCAGTCAGACTACGCGCGCACGAAGACGGAAGAGAAGAGCACGCACTGCTGCGGTTGAGCAGGGAGAAGCGCACGACGTTCACGGCGCTGATACCCGGGGCGACGCGCGCGATGTAGTCTAGTCGCGCCTTCTCCTTCTGCTGCTTCGTGACCGGGTTCGAGGAGTCGCCGACGAGTGTCTCGGGGAGGAACACCTTCCTGATCACGTTCTCCCAGTTCCCCGCCGTTTTCGCGAAGATCGCGCAGAGCATCGGGGTCGTGCCCGGGTTCACCTTCGCGTTGTTGTTCGCGAATGCGATCGCGCTGGACGAGCAAGTGCTCGTGAGCGGCAGCACGAGGGGCAACTGCGAAAGAGCTCACATGTCCTTGTCGTCGGTGATGTACACGCCGGGACCGTTCTCGGCGTCCGCGCCGCTGGTGCCGGCACTTTGCTTGGAGCTGAAGTCGAAGAAGTCGAAAAAGCCGCTCGGCTTCACTGGCTTCTCGAGCTGCCCCTTGGCCGCCCAGAACGTGGCCGTGTCCTGTGCGTGCACACGCGCCCCGATCAGCAGGCCTCCAAACGGGACGGGGGAGGAAGATGAGAACGTACGCTGTTGGTGCCGTGCCAGCCGATGAAGTCCGCGGCGACGACGCGCTTGCCGAAAAGGTGATCGAACTCGGAGAATGCGCGCTCGCGCGTGGCGCGAGGCTTGTTCTTGAACTTGTTCGCAGTGCACGTCTTCCCGGTCGGCTTTGCTGGGCTCGTGGGGGCCTTCACCGGCGTCGTGGTGGCCTTCGCCGGCGTCGTGGTGGCCTTTGCAGGAGCTTTGGCGGGGGTTTTGACGGGAGGCGCTACAACGGGAGCTTTCGCCGGGGGTTTGGCAGGAGACACCTTGACGGGTGCCTTGGGCTTGGTCGCGCGACGCCCGAGAGCGTCGGCGTCGGCGTCGAGGGCAGCAGACTGGGGACAGACATTTCAGCACAGACACGCGCATTCGAGCGAGAACGGCATGACAGTACCTCGACATCGTCGCTATCAAAGATATCGTTCGCAGTCGGGACACTGTTGACATCGTAGGTGTCAACGTTCGGGCCGTCGTTGGTGAAAAGCTGGAACATTGTCAGAGCCGAGTCCCGAGCACGAGACAAGGTCAGGTTGCGTACCTCAACATCTGTGGAGTCATCTGGAACAGGGATAGCCTGGGCAGACAAGGAAACACCAAGGATAACGAGAACAAGAAGGCGGTTGATGGAAGGCATCTTGATATGTTGGCAGAGAAGTCGTAAGTACGGACGAATTCGATGAGATTATTGCAGTACGTGAGCCGTGAATAGAAAGCCGCACAGCTGTGATGGTGGTTAGCTCACTCCTGTGTGTGGTAAGCAAAAGGAATATTTACCAGCTGGACAAGTGAGAAAAAGAGACAAAGGAAAGAGCTCGAAGCTGAACAAAGGAGCTGAGGGATCCTTGACCGATCTTGTGTGTTTAAGTAGGTGCTGAGATCGCCCTATGGCCCGAAGAGCGTCCTGCAAACAGTTCTGCCACGCCGCCGAGCCCGTGCGGGCATCTGGGGTAGGACACCACCTTCAGTGTTTCAACTGTCTGGAGGCCGTGCCTTGGCCGTGCATGCGATCATCAGCTCCGGGCGCATCATCCGCATAATTTCAACGATGTGTGTGGAAGCCTGCCCTAAAGCCAAAGCTATGCTACTGCCGGAGTCGTATCAATGTCAATGGAATGTGCAGGCTGACAGAACTCTCACCTGCTTCACGCATGCACTGAGGCAATGGACATTGGACACGTCACGTCCTTGATGTGTTCAGACTCAGTCGTGACTCGTGGAGCATCTGCCTCTGAACTTGGCTGCATAATGCGCGTGGTCAGCGCGGCCGTGGACATGTCGTAAAGCTGGGTAGTGATTGAAGGAGGTGTTTGCAGTGAGCTTCGCTGCGTCGGGACTCGGCACGGAATCGTGACGAACGCTTCTGTTATGTAAGCAGCGTGTCGATATACTGTAAGCGCTTATGGCGCTCCGAGTTCGATTCCCAGTCGGTCCTGGGCCTGAGGCCTGAACGTTTGACAGAACGCTCGTCTGATGATACCCACACTGCGACAGTCCTTGGCCGGATACGCCGTCTCTCTCCCAATCACTCACGTATGGGTACAACGGTGCGACCCGGCCGAGTATGTGCGTGGGCGGGGCGGGGCGGATTCTCCTAGGACCATATGAAATGACAGCGCCCTTTGAAGGCTGTTTTCCAGTCTCCAGGACGATCCCATATGATATGCCCCTCACGACAGATCCGTGTGCGGCGTTGGGTGGGCATCTATATGAATTTACGAAACTGTAATCCAATTTGCTCGTCAAGCCGCGGCCGGGCTGGGCGCGCTCCTTCCGTAAGTACAGCTGCGTGCAGAAAGCTTGTCCAGGCGCTGAAAAACGCGACGCGCGTCGCGAGAAATGGGAAATTAAATCGAAATGGTCGAAAAATCGCCAGTGGTGACGCGAGCGCGTTTCTTCTCCCCCTCTCCCTCGTTAGATCCCCCCGACGGCCGTATAATGTTGAAGAGCGCATCAGGCGCGTGTTCGAGTACGATATGACGTTTTTCCGCGTACGGCCGAGCTGACGTGTTTCGCGGCAGACTGTGGTCTGGTGGTGGTACGCGACGATCTTATCCCCATCTGCCACCTTGCCACCCCTCGAAACGTGTCTGACGATGTATAGGAAGCTGAATACATTCTTATGAGTGAGTTCTTGGGTGGTTTGACGTCTCCTGCGCCACACCGAAGACGTCATGTACTCGCCGTGACCGGAGCCTACTTCCAGAATCGTGGGCGCAACCACATGGTCCCTGATTCCAGACGGCCTCTCAAGTTTTGCATAAGTAACAGGTACCTATTGAACAGTTGGTGTCGCTCAGAGGGCTGGGGGAACACTCGAACGGCAAGGCGAAACTGGAAGGCATGTACATACATCCTACAAGTACTGTACATCCCCCCCTATCTATAGGTTTATGAGAGCCCTCCAGCTCGTTACCGCCCAACCAGCTGTTCCGCGTAATGAGGACTTGAAACATCCTCATGACAATGAGGCTGGGAGCATGAAGCGAGGACGGCAGTGTCTATGAGAGCGCGAGCTGCACCGTGAACCACCATGGACTCTCCCAATGTAGCCACAAAAACTTGGGCATACAGACGTCTTACGCCATAGATCACAGCGACAGTATAACTACGCTGCGACGACAGGGGGGACGCATGATATCAATGGGGCACTCACCGAAGGCGGCATCCTCTCTTGAGCACACGTACCCGCCCGCTCCTGCACCTCCGCCAACGCCATCTCGACAGTCGCCATAGATGTGACAAGTTCCTTGCATCGCAGACGCATGCTTCATGGGCACGATTTCAGCCTCGGGGTGGCTCAAGGGGCGCCAAGGTGGCAGACGGGGATAAGATCGTCGCGTACCACCACCAGACCACAGTCTGCCGCGAAACACGTCAGCTCGGCCGTACGCGGAAAAACGTCATATCGTACTCGAACACGCGCCTGATGCGCTCTTCAACATTATACGGCCGTCGGGGGGATCTAACGAGGGAGAGGGGGAGAGGAAACGCGCTCGCGTCACCACTGGCGATTTTTCGACCATTTCGATTTAATTTCCCATTTCTCGCGACGCGCGTCGCGTTTTTCAGCGCCTGGACAAGCTTTCTGCAGTACGTATTTCATGCCGTCTCGCTTTCGGAGAAAAAGAATATGCAAACCCTTCCTAATCTCTTGAAAATGGCGCCAGGCTACAGTTGTGGTATTTCGGGGTCGTAGGATTGGCTCAACTCCCACGAAATCAAGGACATCGGCGGGTGCCAACCGGCGAAGATGGGCACTAAGTACTAAGTATTCGTAAGTACCCTGTTCAAACGGTTTGGAACATCTCCGCTCTCCCAAACAGCGCCTCCGACTACACTGTTTATGCGAATGCGCAGATGCACGTTCACGTCTAGAACTCATCGTCCAACGCGCCGTCACGTTCCCTAAGCTTGTCCAGTTCCTCGACCGCCTTGAGCGCCATCGCAGTCGTGTAACCCCTGTTCCCGATCTTCATCTTCGAGATCCCGTAGTGGTACATCCAGCCGACCTCCCATCCCCCGTCCTCCTCCTGGCGCGGGAGCAGCGCGCGCATGTCCACCTCGTTCCTCACCCCGAACCTGGCGCATATCACGACCCGGAGCGCGAGCGCGATCGCGTCTCCGGGCCCGCCCACGATCTCGCGCACGCGGGCCGTGAACAGGTCGCGCAGGGCGCCCTGGAGGTGCGCGTCATCGTGCCCGGCGTCGAGCAGGCGGCTGACGAAGAATAGGAAACATTCGCGGGAGTAGTAGCGCGTACCGTCGATGTAGGCGCGATGAAGGAGCATGCGACGGATAAATGCGAGTGCGTCGGGGAGCTCGTGCCCGCGGCCGTACGTGTAGAAGAAGCGGAGGATGTTCACGACTATCCCCGGGTCTACGCGAGGGCGCTCGCGGTCGAAATAGGTCTGAGTGCGCAGAGTTCATGTCAATAGACACCAAATCACCAGAGAGAGGAAATACGTACGTAGGGGAGACCGTCGTCGCTGAGGAAGGTGAGCATTTCGTCCATGATGGGGTTCACATGCTCTTTGGAACGTTTCAGTACGACTAGGCCGAGCGAGGTCGTATCGAGGTCATCAGGGTATTTTTCGCTCGTGAATACGCCCTTGCCACCTGGGAAGAAATTCCAGAACCAATCGGGCTCTTGGAGCGTCACGAGACTCCTGCGAAGTCCATCAGAGACAGAAAGGCGCAACGAGTACGGGCCTACTCACCTGTCCCCCGTTGCTTCCAGAATCAGTAGCTGGGAGAAAGTCTCCACGACAGAGACATCCGACCCATCCACTTCACACACGAGCTTTCCAGCGTTCGCGCGTAGGTACTCCCGGCCGCGTTTCACTGGGTCCCCCGCAAGATTCCACAGCTCCCTCCGCGCCGTCTTGACGTCTGTGAGCAAGATCCCGTGCGCGCCAAATGTCTTTGCCGTGACGACGTCGTCCGCATCATGGCCCACGTAGACCGTGTCGCGCGCCGCCAATCGCCAACCTCCAGCTCCCTCGAACACGCGCCGAAAGAAACCCAGGTTCGGCATCCGGCTTCCCAGCTCGTGCGACGTGAACACGGCGTCGAATACGTCCCACTCGGCGCCGGTGCCGTAGATAGTAGCGTAGTCGGCTTGGGAGACGTTGAACGCCCCGAAGACGCGCACGCCCGGCCAGTGCGCGCGGAGCTCCCGCACAAGCGCGAGCATCTCCTCGCTCGGCGCGAGCTGCGCGACGACTTGTGCCCACGCCGCTTCGAGCTCGGGCGGATCTATGCTGAATTGGGCGCCGAGCGCGTCGAAGCAGGCGGCGCGGGAAGTGCGGCCGCACTCGTGCTCGTACCAGGTGCGGGAGTAGAGACAGTCACGGAGCGTCTTGCGGTCGATGGGACAGGTGAGGTCTGTGGGCCAGGTGGCGAGTCGGATAAGTCGAAGATGTAGTCCTTGTAGCCGTGTTTCCTAAACATGGTGGCCGTGATTGAGAGGAGGGGGATCCGAGGTGGAGGGTTCTTGCTGGATCTCGGAGGTACGAGGATACAACATTCAGGATTGGTTCAGAATGCTTTATAGGACTTCGACGGGAGTTTGTGTAGTCCTCGGGTGCAGTTAATGCCACCATGTTGTCTAAGAACGAGCTCTCACTTGTGTGACAGATGGATGACTGGAGGTGGCATGTGTCCAATCTAACCGTGCTGTTTCGTCATCGCGTGCCACATGATCACTCGCAGCGACAGAATCTAAATGTACTCCAGAGTCAGACGTCGACGATAATGCGTGGTAATCACCCACAAACATCATCCACAAACATACATATGCCAGCCAATCTCAGAATGACAGAACTTTCTGACTAGGGGAACTAGACCTTTCAGAGTACTATCAGCAAGTAACCTCGCCGCACATTCGACGCTCGTACCTCGCTTCGAATGTGCTACTAATACATGGACGTATGATAAGAAGAATCCATCGCACGTCGATCGGAACGGCTCGCAGCTTACTTGCGTGGTGACCAAGGAGGATTGTTCGGTGTAACAGAGCCCACACCACCTTCCAACCAGCCGTCGATCTCAAGCGCCAAGCCCGGAGAGACCGCCGTGTTGTTCGTTGCCCACAGCGCGATCGCAACAGTACTGTACCATGCCAATCAGCATCCGGTATATCAGCAACCAATTGCCGACTCACTTCTTCCCGTTGTAGTTGAGAATCCCCTGCGGTACCGGGAACCGCGTTTGCGGCCCGACGTTCGCGATCCGCTTCCCGTACTGCCACCCATTAACGAACAGGAGCGCGCGATACGGTTGCCCGTCCGGCTCGAATTGGAAGCTCATCGGCACGTCCGTCTCCGAGGGCACGTCGAGCTCGAACGTCGCCACGAAGAATCCAACGCCAGCCGTCCCACCCGGGAGGCCGGCGGAGAGCTCGCGCGAGTCCCAGCTGGAGGTGTCGAAGACGGGGAGATGCCATCCCTGGCGCTCAGCGTAAAGACCGCCTTCGTTGAGGAGGCCGCGGAGCTTATCGGGGTAGCTTGGGTTGGACAAGGTTTCCGTGAGAATGATGCGCGAGTGCAGGAGGGGCGGTCTTACTTCGTGTATCCACCGGCCTTGCCCTGGACCTTCCACATGGTGAAATTGCCGCCTTCAAGGACGTAGCCAGCGATTCCACGCGCGGACTTCTCGTTCTCAGACTCGTCGAGGCCTTGGTTGTCGTAGAGGACTGTAAGAACGTTCTCCTCTCCGGCAACCACCGAGCCCTCTGGGAAGGTGAATATGTAGTTGGCATGGTCGGTGCTGCTCTGGACAGAGGCGATGAACTTGTCGTTGATCCATACTGACGCCGCAAAGTCTACGAACTGGTTTCAGTAAGAGGGCTACAAAAAGTGTGAGACACAGACTCACAATCGCCACCGAAGATCGTCAGATTTGCACCGGTCTCGGACCCGTTAGCGTCGAAGTGTCCACGGAGGAACACAGTGTTCTCGCAGCTGAGACACATCAGCGGGTTAGCAACACTGTGCAATTCGGCGGACTCACAATCCATAATCGCAACCTGCGAGATCTCGAGGTTAGACTGGGCGGTACAAGAGAGAGCGGGGTTTTCACTCACCATACAGTACAGCACCATCGCCGAAGAGCGGTTGCTGATAGCTGTACGTGACGGTCTTGTTTGCAGTGATCCACTCGGAGTCATCGAAGTCCTTCTCGATCTCCGGGAGGCTGTCGTGGTACTTCCATCCTTTGAGCTCCGGTAAGACGAATCCCCTCGCCCTTCCCTTCATCGCGAGCTTTCCCGTCCTGACCGCGCTCGCGCCATGGAGGTCGGCCAAAACGTCAACCGCGTCCCCGTTCCACGTCACCCGCGTCACGTCCTCCGGCGCAATGACCGTCAGCATCACCTCCTTCTCCAGGTCGCCCCTCAGCTTGAGCGTGCCGTGCTCGACGCTCGCGTTGCGGACGAGGTACGGCCCGCCGACGAGCACGGTCTCGTTCGTGCCCCACTGCCAGAAGTGCTCCCACCCCGGGACCGTGTTCGCTGTCGGCGCGGGGACGTGCGGCGCCCAGAACGTCGCGGCGGTGTCCGCGTCCGCGTACAGCACGAGCTGACCCGCGCACTCCCACACCGTCACAAGCCCGGTCGTGCCGGGGAGCACGGTGAAGACGGTGGGTGCCCCGTTGATGGCCGCGGCGTGGTGTCGGACGCGCGGGTCGGCGAACGGAGGTGAGCTTCCGGGGCGGCGGGAGGCGACGAGGGTCATGGAGAACTCGTGCGCTTGCGTGGCGCGGCCCTGCAGGAAGAGGACGTCGCGGGCGCCGATGCGGCCGGCGAAGAAGACCTCGGCGGTTGTGTACACGAGGTGGCCGTGCTTTCCAAAGTGGTAGTTGGTGATGATGACTTTGCTCTGCCGGCCGTCAAGAGCGATCGCATCGAGGGTGAGGGGAAGTGTGAGGCGGCCATTCGGTTGATGGCAAGGTACCGTGATTTGGAAGGAGAGTGGTTCACTGTGCAGGTCGCCGTCAGTGTAGGAACACGTGAGTGAGGTGAGACACATACGTGGTGGTGGAGTTGTCCTGTCGCACGATGAAAAAGCCAGTCCCACTGTCCGGGTTGCGGAGGTACGTGACGAACGCCGCATCGTTGCTCAGTGAGAGCTCGGGAACTCCAGTGCTAGAGTCCCCGACCCAATCGGTCTTGCGGAACTCAGGAGACGAGCGTATGAAAAGTCCTTGGCGCTTGATCTCGTCGTACTTTTTCGAGAGTAGACGAGTCTCTCGCATGGGCGAGCCGTAGTCGTAGCTGCGGTTGCTTAGTTAGCGGGAAGTAAGGATGCGACCTCGCGCGTACCTAGTGTACACATCGGGTTCCGCGAGGCCACCCCAATTGGTGCCTCCGTAAAACATGTAGTACGAGAGAAGTTTGGCGTTGGCGGCCCAATTCTGCTTGTAGAAGACGTCTTCAAACTCAGGCCCAGTGAGTTCGAAGCAGGCATCGTATCCTGGACCGCCCCATGGGTCGAAAGCGCCTGCTTGGTACTCGGGCATATACCACGGCTGGCTCGGGTTGACTTCAGAGTGATACTGATGGTAGTTGGTCACGACCGGGTTCCACACAGACGGGTGCGAACAATCAAAGCGCTGAGGATAGGCGTCCTACAGAATGATGTTATGAAGTCGCCGTCGTGTGATTCGAGCGGAGACGACTCACCATGCCATAGATATCAACGGCACCAGTCCCGTTCACGAAGGCTCTCCGCATGTTTGGATCGTTGTATGTCCTGTGAGCCTGGTGAGAAACTTCGAGCTCTGGGTTACCACGTCGATAACACATACAACGGTACAATGATGCCGTTCTTGCGGTACTGTTCTTCGAGGCGCTCAAAGTAGGCTCCGGTCACTTCGTTCTGCTCGTATTCGTTGTCTGTCGGATAGTCATCAGCGAATACTCATAGTGGCACTTGAATATCTCTAGAACACACCAATTTGTATCGCTAGCACAGCTCCGCCTTCGGTAACTTGGTGAGCCTTGGTTCCATCGATGATGGCGTCAATGAAAGGCTCATAAGCATCGAACCAATCGGTAGCGTTAGTGCGCACAACGCTGGGCGTCTCGGCCGTAATCCAGGCCGAGATGCCTCCAGCGGTGGTTTCTGCATTGATCTGCAATGAACGTGGTCACTCTGTCAATGCCTGAACGCGGCGCGGTCACTATTGGACTTACGTAAGGCCCTGTCAAAGTTCCGAAAGTTTAACTTTGTCACTGTTCGTCATCGAACCATTAGACGTACCGGGACGTAGCACAACAAAGAGACCTGTGAGCTTTGCGGCGTCATACATGGCCTCCAGAGAGCGCCAGTCATCGAAGTCCATAACGCCCCGAGACGGGTTCGTCAGACCCACTACAAAACGACATCAGAGGTTGAAAGCCATCAAATCTGATGCTGACTGACTGTGGATGTATACACTGCGAAGGAGTAGTGAGCGTCGGTATTTCATACGCTGTATTCATCCACGGATACGTACCTGACGCTGTTGAAGCCGACAGCCACCATTTTCTGGAAGACATCGAGCCATAGCTCCGGCACGGGCAGGCGGAAGGTGTGGAACTCGCCGGAGCTAAAGCATCAGATGATCGTAAGCATGAGAAGATACAACTTGCACTACCAGCGCGCTCACTGGAGGAACATGCGCTGGCCATGCAGGAAGAGCGTGTAATTGTCCCACTGAACAACGTCCGTCAGGCCGTTCGACTTCCGCTGGGGCTCGCGGCTTGCCGTAGGCTGCCACGACGCGTTCCACAAGACAACAATGCAAAGCGACACAAGGGCAGGCAGTGCCCACGTCGACCATCGCCGCCGTGAGGGGATGGCATGTTGCGATAACAGCCGCGTAGGTGTGAGATGGATTCGGGGGCGCTTGTTGCCTGTCCCGTCGAGGCGAGGAACGTTCTCGTAGCCTTGAAGGTGGACTGGCTGCCACGTGTGCTTCTCCATTGAGGTGCACACCACAGGGCTGCTGGAGACAACGGCCTAGTGGGGGCTTGAGCTGGAAGGGCGTGTGGTGGTGGTCGAAGTGCAACGCTCGAGAGCGCACGTGGTCATCATCAGGAACGCGCTAAGTCAATTATCGTTTTTGGTAATATCATCTCACGGTTTCAAACTAATGATATCTGACTTCAAACCTGACTAGAAACTGATTATGAGGCCTTGCTGCCTTCCATCGGACTGCCACTTGTTTGATCTGGTACTTCAGATGAGATGCAGTATGTACGAGTACGTAGGCACTTTTTCACGTATGAACCATTTCTACCAAGGTTAAAATTACGATCGTGGGGTTGTTCGTTGTTTGTTCGTACTTATCGATAGGCCCAACGCCACCATCCAAGGCACCCTCGAGCCGCATCACCAGCCCAGGGTGCGCCTCGACGTACGTTATCCATAGCCCGTGCTGAGGGGACGATCGTGTCAGTGTCGAGCCCCGGGATATAAATTCCGTCCACTCACTTCTACTTACCTGCTGTAGTCTGAGGATACCAGAAGGCATACAGAACGGGTCGATGTGCGCCATCGGCGCACACACCAGCAGCGCCCAGAACATCTCCCCGTTGGCGAACCGCCGCTCTGAGCATCGTTGCCGCTCTGTCGCGATCCCGATATGCTGGACTGATCACTCCACCGTCATACCATTGTGGTGTACAGAACGCCATCCGACGGTCGTCAACATGCGTACAAGTCATTACATTCGTTCTTTGCATCTCGATCGGTTCTCCTTCACGAGCGCTTCGACCAAACAGGGTTGTTCACCGTGATCGGCCCCACACCACCGTCAAGGACACCATCGACAGCCAGGGTCAACTTCGGAGAGACCGCGGTGGTGTTCAGCGCCCAGAGAGCGACCGCGATGGTGCTGTGTGAAGAAGTCGAGTCAGCCATGACAGAAGCGCCGCGAGGCGAGTGCACGTACTTCGTTCCGTGGTAGTCGAGGATGCCCGGGGGGACCGGGAACTTGGTCTGCGGACCGACGTTGCCCACGCGCTGCATGGCACAAGGAGGAGGGGTCAGAGTTCCGCGCTCTTGAGCGCCGAGACGGACGTGGCGACGACGCACCTTGCCGAACATCCACCCGTTGACGAAGAGCCGCGCGCGGTACGCCTGGCCGGCCGCTTCGCCGAACACGAAGCTCGCGTACACGTCCACGTCAGTCGGGAAGTCGAGGTCGACGGTGGTGACGAAGAAGCCGACGCCCGCGGTCCCGTTCGGGAGCCCCTGTGCGAGGTCGCGCGCCTGCCACGTTGACGTATCGAAGCCAGGCAGGTGCCAGCCCTCGCGCTCGCCGAAGAGGCCCCCCTCGTTCATGACGCCGCGAACCTTGTCAGGGAAGTGGGTGTAGCCGCCGACCTTGCCCTGGACCTTCCAGGTGTGGATCGTGCCACCGACAAGGCTGAAACCGGCGATGCCGCGGGCCGACTTCTGGTTGTCGGCTTCGTCGTTGCCCATGTTGTCGTGCAGCACAGTGATGACGTTATCCTGGCCAGCGACAACAGCGCCACGTGGGAACGTGAAGAGCGCATTGACATGGTCGGAACCCCCGCCAACGCTGGAGATGAAGTGGTCGTTAATCCAGACGGACGCCGCGAACGCTGAAGAGAGAACTTGAGTGACGCAACGATGAACATATACCGAAAGATACGCACAGCTGCCGCCATAGATCGTGAGGTTGGCTGCCGTTTCCTTGCCTGTCCCAGTGAAGTGACCGCGGAAAAAGACGTTGTTCTCGCAGCTGCAAACGATGACGTCAGAGGGCAAGAAGATCAAATACACTCAAGACATACAATCCGTAGTCGCAGCCTAGAAACATCGCAGATCAGCGCACTGCATATCACAACAAGAACTCAGGAAGATCACCATAAAGCACTCTTCCATCTCCGAACAGCGGCTTCTGGTTTATGTTCGTCGACGTCTTGTTCGCCACGACCCAAGTCGAGTCATCGAAGCCCGCCTTGATCTCTGGTAAACTATCCGCGAACTTCCACCCCTCGAGGGCAGGGGCCGTCACAGAGCTCGGGTTCGTGAGCATCGTCAGAGAGCCGGTGAGCACCCCGCTCCCGTCGCCTGACACGGCCACGTCGGCTCCATTCCAACTCACCGCGGTCACCGTGGCAGGGGCGACCACGGTGAGCGGCACGGAGGCGTTGAGGTCTCCCCGGAGTGCGAGAGTCGTGCCGTCGTCGGAAATGGACGCGTTCCGGACGAGGTTTGGTCCGCCTACGAGGACGGTGGAGTTTGTGCCCCATTGGAAGTACGCCTCTAGCCCGGACACGGTCGCGTCGGAGGCCGTGGGGATGGCCGGGGCCCAGAACGTCGCCGCAGTGACGGGATCCGCGAAGAGGATGAGCTGAGTGTCGGATTCCCAGAGCGTCACGAGCCCGTCGTCTCCGGTCGCGATCGAGATGATCGTGCCCGCTGTGGACTTGTCGAAAGTAACGCGCGAGTCATCCGTTGATGCGCCAGAGCCGGTCAGCGTCAAAGCTAACTCGTGCGACTGGTCGGCGTCACCGAAAAGGAAGAGGACGTCTCGAGCACCGATTGCGCCGGCGAAGAAGACGGAAGCCGTGGTATAGAGGACGGAGCTAGAAGCGCCGAAGGGGTAGTCGGTGATGATAAGCTTGCTCTGACGGCCGTTGATCGCGATAGTACCAGTCTTCTGAGGGAGTTTAAGTGTGCCATTGGACGTGGGCACAGTAAGGGTGAAAGTGATATCGCCACTGGTCTGGAGTCAACGAAAGTGCAGTGACACTGAATGGAGGGACATACGTCGATGTGGAAGATGTCTGCCTCGTGATGTAGAACCTAGTACCAGAATCCGGGTTGTGCAAGGACGTGACGAACGCGCTACTGCTGCTCACGGTGACGCCACCGATGCCTGTACTGGAGTTCCCGACGTAGTCGGTCTTGCGGAACGACGGAGACGAGCGAAGGAACATGCTCTGACGCTTGATCTCGTCAAACTTGGCCGAGAGAGCACGAGACTCCCTGATGGAAGCGCCGTAGTCATAGCTAGTGTACACGCCCGGGAAAGGGAAGCCACCCCAACTGGTGCCACTGGAGAGGTGTCAACGAAGAGTAGACGATGTTCACGAGAGGACACGTACCCATAGAACATGTAGTAAGACGCAGCCTTGACGTTGTTGGCCCAGTTGTTCTTGTAGAAGACGTCCTGGAAGTCGGGTCCAGTTAAGAGTTCGCATGCGTCATACCCGGGCCCGCCCCAAGGATCGAAGGATCCACCTAGTGGAGATCCATGAATGAGTGGACGATTAAGTGAAGAAAGGTTTCTAAGCGTTACCTTGGAACTCAGGCATGTACCAGGGTTGAGCTGGGTTCACCTGTTCGTGGTAGGCCTGGTAGTTGGTGACGACAGGGCTCCAGTTGCGTGGATTTGAGCAGTCGAAACCTTGAGGGTAAGAGTCCTGAAAATCGTTTAGTCGAAGCCGTCGTCTTATAATGTGCTTCCTTACAAGGCCGTAGATATCGACAGCGCCGGTGCCATTGATGAAGTTCGAGCCTTCGAAAGGGTCGTTGTACGTTCTGAACGGTGATAAGAGGACGATGCAAGACTATGAGATAACGACTTACAGAGGGACCACTACACCAGCACCACGATATTGCTGCTCCAACGCAGCGAAGTATGCTCCCGTGAGCGCATTTTGCGTGAACTCGTTGTCTAAACTTCGTAAGCATGAGCGCATATAGCTAGGATACTGTATACTCACCGATTTGAACGGCTAGCAAGTGCGATGATTGAGTAACATCGACACGACAAGCGCATATAGTTACTTACCGAGAATGGGACCACCGTCCGAGACTTGGTTCCCTACGACAGATTTCGCAATCCCTGCGGTATAAGGTTGGTAGGCTGCGGTCCAGTCAGTCGCGTTTGTCCGAAGCGTCCCAGCGACCTCGCTGGTAATCCAGTGCGCGATCCCACCCGCCGTTGTCTCGGCGTTGATCTGCCAAGGCATTAGAATATCTCAAACGGCACATGCAATCGCGATAAACTCACGTAGGGACCCGGCCGGAGAACAATGAAGATACCGGCAAGCTTCGCGGCATCGTAGATAGGCTGCAGAGCGCGCCAATCATCAAAATCGATCGCACCGCGCGAGGGATTGGAGGCGCCCACTTGGTTCGCCGTTTAGCAATGCGGTCTGGACCAAGACGAAGAGGAGACTGACTATGGATGTAAATGCTGACGCCGTTCAATCCTGCTGCAACCATTTTCTGGAAGATGTCGAGCCACAGATCGGGCACTGGCAGGCGGAATGTATGGAACTCGCCCGAACTACGAGGCTCGAATGACTATATGCGCGCACAAACACGAAGGGAGACGTACTAGAGGAACATGCGCTGGTCGTTGAGGAAGACCGTGTAGTTGTCCCATTGAACGACGTCCGTCAACCCGTTGGATTTGCGCGGGGGCTCTGCCGCAGCGATTGGCGAAGCGCGCTCCGAGACATGGGCCGCATATACGGGGATGGCGACGGTGGAGGCGAGAAGGGCGTTGCACACCCACGAAGAGAACCGGGGTCCGAGCATGGCGTGCGCTGGCCACTTTGGCGCATCGTGCGGGGCATATATACGCTTGAAAAAGGGTGTTGATGACAACGTACCATCCCAGGGGTTGAGGATGCTTCGCGCCTTCGTCTCATGTGCGGACCGCCGGCTCGCGAGACGGGAGCGGCAGAGCTAAACGGGGCAACCACACGCTCACGTGCGGTAACGCCTGACTGCTCTCATGGCCGCTCGTCAGGACGCTTCTCATGGGGGATGGAGCGGGTGACATACCTATGACGCTTCCATAGACCTGAGCATGCGGCGATGACGGCCGCAGGGAAGGGGCAACGAACATCCGGGCGGGGGAGGGTGACCTCGAGAGAAGGCTATCGAGGTCTGATGCGACGGCGGCAGCTTCTGAGGATGATGGAGCGGTCCAGAGGGCGGAAACGCAGGAGGGACGCGTTGTGCGAATGGTATAAACGAAAGAACCGACCCTCAGACTCACCGAGGTTTCTCCCAGCCGCATTTGAAGCGCCGACGAAACCGGCCCGGCAAAAGCCGCCGCCGCTGGCGACGTTTTCGGGATGATCATCGACAGACTAGGCTCGATCATCCAGCCGTCATCGTCGTAACCTCCTCTAACGTTACGACGATGACGGCTGGATGATCGAGCCTATCGACAGACCACCTGGTGCGTTTTTACGACAAGGTTGGTGTCTTGCTCTGTCATTTTCCGCCGATTTTCAGGATGCGCCGAACTCTTTCATACTGAATGCAGAGCAGGCTGTACAGCACTCGGCCATGGGCCGCGCAGCTGTAGAACCATTCTACCCCATGATCGAAGATCGTAATTCTTCTGCGTGTATTCTCACCGTACGTGATGTTCTTCCCGTTTTTTGCCAGGGCGGGCGTGTCCACCTGGAAATCAAGAGAACGCAGTTTCTAGAGCGAGCGTACCACACGCCATCCACCGCTTCTGCGGCGCAAATGCAATTGGGTTCTTTCAACGCGCAGGAAAGCGGCGGCATCGCGTGAGACATATTTTGGGGCAAGTGCGGGCAGAAGGGTCGGCGGCTTTGCCAAGGCGGCCTTCGCCATCTCCTCCCAACGTCCGGCGCGTGTTCTCGCAAACCTGTGCTCACATGTGCCAAATGCTCGTACGTCTCCCCTTTCCTGTTGCATAGTATGCTCTTCTGACGCCGATAACTTAACGCTGACATGTAGTATGTATCCGTGATAGAGAGCACCATAGTACCCGCACAAACCCGTAACCTCGTCAGGAGACTGGACAACTGCAAAAGAGATAGAGGGTTTCACTATAGACGCGAGGGGCGTTGTCACTCGGTGAGTTCTGCAAGAGTGACTGGTCCAGGCTAAGACTTCACAGCTCCAGTGCTTCGTTAGTGGACTCGAACACGCACAGTTTCGACAGATATCATAAGTCCCCTCGTTTATGGGCGAGAAACACATGCGGCACGCGTATACTAGTGCTATGGCACTTTCCTGGCGGGCTCGTCGACTCGGTCCCGATATTATTCGGATTAAGAAAGAGGCCAACGCCGGACGACATGGCTGACGGCCGATCGGTCAGCCGCTTTCCATGGCTCAAAACCGCCCGACCGATGGTTGTCTCGCTCATCTTCTTCCTCCCCTTTTACTTTCCTTCATCACTCGTTGCAATTTTTTTTCTTTTCGTCGACATGCCTCTTTACACTGCCGGCGGTGAGAATCGTCCACAGTCGCGCAACAGCATCTACTCCGACATCATCGCCCTCGTCCCTCGTGCTCTCGGTGGAGGCTTGAATGCGGAACCGACGAACGACGGGTCGATCCCGGACGTTCAGACTCGCGACTTTGGGTTCCTCCCTATTCCTATGGGCGCGCGCTGCGACCCCACCCAGCCCCCTCGTTTTGGCCTTTCCCTCAACATTCTCTTCGCCGTAGCAAGTACCTTCAGTATGTTCTTCTCCGCGCCTACGACGACTCTGAGGCTGACACGGACTACAGCTACCGCCAACCTTTACTATTCCGTCCCCTTCTTGCGTGAGTGTCGAGTGCATCCCATGCTCGATAGCACACGGACTGACGCGACATTCCAGTCAAGATCGCGGACACTTTTGGGACGACGGAGAAGGAGGTTGCTTCCATTCCTTCGCTGATGCTCGCAGGGTAAGTCGCCGTTGCGGTTGCGTGACATTGTACCCATCCCCTTGCCCTCCAGATACGCCCTCGGAGTCTTCTTCGTCGCACCTCTGGGCGATCTCGTCCGCAGGCGGCCGCTCATCCTAGCCCTCTGCTTCATCTCTGCAATGCTCACAATCGCCCTCGCCACCGCGCAAAGCCTCCCCGTGTTCCAACTGTTCTGTTTCTTCATCGGCCTCAGCACCGTCGTCCCCCAAATCCTCATGCCGCTCGCGACGGACCTCGCACCACCTGAGCGCCGCGCGTCCGCGCTGTCCATCGTTCTCTCAGGGCTCCTCTGCGGCATCCTCGTCTCGCGTGTCCTCGGCGGGATCGTCGCTGAGTTCGTGGTCTGGCGGATCGTGTACGTCATCGCGATCTTCGTTCAGTTCATCGTCCTCGGGCTGCTTTACTGGAAGCTCCCCGACTACCCGGCGAAAAACCCCGAGGCGACGTACTGGCAGATCCTATACAGCATGGCCAAATACGCTGTCACGGAGCCGCTCCTCGTTCAGGCGATCATCATGACCGTCCCTTCGGCCGCGACCTTCACCAACTGGTGGGTCACCCTCACGTTCCTTCTCGCCGGCGAGCCCTACAACTTCAGCACGTGAGTCGCGCCGTGTCTCTGACGTCCTCAGCTGACACACGATCCAGCCTCGCCATCGGCATGTTCGGCTTCATCGGGCTGACCGGCGTCATCTGCGCCCCGCTCATCGGGCGTATCATCGACCGCGTCTTGCTCCCCTGGACGGCGACGCTCATCGCGATCCTCGGCCTCATCCTCACCTTCGCGATCCAGACCGCTGCCGCGGGCACCTCGCTCGTCGCAGTCATCCTCGTCTGCCTCCTCCTCGACGTCTTCCGCCAGTCGCAACAGACGTCGCTCACGGTAGCCGTGCTCGCGCTCGACCCGCGCGCGCGCTCGCGCATCAACGCCGTCCTCCTCCTCGCTCTCTTCCTCGGGCAGACGATGGGCACGAGCGTCGGCGCCGAGCTCTTCACGCGCCACGGCTGGCAGGCGAACGCGGCGTTCAACCTCGCGTGCACGCTCTTCTCGCTCGCGGTGCTGCTCGCGCGCGGCCCGCACTGCAAGCGCTACACGTGGCTCGGGTGGGAGGGCGGCCTGGAGCTGCGGCGGAGCAGGGTCGAGGCGGTGAAGCGGGCGGCGGAGGAGCGCGACCCAACGCGGCGCTGGAGCGGGGAGACGACGATCGTCGAGATGGTCACGACGCCGGAGGAGGCGGACGGAGTGGACAAGAAGAAGCCGCAGCTGACGGTGCACGAGCGCGCGGCGGGCACGGAGGCCGACGCTGTCGGGCTTGCGGTATAGTGTCCGTGCGCGCGATAGACCACGGACAGTCAACTAGTCCAACGTTGTCTTTGCTGATGTCGTGCTCTAAGTATCATAAAGCCGATTGGTGCACCTTCCATGACAAATTCGATCCGGAGATCGGTCCGAACCTCGAAAACCGGAACGAGCCGGAACGACATTTAGCGCCCATACCCAGCGCCAGCTTGAAGGGCGTACTCACTCTCATTGAATAGTCACTTACTGTCACTCTGCATTCTCCCACTCTCTGGTTTTGTGGGAAACACCCGTCCGCGTCAGTCTTCCAGAACATTTCTCAGATATGTAAGTAGCACAATTACATGTGCTGCCATTAAGGGTATGCCCTCCGAGTCGCTACAAGCTCCTGACTCAGCCTGTACTAGTGCCATTCGGACTTCGATGATCCACGTGAAAAGCCGACTCTTCCATTACGATGCGCACTGGCCAGTCGACGGGGAGCCGAGCGAGCGTGAGGGACGCGTCTCCATACATCTGATGAACGCGTTGCCAACTTCAGTGCCCTACTTGGTAGAGGCTAGTCTAGTCTTCTTACTTACATTCTGTCAGTCCATTTCTTCCTGCACTGTGGGCGTCGGTTTTCTCATGCCAGCAGGTTTGATTCATAGCACACAACTGCCTACCCCCTTGGGATGAATGCGGCCGCAATCCGGCTTACCGGAGTTGAGGTGGGTCTTATTTGTCATCGCTCTGTTACATGCGGGCATCTCACATTCGAATTCGAACGAGTTGCACGAGCGGTAACAACCTACGTATTGTCCTCCTCTTGTGTACGCTTCCCAAGCCTTACGCCTGTGCCCGCAGCGTGCAGGTATATTGTCGTAGCGTCTTTGTAAGTCAATGCTTCCGGCGCTTGGAAGCGGATCTGCGACTCCGAGCCATATTCACTCACGGTATTCTTACCTCCCGCCTCATGGGCCCGGGCCCGGCGCTCAGGCTTCCCCCCTTCTTACCACTACCATCGGGTCCAGGCATCCACTCCCACCTTCGGCCAAAATGGATGCCTCTGTGACATCTCCCGATGCAACTGTGGAAGAAGTGTCCAGAGACCTAGCGAGTCGCCCAGAAGAAGCGCCAGGTCCGAAGGTGGATTTCGGGTTTCTACCTGTTCCTACGGCGGTACGATATGATCCTGCCCATCCGATCCACTTCGGCCTCGGGATGAACATACTCTTCGGCCTTGCCAGCACGTGCTGTGAGTCGTTTGTTCGTAGTGTCGCGTACGAATCCAACTCAAATCCAACTGCTCTTCTTTCCAAAGCTGCCGCCAACTTGTACTACTGCGTGCCGATCCTCAGTGAGTACATTTCTTGGTCTTATTATCAGCCCTTTCTGACAAGTTTCCGCGACGCAGTTCAACTAGCTGACGCGTTTGGAGTAACCGAGGGCGAGGTTTCCCAGGTTCCGACTCTGATGCAGGCGGGGTGAGTACTATCAATTCGTCCACTCCAAGCAGCTCTGACCGCCAACAGCTACGCCGTTGGGCTCCTCCTCCTGGCCCCGCTCGGAGACCTTGTCCGCCGTCGTCCCCTCATCCTACTTCTCACGTTCCTCGCTGCAAGCTTCACGATCGGCCTCGCTGTGACATCGAGCTTAGTCGCCTTTGAGGTCCTCAACTTCTTCGTCGGCTTTTGCACCATCGTTCCCCAGGTCCTCATCCCGCTTGCCGTCGACCTCGCACCGCCCGAGCGCCGTGCATCCGCCCTCTCCATCGTTATCTCCGGTCTTCTCCTCGGCGTCCTGATCTCGCGACTACTCGCGGGAATCGTCGCGCAGTTCGTGACGTGGCGCGTGGTGTACTACATCGCCGTCGGCATACAATACATCATCTTCGCACTGCTCTACTGGTACCTTCCAGACTACCCCGCGAAAAACCCGGACACGACATACTTCGGTATCTTGTACAGCATGGCGCGGTACGCTGTGACGGAGCCGGTCCTCGTCCAGGGGGTGCTCATGACGATACCCTCGAGCGCGGTTTTCACCAACTGGTGGGTCACACTCACGTTCATTCTCAACGGCGCGCCGTACCACTACTCCACGTGAGTTCCCTTCTTACCACCCTCAAACCCCTCGCTCATCTCGTCGTCTCTAGGCTCGTCATTGGCCTGTTCGGCATCATAGGCATCGTCGGCGTCGCCCTCGCCCCCCTCATCGGCCGCCTCATCGACGGCCTCGTCCCTTACTCCGCCACCCTCCTCGCGCTCTTCGGCCTCCTCGCCACCTTCGCCATCCAGGCCGCGGCCGCGGGAACCTCCGTCGCCGCGGTGGTGATCGTCGCGATCGGCATCGACGTCTTCCGTCAGATGCAGCAGACCTCGATCGCGGTCAACGTGCTCGGGCTCGACCCGCGCGCGCGCTCGCGGCTCAACGCGGTGCTCATCCTCGCGCTCTTCGTCGGACAGGTGATGGGCACGAGCGTGGGCTCGGAGGTGTTCACGCGGCTCGGGTGGAGGGCGAACGCGGCGCTGAATCTTGGATGGGCGGGGCTGTCGCTCGTGGTGCTGCTGGTGCGTGGTCCGCATGTTCCGAGGTATACGTGGGTCGGGTGGGAAGGTGGGTGGGAGCTGCGGAAGTCGAAGTTGGTGGCAGGGGAAGGGGAGATGGGCGCACCAGAAGACGTCACCGCAGTGACAACGCAGGTGCATGACGGGGAGAAGGACGAGGCGCGAGCGGGAGAGAAGGCTCTCCCGCCCGCTGTATAGGGCCGTACCGTCTACTTACCTGCATGCGAACATACAACTCTTCAGTCCCATGATCTTCCCATCATGAGCGGCCGCAGCATCGACGAAGGCGAGGGCGTGGAGATGGTCCGTTCAAGTGCAGCATTAACGCTGTCTCTTAATCTAATCTTATCTCGGTCGTTCTAGAACCCAAAGTCACAGAGCTCAGTAAACTTCCATCCGTGCGGTGATTACGCTCACGCTTTTTTCCGTCTTGATGTCAAATTTGACGTAGAGTATCACAACGTGTAACGTGGGTGCAACTGGTACGTTCGATGGAAAGCGATCACCGTAAGTCGAACCCCATAGGCTATCCATAAAGTGACCACGGATCCATCATGGTCGGGGCCTCCCAGTATTGATGAACGCTGCCCACGTCCTCGTCGAGATACAAGCTCTGGTTCCCGTACCAGTACTCATTCCACGGTCCTTCCAATCCCATCCATTCCACGCTTCCCCCTTTTCCGTGTTTGTCGTCTGGTGAGTGGGACGACCCGTGTCCTCTGAGACCAACTGCGAGACGACCCGAGGGGTGTAGTCGCAGCGCATCAGTCGACAGTACGTCACACCCGGCTGCGTGGGCCAGCACATTTGGGCGACGACCGGCAGCGGATACTCGAAGTTCTCGGGCTGCTCGACGCGCTCGCGCAACAGTTCGAGCCACTGCGCCGCGATCCTATTCCCCACGCGGTGCCACCTCCATCCGAAGTTGACCTCCACCGCGTCGAGGTGGGGGTACAGGGTACGGCCGGGGGCGGCGGGGCCGTTTAGGAGGGGCTCGAGGATGACCGCGAACGGATCGACCGTGCTGTCCTCGACGAACTCAGTCTTGCAGTCGGAAAAGTCGAGGACGAGGTCCGTCAGCGCCGGCATGCGTCCGAGGAGGAAGAGGACGGTGTCGACTGCGTCCGGCTTGACGGAGTCCTCGGAGAAGCAGATATGGAGTTCCGCGATCGATGCGAACGGCAAGTCGATGTCGTTTTGCGTGAACTCAAAGCTGTGATAGCTCTTGTGGAGGCGAAATCGACCGATGGGGCGTCGAGAGGGCTTGTCGGCTGGCGGACCATCGATGGTCATCGATTCATTGTACGGGTTGAAGCGAATGTGCATCCGTCTTGCACCGTCGAAGACAGGAATGCGTGGGATGGTCATCCCGTGGGGGGTCGCACCTGCATACGAGATGCAGACGTGTGCAGAACCGGGATACGAAAAACCGGCGAGGAGGGAGTACAGGAAAGGCCAGTGGCAACGGGAGGACGTTATTGTCTTCATAGACCTCATGAGAACTTTGCGCTGGAAGGTGATTGGTGGCGCCGCTTCCAAACATGCCTCGTGGACGAAGAGAAACTCAATGAGCGGTAGGAATGGAAGAAGACGCAAGAGCGCTGTTGGGAGATGCGCAGATGGGGGACAATTCACGAACGATATGTAGAGATGAGTAAGCTGTGGGAAAGAGATGGGAGAGAGGGCCATGGGGAGAGAATGCAGCTGTAGTGCTCGTAGCTGGGACCCCGTCGACTGGCTGAAGAGGGAGCCGACAGAAAGATCTGAGAAGAACAGCTTTCGGTGCTGGGGAAAAAACAACGCAATACTTTGCAGACGAGGAGAATCAAGGGGGAATGATGAACCAATTATTTCCGTGTATTTACTTTGATCCATGTCTTCATCTTCCGGCTCCTTGGAGTCTATTTCTAGCGAGAAATGGACGAGACGGGCCTTCACATCAGGGGTGATCAGTTCTTCGCACGATGTATTGGCCTGAAATCCGAGATAAAGAGGGGAGATATCCCCGGAGCGTTGGAGGAACAGACGAAAGCGATCCGTTGAGAGATCACTTCGGTTACTTGCTTTGAAATGAGACCAAAATTGCGGGACAGAAAGCGTTGCTCTTCGCCAGGACTGGCATACGTGGGAGAGGTTGAACAGAATCCTCGTGCGGCTACGTTCGTCCGTAGTAGTCGGATAATAGCGCGCAGGAAGAGCGTTTTCGAAAATCTCGACGAGGACATCGTTGGGAACCCTATTTGCCATCCTGCGAGAGTTGACGATGGACTGCATCCGACGCACATACTCCGCCAGCTCGACTTCCAGTGCGAGGAGCTGAGAGTGGATGTCAGCGGAGACGGCGACACTCGTGAGACTGCACTTGCATCGATAGTGCTACGTACATGCGAATCAGGATCCGCGATATATGGCGACGATGGAGAAGACGCACCTCATGCCCAGTAGTTCGTTCTCGTCCGGCAGCGCGCGCCCTCCGCCGTCTTGTTTCCAGTTCATTCCGCTCGTCATATCGCGCGAGGTTTATGCGCCGCTGTTTGATCCACCGACAAGCAGAGGGGTGAGAAGGTGACTCGCTCAAGGGGTTGGTGGAGGCAGTGGCCCTGGATAAGAGGCAGAAGTACTGGCAGGCCGTAACGGCGCGGGCGCGCTAAGATTGTATGTAATCTAATCAGCATCTTATCGTATCTAGTACATCGCTCTACTAAGCAAATATAATGGGGAGCCCAGTCCTCCAAAAACCACGCAGAGTCCATATCGTCCCCAACGTGATCCCAGTATTTGTTCACACTGTCCCTGTCCTCACACAGGAACGAACGCTCGTCTCTGTACCAATGCTCGTTCCACTCACTCTGGACACATCTTCTCGTCCTCCATCTTGGCGTCGGACGGGCTATGCTCGCAGCGCATGAGCCGATAATCCGTCGAGCCCTCCGCCGCCGAACAGTGCATCTCTGCGACAACCGCGAGCGTGGTCCCTACGACGGAGCCGCCGCGTTGCTCCACCTCGCGGAGGTAGTCAGTAAGCAGCCAGACCCAGCTCTGCCTCATCGAAGCGCATCGGGGGGACGATTTCGGCAGGGATTTTGCCCAAAGGGATCGATGCGTAGACGTGAGTGTCTGTCGGACACGATACCCGGTCGAAGAACGGGCTGATGAAGCCCCAAACGCAGCGACGGAAGGTGATGGTCTTCATACACACCATGCGAACTGGCGTCGAGACGGGAGTCACGGCATCTGGCACCGTCATCGCGTCTTCGATGGACATCTTGACGACCGGGGAGCAAGGGAGAAACGTGAGAAGGTCTTCGAGAGGCCGTACGAAGGATGGATAGCCTGAGGGAGCGCGACAGGCAAGAGCGCGATGCGGAAAGGACCCAACGCGAGTGCCCGCGGCTGGGCCACAGTGTCGGGACTGAACAGAGCTTCGACGCTGGGCGAGGACATGATCCCATCGTCGTCGTTCGAAAGCATCACGAAGACGTTCTCTGGCCGAGGTGCATGCGGCGGAAGGAGCAAGGGAAGCTTGTACTGAGTTTCATCGATCGTGTTGTATGGTTTCGGGGCGCGGGAGTACACCGAGAACCTGATGAGGCGGGCCTCGACGTCGGACGTCACGACGTCTCCACAAGACTTGTTGAGAACCACAGAGATGGACAAGGGGGAGGATTGAGAACGTTCGAGGAACGAAAGACCAACTTCTCCTGAAGCCCCGCTGAGGTCGTCGGCGTTGAACTGAGACCAGAAGCGCGGCACGTACACCGTCGCCTCCCGCCACGAACGACATACGCGGGAGAGATTGAGCAGGATCCGCGTTCGTGCGCTCGTCACCAGAGCTATTTTGCTTGCCGAGTGGTAAGACAGGAAGAGAGCGTGGCTGCAGATCTTGATGAAAACCTCGGGTGGAAGCTGGTTGATACCTGAGCGAGTGTTGACGAAACATGAAAATTCAATAGCAACGCAGCAACGCACCTTGTCTTCAACAGCTCCTAGTCATCAGGGAGAGCTAGCGCTACTCCTCGCTTGCTCCCAGCCCGGGATGGTTCATTGTCGCCACTCTTCATGCTGGTCGGGACGCTCAATAAGCTGGGAGATAGCGGGGTTGCCGAGTGGAAGAGGACATGCGTGGGGGATGGAGAGGGGAAATCTGCGAAACCAACCGACGGTCCAGTTCCAACGTTGCGCGTCTGACCTGATCCGGCCACACGGGCCTGACCACTTCCATTGTTCAACCACGTGGATGCAGACACCACACCTGCAACGGCAAGACACGGCCCCACGTCGACGGCGGATCCTCAACTTCAATTCCGTACAGCGAACGCTACTACTAGTCGTACACAGGTAGGATCACTTAAACATGCACGAGCACATACGAGAGGCCTCGGCGCGTCCCCGAGTTACACCTCCGCCCCCTCCATTTCGACCCATACCCCGTTCTGCGCACGCTCGTTAGCAACCGTTCTGTGTCTGTTCAAGTTGGCAATAACGCACCTTCGCATAAGCAGTCAAATGCGACCGCAACCACACGCGCTCGCGGCCACCGACGGCGTGCGGGGACCGCTCGACCGCCGGCGGGGGCATCGCGGCGGGATGCGCGTCCTGCCGGAGGGTGATCTTCGCGAAGCGCTGTAGGAGGCGGACGAGCATGAACGCGATCTCATTGTACGCGAACTACGCCACGGGTCAGCGATGGCGATGGCGATGGCGGGGAAGAGCCGAGAGCAGAGCAAAGAGAGCACACCTGTTGGCCGAGGCAGATGCGAGGGCCGGCGTTGAAGGGGAGGAAGATGAACGGGTTGGGAAGAAGATACTTCTGCAGACGCTCATCGAGGAAGCGGTCTGGGTCAAATTTAAGGGCTACGTGGGGTTCGGGTGGTCAGTCTCCCCGCCGAGACATAGACAGCGGTATGACCCACCATCGGGACCCCAGAGGTCCGTGCGTCGGTGCATCAAGAAGACTGAATACATCACACGCGAGCGAGGAGGAATGTAGTAGTCTTGTCCATTGGGTTTGTCCAACGCATCGAGTTGATGGTGCAGCGCGTGTTGATGGGGCTACAAAGCCATGGGTGCATCAGCGCTCGACTGAAACACATATAATGAACGACGTACACAGGAGGGTAGAGCCGGAGGACTTCGTTCGTGAACGCGCGCATATACTTGAGTTCGCGCACGTCGTCGTAGGTCGGGCGACGAACAGGGCCAACAACCTGCAACACTTCCGCACGGAGACGCGCGAGGATATCTGGGTGCTCCGCAAGCGCATACACCGCGAACGTGAGCGCGCAGGAAGTCGTGTCCCGGCCGGCGAGGAGGATGTTCAATGTCTCGTCCTTGATCACTTTGCGGTCTGCACCTTCCGCTCAGACCTGAGTACGCGCGACTGGTCGAGGAACCCACCATCCGTGTACTTCACGAGATGCTCCAACAACGTCTCATCGTCCCGGATCTCCTTCTCCCTCGCCGCCGCACTCGCACCACCCATCGCCGCCTGCTTGCGCACCGCCGCGTCGACAATCGGATCGATGAACTCATCGACCGCCTTGAGGTGCTTCTGTACACTGTCTTCCTTCATCTCCGCCAGCGGCCATGCCTGCTGGTACCGCCCGCGGTGCGCTGTGGCCTCGAGCGCCTTCTGGAATGCGCGGACGAAGCGGTCGGCGGGGTGGACATTGTCCTCTACGATATCTTGCGCTTGCCGGGGGACAATGATGGTGAGGCGGGGCCACAGGAAGGGACGGTCGGGCGAGGAAGGTGGAAGGCAGGGGAAGCGGGGCCTCGAGAGAGCGGCAGTCGCGGCCGAAGAGGAACTCGGTCGCGCTGTCCATGGTAAAGCGGGACACGAGATCTTGCCAGTCGACAGGGATGCCCTGCTCCATGCGCTTGGCGAGACGGTTCAACGCGTGCTCCGCGTGTCTTGAGATCGAGCGCATGAGAGGGAGAAAATAAGATGATTGGGCAGACTAACCGGTCGAAGATGTCGAAATGGGTGATGCGGTCCTTGCTGAAGAAGGGGCGAGTCATGGATCGATGGAACTTCCACATGTCGCCTACAGAGCCAGGCATGAGACGCGGAAGGCATCCAGATTTGAAGAGAGCGCACCATCAGCATTGAACACGCCCACACCGAGGAGAGTGCCTAGCTGCCCGTTGAGCAGAGGGCCTTTCTCGTATTGTTGGAAGTCCGTGGCAAGTATTAGCTGCGAAGACGGGAGGAGTCAAGATAGAGACAAGAGGGTAGAGCGAGGCAATGCACCTTGATGTATTCGGGCTCGGAGGTGAAGATCTGGGAAACGTTTTGGTCGCTATATATGCGCGAGACGGGTGGGAAGGACTCACTCGGTCCTCGAACATGACCCTGAAGTTGTACGTGAAACCAAATTTCTCCGAGAACTCCCAAAGTGTTTGGGCTGGGAAAACGTTCAATGGTGGTGCATACAGGCGCTACTGAGGACGCACCAAGATAGGCCGACTTGTCATTCCTGAAGATGCCCTGCACGACGTCCAGGCCTCCAGGGTACTTGGAGGCAATGGTTGGGGGCATGAGCGTGCCTGAAGTCCGGGCGGCCCAGAGGTTGGCGAGATCGGCGCATTGGACGCGGAGAGCGAAGGCGACGGGCCAGGAGAGGACATATGCGGGGACGAGGAGCCAGAGGGAGATGGAGGAGTCGAAGAGGCGATGGGCGAGGTGGCTGATGCCAAAGACCGTCGCGGGAGGGACGGCAAGATTCGGGACCTGCCGGAGGAGATATCGCAGCCCGGGCGTCAATTCCGGCATGGCTGATGGCGAAGCGGAGACGGCGGAGAGACCGAGAGGGCTTGGGCGCGGGGGGCGATGGCAGGCGCGGGTATGCAGCAGTGGGGGGCGACGGGAGAGGACGAGAAGGAGGACATCGACCTTAAGCTTCATGATCAAGTATGTATGGTGGGCGGCTCAGCGCTCAGGGGTTGACTTCCTTTACCGGCGCGGTCCCGCGCGGGAATGATCGTCTAGTACTCCTCAAATCTCTCTGTCTCTGTCTCTCTCCGCGCATGCGTAGCAGCTGCCTGTCGATTCAGTGCACCCCACCTTCCATGAATGCCCTGTTCACTCTAGAGGCTCCTCATAAATACGCGAATCCGTATTATCACCGGTGAGTTGTCCTCATCGATGGAGCTGCGCGGACGCCCACCACGCGCCCACAGACCGCAGAAACATGTCCGCGTGTGCCACACCCTCCTCGACATGAGATTCTCTCAACTCGTCTTCTTATCTCTCTGGGGCCGCTCTGCGCGTGAGATTATCTACCGCTCGGTCGCCGACTTTGTGCGCCCTCCTTAGCCCGCCAGGGGAGACATCATGCCCGAACGCTTCGACTGGTAAGCACTCACAACACCCTCTACCAACGCCACTAGTGGTACATTCACTAAGTATCCTGTTCAGACCGCGCCAGTCTGTATGTTAGACATTCCCCTGCCCGCCGTGGCTTTTCGGAACTAGCGCCTCAACGTCGAAGGCTGCGAAGATCCGGGTTTCTATCGCCCCGGAGCGACTAGCGGACCGGAGAAAGTGGCTCAGTGCTCACACACTACCCTAGGCTGCGGTCACAAGAGCTTCTCGTCTAGTTGGCGTGTTCAGAACAGCGCGTCGCCACCCCAACGGGAGGTCTGGACGAGAAGACGTGCCGCCCTGACGCCTCACCCACGGCGCTGGCTGTCCCAGGAACGGCCCCTTGCAAGGGAGTCCACGGCGTGCTTACCTATACTATCACGACCCCAGTGTTCGGACAGGCAAGCGCCAACCGAGGTAGTTCAATGCGTCCTCGTCGCCCCCCTGCACCGATAATCTTCAAATTCGATAGACACATTTACATTGCTTCTCTCCGTACTTCTGAAAACTTTGGGGGCGATTGGAGGAGATATGCGTGTATAGTCGTTGAAAGAGTGAACGGACCCTAGTGTTCGGACAATTCTCCGCACGTCGTCACAGACGCGGTCACGGCGCTCAGTTGTAGCCGATGTCAGAACCCGCCGTAAGAGAGCCGTTGCCGAGCCAAATCGAGTAGGGCGCTGAGACGTGACGCACAAGCGCTGGATTACTGTCACGCCTTAAGAGCTCGATTCTGTACTGTCGACGCCCACGAGGGCGCATCCTCTCGGAGAATTTGGCAAAAGGTTTTAAAGTACGCAAGAATTACATTCCCAAAATTCTAAGGGGAGCGCTGGGATAGGTGTTTCAGCCGAGACCCATCAAAGGTGGGACTTCTCCCGGTGAGGCGAGTGCATCCTTGAGATCGGACGCAGCTTGGTCTGGGGGGACGCAAAACTTCGAACACAGATGTGTGAGAAGCTATCCTAGCTAAATATAAAATTTTATGATTATCGGTGGAGGTACCGGAGCGGAATTCGCGTTTGTCCGAACACTAGGGTCTGTCCGAACACTGGGGTCGTGATAGTATGCGCGACACTCATATGGAGCTTGTAGCGAAACGGGGCGCATTTCTTCGTTTCCTCCGACCCCCGTACGTGCGAGCCTTATCCGGCACCCCTGCTCACTGTGACTGTCCACCATGGTGAGCCCTGGTTCCTGACATCCACTCTCATACACACCCGGCGCACCCGGGTTCGCCATCATCTTCCCAGTGCATGCCGCCAGTACAACCGCCATCTATCTTTGCTGGGTACATACAAACATACATACCGCCTCCGCATTCCAGATGCCAGTGTCACTGCCGTTCTCTACGATGTAAAACAAGCTCCAGATAGGCAGAAGCATTAATGGGGTAGTGGTAACCTGGGTCGTTGCCATCGACCCGCCGGGGGTTCGATTCCCCCTTAATGCATTACACGAATGAAGGATGTTTTGAATCACCCGTGCGACTCGAGCTCTTGCTGACCTTTTTGAAAGGGAGGGATAGCTTGGTCGACGGCACTAGAAAAAAATAGAGCGAAACTCGAAAACCTCGAGTAGCGCCTGGCAGCAGCGTGCACGGAAGGGTGTAAGCAAGTGTGAGAGCCTCACGCCTGGCAGCAGCACGGAAGGGTTAAGCCGGCATGGAGCCGCCCTGCGTCCTCCTCGTACTTCCCGACAAGGGGGGCTCACGCCACGCATGCCATTGACTCGTCAGAAGCACCCGTTAGGGATTGGATCTCCCGGGTTGTGTGGCATGGGGCAGACGCGCCGTGGGCGCGTCGAGGTGCGCGTGGACCTCCCGCTGGAGGGCGCACGGCAGCGCGCGCGCACACTTCCCGGAGGACGCACGGCGGCGGCGGAGGGTAAGACAGGTGCGGCGTGCTCGGCTCGTCCACTTGGAGGACTGGCCACTTTCGCGACGTGCATAGTTCGTGCCAGCTTGTGGGGAGAGGCGCCGGCCCTTCGTGCTCGTCTGAACGGGTTCGGACTTGGTGCCAGGCCGCTGCGCGGGCGACTCAACTCGTGTAAACCGTGTTTAAACACCGATGAAAAAGCGGAGTTCATCTTGTGTACCTCAACAGCGTTACCTCTCAGAGATAATTTTGAACAAGTGTGGGATCTAATCGTGTACGTCTTTTTCCTCCTACACCTTATACTTCGTCATCATCCGAGACAAATTGTACGCCGCCGAGATGAGTGTGACGTGCCTACGGAGCGCGTCAACATGGGATACTCGACTATGAGCGACCGAGGTACGCACGTAAAGCCTTGCACCGCGTTGCCGAGCCTGTGGAAACACCTCAGTCGTCAGCCACCGACGCTCACGTTCCATCAAGATACGCACGCTTCGCCCGCGTCCGAGATCTCCTCCGTGCAAAGCCCGAGGTGGTTCGTGTATTGCAGGAAGTCCTGGCACACCGCATCAGCGTCCTCTGGCAGCGCGGCTCCGCGGCCCACGCACCTCGAACATCGCGACCGCCTTGCCCTGGAGGGACTTGTCGTGTTCACTCGCGCGCGCGAGGGCCTCGATGGCCCTGGAGCGAAGGCGTGGTCAGCGTGCGGTTCGCGCCGAACCGGACGGGGAGCCGGGCGTGCGTACCAGAGCGTGCACAAGCAGAACGTGCCCTCCTCGCCGCCGACGCCGTCGTCCGTCTTCGAGACGTCGTAGCGGTACACGAGCCCCTGCGCGCGCGGACGGCAGTCAGGTTCCGGACCCGGACGGGACCGTCGAGGACGCCGCTTACGTTGGACGTCAGCCCGCCCCGCTCGGGGGTCTGCAGGATGGCCTTGAGCGTGCTCAGGAAGCGCGGGTCCGCCTGGTCCCGGTCACGTCAGCGCGCGCTCGTCGGCGTTCGAGCGGAGACGGATGAGCGTACCGGGGTGGAGAAGAAGACGAGGGGCATGATGAGCAGCGCGGAGTCGAGGATCTCCTTGTCCTCGTAGCTCTGGGAGAAGAACTGCTTCTCCGGGTTCCACGCGTTCTTCAATATCTCCTCGTACAGGTTGTCGCGCGCGAGATACCACTCGTTCCGGCGCGGGCAGGGCAGAGAGCGCTTTTCCGCGAGCCGGATGCCTGCCAACATTCAAAGTCAAGAGCGAGCCACGAGAGGCGACACCGCACGCACCGCGGTCGATCGCAACCCTGGCAGAGGCCGCGCTCAATACGGGACATTACGACCAGAACATGTGGCGGACTCACCACATCATGACCTGCATGTGTGATCTGTCAGTAGTGCTACAGACCGCATCAGGGTAACACGAACCTTAGAGTACTGCATCCAGGGATGTGATGGTCAGCCTGTCAGTTGGTACCGAATAACGAGAGAACCTACAGTGAAGTGCCTATGGCGGTTGCGGACCTCCCTGCATTTATCGGGCACTCTTAGTGTTCGTCTTTTCGTTGAATTACGACATTCAGGGGATCCTACTGACCAGATAGACCTAGAACGCAATTGTCCTTAGACCGAGAAGGGACGGCAAAGAGACGAACCAAAACCTACAGATCCGGCTCGTTCACGTGAGCAATGACGACTAGGGAGGGGCACGCAAATCAGCCACCGAGATATCGAAGAAGTTGTCCTGAACCAACATTCGACGCTACGTAGATAATGAGCAGATTGCTACACGTAAAATATGGAACAGCGCTCACATTTCTCGGATGGCGACCCTGGAGCCGAGGGAGGACGTGCTCAGCGGACAGTTGTGAGGATGGAAAAGACGACCGACCAGGTATCGTAACCCTAGATCCTCAATGTTATCAACCCCAGCACGATGGGGGAAAGCCAGTACTTACGATGGGCCTACCATACTGAAACGAAGTTAGCGAGATTCACATCATCAATGATACAACTTACCTTCTGCGAAAGGTACACACAATCCAATCTGACAATGCGGTTCATACACATGAGAAGACCATCCGAGCAGAGGAACTCACAATTCTCCGTAGATATCCTAATGAATGAAAAGTGTGATGATCTGGGTCTTTCATAGTCTGCGTTTTCATACGCACCAGCTGTACATGGTCTATAGCGCCGTTGCCAATCCTGCGTCGATGTGAGTCCCACAAGTGCCAATGACGTCATAGGAACGGATCTACCGCACGGGCTTCGAACCCTTGTGGCCGTCTAGATGAGAGAGCTCTTCCTCCGGGAAGTCTTTCTCCCCGTGTATAGTGTACCTGGAGGGTTTTTAATAACTAGGCGGCGCCGGATGTAAAAAACCGTACATGATCTTCAGCGAACCGTCGGGATCACGCCTCCTGATGCGCTCGAAAATGAACTCCATGTATGCTGTTGGATTATGGGTGCTCGCCATGACCTTCCCTATTCCGATCGAATTTGACCAACGTACCAGTAGCCTCATGAGTAAATCCGAGCCGGATCAAGGCGTAAAGAGTGAATGAGGAGTCGCGGATCCACGACGCCCTGGGGACGAATCAGCTCGGTTCGGCACCATCCATCAACCTTCATACCGGTAGTCCCTACACATTCACGCAATAAGTGCAATATCGCAAATACGAAATCCGCAGGAGACGCACCAGTTCCGCGTACCACCAATGTACTCAGGCAGGCTGAACGTTGGGCTCGCGACGACGGCACCCGTGGGCTCGTATATGAGCAGCTTGAGCGCCAGAGCACTCCGATTGACCGCTTCCTTCCACGAGCCGTTGTAGGTGGACCGCCTAATCCACGCGTTCCAGTACCGGTTCGTCTCATCGAGCAGCTCGCGCATGAGTTTCTGTGCAGCGGCGCCCTCAGCACATCGTCCAATCGGGAGACAGCCCCGCGCACCTTGGTGAGGATGGGGTCTTCAGGAGGGCGCAATGTAGTCGCCCCAGCGACAAGCTCTACAAAACTTTATCAGGATCGGGGAGACCGTTCTGCACGCGCGCGCGAGGGGCACGCACTCTCGTAGGGGACCCCGATCTCCCGCGCGAACTCGTGCGTCGGATGCGCCTGGGGCGGCAGATTCACCTCCGGCGGGGTGCGCAAGACGAACGTCACGGCCTGACCCTCGCGGAGGACGACCTCGGTGTACACGCCCTTGCCCTTGTGCCCCTTGCTGTCGAGGTCGAGGGGCGAGAGCTCGAGCATCGGGACGTCGACATTCTCGAGTGCGCTCTCGCCCACCCAACGCAGGTCGAGCGTCAGATTGGCCTCGGGCGAGGAGAAAAGCGCCTTCTGGTGCCCGCTGCGCGGAGACGTGGGCGAGGAGGACGCGACGGAGGGGTCGATGAAGATCTCGGTCGTGTGCGAGGAGCGCGCGTAGTTGAACGCGGGCGCGCACTCGACGCGGAGCGGCATAGAACCGCGGATGACCTCGACGCGGCGGATGAGCCAGGCGAGCAGGGGGCGCGTGGTGCTGCTGCTCGGCTGGCGCGGGAGGAAGTCGGTGACCGTCGCAACACCGGCTTCGTTGAGGTACCTGGAGAGGGGTCAGCGCAAATATCAAAACCGGGTGGACATGCACGCACTTGGTTTGGAGAATCTGAGAAATGTCGGACTGTGTAAGGCTCTGGCGTACGATCATGGTGGATGCTACTCACGTTGGAGTTCGGCAAGTAGCTCTGCTTGGTGGTGAATGGCGTTATGGGCGTGACCGACCAATGACCGCCCTGCAGAGGCGCCGATCAGGGAGGGTAGTTGCCTAGCGGCGTGGGGATAGTCTCACCTTGTCCTTATCCAGGATGCGGGCGAAGACGGAGGGAGAGTCGAAGTTTGGAACACAGTAGCTCTCAACTGCGAAGAAGGCGTGAGCACACTGCGCGGAGGATCGGAAAATAGGGGGCACGGAAGAGGGAGGAAGAGCAGACTCACTGGAGCCATCGATGCTGACCTACGCGCAACCTCAGGCCTCAGTTTGGTTTCTACTGCAAGGACCATGCGTCAAGTACGAGAGCAGCGGTCCGCAGGTTCCCGATGCTACACAGACGGCCCGGGTGAAATCAGCCTCTGCTTCGGTTCTTCTGAGATGACGATCGAAGGGGACTCACAGACCGTGGTCCGCGATAGGGATGTAATCCGGCTCGCCGACTGGCATAGGCTGGGTCACGTTCATGCCTTGAGATTAATACGGGGAGTGAGCAAAGGCAGACAGGAGGGAGAGGGACGCGAGCGACGACGGGCATGCAAGGGGGCTATATGGCGCCGACGGGCTCATGCGGGGAAGCGTTATGGCATCATCGACCCCGATCGCCCTCTGACGCGTCGCGGGAGAGCCGTCACACCCCCGTGACTGCACACACTGATCTCGCCCTACCCATCTCGGCCGCATCTGCCCAGATCTCACTGCTCAGTCAGCGCGGAGTCCATGAGAGGAGCTGCGTGCGCACGCACATTCGCCACACATAGCGCGCGTGGAGGGCGTGAATCTGGGAAGGCGCGAGCCGGCATAGGCCGGCGAGTGTGGGAGTTACGTTCAACGCTAGAATGTCCCAGAAGTCCATCGATGCACGCGTCTCATGCACATGTACACTGCTCTTCAAATGCCCGTTCTCCTCACCCTTCCGTCCGATGCTCTTCACCTTGGCGCCAACCTGGGTTCGTGACAGTCACCGCACCCACTCCGCCGTCGAGAACGCGGTCGATGACCAATTCCAGGCTCGGAGACACGGCGACGGCGTCCATCACCCACAAAGCGACCACGATCGTGCTGAGATGAGAAAATCACGCTCAGCGGAAGGGAAGTTTCGGCGCTCGACAACAAACTCACTTCTTCCCGTGAGGATCGAGGATACCGGGGGACCGGAACTTCCACTGGGCCCAAGTTCGCAACGCGCTGTTCCCGCAGCCCATGTCAGCCGGCGTAGCAGCGTGCGAGGGGCCCATGTCCACGCACCTTGCCGAACTGCAACCGTTCACGAACAGGAGCGCCCGATACGCCTGCCGAGTTCTTCCTCAAACGCGAAGCTCGCGAGAACGTCGGTCCGTCTGGGAAGTCGAGGTCGAGGGTCGTCGCGAAGAATCCAACGCCCGCGTTCCCGCCCGGAAGGCCATCTCCGAGGTCGCGCTCGTCCACAAAGACGTGTCGAAGCCGGGGAGATGCCACCCCTGGCGCTCGCGAAGAGCCCGCCTTCGTTCAGCACGCCGCGGAGCTTGTCGGGATAGCTGCACAAGTCTGCGTCACTCTCTGTCGAGGCCCACGCTGTATGGCAGAGAACTCACTCGGTGAACCCGCCGACCTTGCCCTGCACCTTCCACGTGGTGATGTTCCGCTATTGAGCTGGAAGCCTGAGATGCCCGGGCTGGCTTGATGTTCCCCCATTCGTCGTTGCCCATGTTGTCCTGCACGACCGTGATGACGTTGCCTTGCCCTGGGACGATGGCCGTCGGGGAAGGTGAACAGCGCGTTCACGTGGTCTGACGCCGGGTCGAAGACGGTGCTGATGAACTTGTCGTTGATCCAGACGGATGCGGCGAACGCTGGGGGGATTCGCGATCAGCCAAGCCCAGAACGCGAGAGGAGGGAACTGACCTGTGCCGCCGTAGATAGTCATGTTGACCGAAGTTCGGCGCCTGTTGCATTGAAGTGGCCTCGCCATAGAACAGTGTTCTCGCAGCTGCAAAGGTACGCTATGTCAATCATAGATCAATCGAGCGCAGGATCGAGCGCGACGCACAATCCATAGTCGCAACCTGCAGCCAATATCAGTGCATGCCGTCGCGCAGGCGTAGACGTGTACGTACCATACAGCACCGTTCCATCTCCAAACTGCGGCTTCAGGAAGATGTTCGTCGTCTTCTTGTTCGCGACCACCCACTCCGCATCATCAAACCCGGCTCCTACCTCTGGCAAGCTGTCCGCGTACCGCCAGTTCCCCAGCGCCACGGTGGTCTGCGCGTTCGCACTCGCCACTCGTCCCTCACTCCAGCCTGCCCGCGAGAAGATCCCTCCCTTTGCGGCTCACGGCGACCGGCGCTCCATTCCACGTCACCGCCTTGACGTCCGCGGGAGCGTAGATCGTCAGCGCGACACTCGCATTCAGATCGCCGCGCAGCGCGAGGGCCCGCGGCCGTCGAGGGTGGCGTTGCGCACGAGGTACGGCCCGCCGACGAGCACAGTCGCGTTTGTGCCGAACTGGAAGAAGTTTTTGAAGCCTGGGACCGCAGGAGCGGGAGTGCGCGGCGCGCGCATAGGTGGCGCCCAGAACGTCGCGGCGGTCACCGGGTCAGCGAAAAGGACGAGCTGGGTGGCGGAGTCCCATAGCGTGACCAGCCCGGCGTCGCCAGGGCTAACTGTCAAAATCGTGGGGGTGTTGTCTGAGGGGTGGCCATAAAAAGCAAGCGAGGTGTGAAGGCGAAGTACTGATGCCGTCCAGTGTGAGCGCGAGCTCGTGGGTTTGGCCTGCGGAGCCGTAGAAGAAGAGTACGTCGCGTGCTCCAATCGTGCCAGCGAAAAAGATGGAAGCAGTGGTGTAAAGGACAGAGCCTCGAGCGCCGAAGGTGTAGTCGGTGATGACACCGTGCTCTGGCGTCCATCTAGCGCAATGCCATCGACTGCTTGCGGGATCGTGAGCGTACCGTTGAAGGTAGGCACTGTGAGTGTGAAAGTGGTATTCGCGCTGGTAGATACATCAGTGGGAGTGACGACAAGCCAGAAACGAGACATACGTTGACGTGGAGTCGCTGTGGCGTGCAATGTGGAACCATGTTCCGCTGTCCGGATTCCTCAGGGACGTCACGAATATTCCTGTGCCGTGAATGGTGACGCCTGGGATGCCAGTACTCGAATTTCCCATCCAGTCCGTCTTGAGGAACTGCGGCGAGGAGCGTATGAACAAACCTTGCCGCTTTATCTCGTCGATCTTGTCTGTGAGAGCACGATTCTCTCGGATCGCTGACCCGTAGTCGTAGCTGGAGGACAGGTGAACGATCTGCTTGTTGCGATCTGATTATATGCGTACCTGCTGTAGACCCCAGGGAACGGTATACCGCCCCAACTCGTACCCCTACAAGCGGCAATCGGCATCGGAATGCAAGAACTCGTTGAGGTGGCTTACCCGAAGAACATGTAATAAGACATCATCTTGATGTTCGCTGCCCAGTTGTTCTTGTAGAAAACTTCCTCGAAGTCGGGCCCAGTGAGTTCCTCGCAAGCATCGTAACCCGGTCCGCCCACGGATCAAAGGAACCGCCCTGGAATTCAGGCATGTACCACGGCTGACTGGGGTTGACGTCCTCGTGCCACTGATGGTAAGTTTCCGTGACGCGATTCCGGTGGGTCGGATTGGAGCAGTTGAAACCCTGTGGGTACGCGTCCTGACCAAACATTCAAGGTCAAAACACCGCGCCGAGCAACAAAGGTGCGACCCTCACCAAGCCGTAAATGTCAACCGCGCCAGTGCCATTGATGAAACCCGCATGCATACCTGGGTCGTTGTATGTCCTGGGACCGAAGTCAAGGTATGAAGCGGAAGCGCAGTGACAGGCACCTACAAAGGAACAACGATGCCACCTGCTCTGTACTGATTCTCAAGGCCAGCGAAGTATTGTTGCGTTGGAGCCTCGGTCCAGAATCGATTTTCGTTGTCTGTGAGTCATAGTCCGTCGATCATGTGATCAGACTCTCGCGCAAGCCAGTTTGAGTGCAAAAACGCACCAACTTGGACGACTAGCAAGTGCGATTAGTATATGACAAGTACGGAAGCGGATCCTGGACACACTTATGACGGGCCCTCCTTCGGTGACTTGGTAGCCAACGCTCTCTTTGATGATTCCGTCTATGTATGGTTGATAGGCTGCATTCCAGTCGGAGGCGTTCGTTCTTACTGTCCCAGAGATTGCGCTGGTAATCCAATGGGAGATTCCACCAGAAGTAGTCTCTCCGTTGATCTGCGAAACTGATAAGTATATACCCGTATGAGCACCAAAGCCGAGGACTGACGTAAGGACCTGCATATGAGAATCGTCAGTCTCAAAACAAGGTATCCCTCGCCACGAACTGACCTGGACGAAGAATGATGAAGATACCCGCAAGCTGTGCAGCTTCGTACATAGCGCGAAGAGATCGCCAGTCATCAAAGTCGAGGGTTCCTGGAGCAGGATGCGACAATCCCACTTTGAGCTGGTAAGCACGCAGTTGTAGATCATTGCCAATACAGAGGACCTACTATGGATATAGACACTACGCGCGATGATCAGTTTGGTTCTCCGGATGGGCTCAGGAACATACCTCGCCGCATTAAGGCCTACCGCGACCATTTTCTGGAAGATGTCCAGCCACAAGTCGGGTACAGGAAGTCGGAAGGTATGAAACTCGCCCGCGCTGAGGCACTTGATGTGAGACGGCGTGACAGAGAGATGAACCCACTCACTGAAGGAACAGCCGCTGGCCATACAAGATGAGTGTGTGGTTGTCCCATGTGATGATGTCGCTGGCCCCGTTTGCGCGATGGGAGAAGCTGGTGGAGCCCGCAACCACGGCCACGCATAAGAACAACAGCAGAGCAGAACAAATCGCTCGGGAGGTGATGCCGAACGCCATGGTCGAAGATGGGGCGCGTGGGGGCAGCCTTCGCGGTATATATGCGCCTCAGCACCATCGGCCCGCATATGAAAGGCACAAGGAGCGAAGGAAAGAGTCATCTGCGAGGGCGTATGTCCATCGTAGAATATATGTGCGGGCCGGGGGGAGGACCGTCCGGAAGAAATAGATCACGTACCTGTGTCGCCTGACCAACGGCTGCCATTCTCCGGAAATTTGTGCCTCCCTTCGCGGTTTTGCCACGCGGAAAAGGCAACCCAAACAGCGCAGATTTGGCACAGTCAGAACCTAAGCTGCAGAATGGTAGGGGAGAAGACGGTTTGAGATGGGTGTTGTGGAGAAACCCAGTGGCGTAGATTGGGAACACAGGAGCACCAAGGGGTAGATGGTATGAACGATCCGGCGAGGAGATGTTCGAGCAGCATTGGAGTAGCGCAGACACACCGATGTGGCAGAGTCCGAGAGCGTTGGAAAATCCTGTCGCCACCAGTGAAGTGTCACAGTGCCTTTCCGGTGTGACACATCGTGACTCAAGCTTCTCTTGTACATATATAAGGTGCGACCGCGCGACTCACGTCATCGACTTGTCACTGCCTACATATTGTGTGCCAGGGAGTACAGGTAGCCATTATATGTTGATGATCATCAGGTGTTGAAACAGCAAGAGATCATTTCGCGCTTCACCATACATAGTCAATGCCACCAGGTCCTGTTTGGCCACGACCGTTCCTTCAAGGCGCCGCTCCTCCTCCCTCCCCCCTCCTCATCCGACTGTATCCTTCTTCCGGAACCGCATCGTTATTTTTGTCGTCTCCCTGGCGGTAGAAAGTAGGCGACGAGGACGATTCCGATCGCTTCGTTCCAGAAACTTGGCGCGCGCTGCAGGCGACAGCGAATCCCCCGCAGCGCTCACGGAGATGAAGGCAGACGGGTAGTCGACGAGTTCATCGATCCATTCGTGGAGGGGCGGCCGATAAGCAGGCGGCGATCCGGGGTAACGTGGGCCTGGAGGTGGGGGAGAAGGAGATAAGGGACGACGAGGCTCTCGTGGAGTTCCCCGTGAAGGTGACGGTGAGTCCCCCCTTGTCCGCGTGGGACCCGAGCCTGAGCAGAGGGTACAGACCACAGCGACCAAGGGCGAGTCGTGAAACCTTGTCGTCACGACCTGCATGCTCATGGGCACGGTGTATGCACTATATCGCATTCATGCTCGTCCGCCTCCTGCAGCGCTTCACGAAGATCACTCTCTGGCAGGACGAGCATCCCGCCGCGATGCTCTCGCCAGCCGTCGAGCGGTCTCCGCACGCCGTCGGCGGCCGCGAGCGTGTGTGGTTGCGTTCGCACCTGACTGCATATGCGAAGGTGCTCTGCGTGGTTTTTGGAGGACTGAGCGCTGAGCTCCCGTTATATTTGCTTCCTTGCTGGAGCGATGTACATACTGGATATGATAAGATCACGATTAGATTACGTGCAATCTTAGCGCTCCCGCGCCACTACGTCGCGCAGGATGGCGAATAGGGTTCCCAACGAAAAAGGGTGCGATCAGCCCTTAGATGCAGGCCCACAGGCTGAGAACACTCGCCCACCCAGTGTCACCCATGTAAAGAGCCGCACCTGTACTCCGTACGCGGGATATAAATGCTTGATTTGAAAAAAAAAAAAAAATTGGGTTCCCAACGATGTCCTCGTCGATATTTTCGAAAACGCTCTTTCTGCGCGCTACTATCCGATCTCTTCGGCGGAACGTCAGCTGTCCTGCAGCTGCACGAGGATTCTGCTCAACCTCTCCCACGTATGCCAGTCCTGGCGAAGAGCAACGCTTTCTGTCCCGCATTTTTGGTTCCATTTCAGAGCGTGCGATCGAAGTGGTCTCTCAACAGATCGGTTTCGTCCATTCCTCCAACGCTCTGGGAACATCTCCCCTCTTTTCCTCTGATTTCAGGCCAGGTCATCGTGCGAAGAACTGATCACCCCTGATGTGAAGGCCCGTCTCGTCCATTTCTCGCTAGAAATAATCTCCAAGGAGCCGAAGACGAGGACATGGATCAAAGCAGATACACGGAAATACTTAGTTCATCATTCCCCCTTGATTCTCCTCGTCTGCAAAGTATTGCGTTGTTCTTTCCCCAGCACCGAAAGCTGTTCTTCTCAGATCTTTCTGTCGACTCCCTCTTCAGCCAGGCCGCCCAGGCGACGAGGTCCCAGCTACGAGCACCACAGCTGGATCCTCTCCGTATGGCCCTCTCTCCCATCTCTTTCCCACAGCTTACTCATCTCTACATATCGTTCGTGAATTGTCCCCCATCTGCGCATCTCCCAACAGCGCTCTTGCGTCTTCTTCCATTCCTACCGCTCATTGAGTTTCTCTTCGTCCACGAGGCATGTTTGGAAGCGGCGCTACCAATTACCTTCCGGCGCACAGTCCTCATGGGGTCTATGAAGACAATAACGTCCTCCCGTTGCCACTGGCCTTTCCTGTACTCCCTCCTCGCCGGTTTTTCGTATCCCGGTTCTACACACATCTACATCTCATATGCAGGTGCGACCCCCCACGGGATGACCATCCCGCGCATTCCTGTCTTCGACGGCGCAAGACGGATGCACGTTCGCTTCAACCCGTACAATGAATCGATGACCATCGATGGTCCGCCAGCCGACAAGCCCTCTCGACGCCCCATCGGTCGATTTCGCCTCCACAAGAGCTATCACAGCTTTGAGTTCACGCAAAACGACATCGACTTGCCGTTCGCATCGATCGCGGAACTCCATATCTGCTTCTCCGAGGACTCCGTCAAGCCGGACGCAGTCGACACCGTCCTCTTCCTCCTCGGACGCATGCCGGCGCTGACGGACCTCGTCCTCGACTTTTCCGACTGCAAGACTGCGTTCGTCAAGGGCGGCGCGGTCGATCCGTTCGCGGTCATCCTCGAGCCCCTCCTAAACGGCTCCGCAGCCCCCGGCCGTACCCTGTACCCCCACATCAGTAATTTCCCAAAGTCCTGTGGGGTCCTGGCGGGCCTGACCAGGGTTTCCAGGAACCCAGGGATTTTGCTCCAGGCGTCCGGGCGTTCAGGCCGTTTCGGGGCGTTTAGGGCCCCAGGCCGGCCAGTTCAGTCAGGGATTTCAGGAATCCGGCAGGTGGGGGGCATATAACATTTATTATCACGGACATACTATCGTACATGTAGGCATACAGACGGGTGCGACTCTTCACAACGCTCCTCGTACGTGTCCGGGTCCGAGCCCCACTTCGTCGGCGCAACTGCGGGCAGTGGCACGGGCATCAGAGGGCATCACACCGCGAAGTAGCACTCGCTCTCCAAGTCCGAGCCGTCGCCCGCGCTGCCAGACCTGAACCCGCTCCCCCAGTGGCTACGCGCTAGTGCGAGTGTGCGGAGGACGGCGAGGGCGACGTACATGGGGAGCGATGCGGGGAAGGCCGTGCGCGGGAGCACCCCGGCGTTCGTCCGGGTCGAAAGCACGGATTTGGTGGGAGCCTCCTCACCTCGTGCACCTCGGACACGAGCAGGTCTCGAACCTGATGGTGAGCTGTGAGGGGGGGCTCGAGCCACGCCCCACCGAGGGGAAAATCTCGTGCGTGCGTAGGCGCCGCTTCGTGTTCGACCGGACTGCGAACGAGTTTGTGCACGTCGGGATCGGGCACTTGAACGCTGCAGCAAACAGAGTTGAAGTTGAGTCAGCATGGAAACTGACGCAAGTCCACACACGACACACGACCACAAACATTTCGCGCCCGAGTGCGAGTTCGTGTGCGTTGCGAGCCCACTCAGCCGGGGGAACATCTTAAAGCACACCGTGGGTGCCTCTTGCTCTTCTTCGCCGGCCCCCGCCGCTGTGCATCTCCGCAGCGGGATATGATTATATGGTTGCGGAGGGAGGTGGGCGCGAGCTCATCGAGGAGGTTAGTGTCGTACCTGGTGTTGCACAGAAGTCCGGTCTTGGCGTACAAGTGCTGGCGGAGATGCTCGAGCCTGACGTACAGCGGGATATTGGACGCTTCAGATAAACAACTCACCCGGTATTGATCGTACGCCCATCCACCTGACACTTTCTGTCCCACACAGCCGAAAGAAGGGTGTAATAGGCCTGTCGAAGCGTCGAAATATGATCAGAGATATGTTGGATACTATGGGCATCCATAGTACCCACCTTATCCATAGTACCCACCTTATCCATAGTACCCACCTTATCCATAGCATGAAGCCTTCATATGGGCTTGGTGTGGCTTTTTTCGCGTTTGTGAGCACGCTGATACCGCTATGACTTGTCCTCAGGCGGTGTGTCAAGTGGTGGAGATGGGAGGAGGGTGAGAGGCGACTCATGTTAGGCGCCCGAGTCCTGCGCGTCTTCGGTGCCCACCGCACGCGGCTTTCTCATCTTGCTTCTTGACCCAATCTCACTCTGCTTTCCTCCACTCCCGCGTTTTTCCCCGTTACGCGCCCTGGGGCCAGGCTTCTCTTCTCCAGTATCAGCTCCGCGCAACACCGCCCTAGAAGATGCTGCCTCCGATAACAGCGAGGTCGAAGATGTCCTCGACCCTGAGCAGGTGGAACTTGGAAGACGCTCTGTTCCGCGAGCTCACCACGCAGGCTGCTGCAGGCGACATCCCTCAAGCGAAGGTTACGCTCTCCGCATGGCCAGGTAAGTCATCGCTGTAGTTGTCCATTTGAGCCACGCAGATGTAGCCCTCCTTTAGGGATCGTCACAGGTATACCCAACCCGCGCAGGTCACGGGTGCCGGTGAGGGTCGCGCAGGTATCGACTATCATGATCTGAACCTCAAGAATGACAACTCGAAGATCGTACGTGTTGTCGCTCCCGTTCTCTTCAATCTTGTCATACTCACTGGCCGCCCTGAAGACGTGCATCATCGACTGGGAGTTCACCACCGCACGCCCGATTTGGGCGTGCGCGCACGTCTCCGCCTTCCTACAATCTTCGCCCTTCAACGCAAACTTCTCTTCCGCGCGACCATCGAGCGCCTCGCCCGCTCCCCTAATGTGCTCATGATCCACGGCCGTCCCGTGCTCATCCCGCTCGCCGACCTTGCCTGCTTCTGGCTGCACCACGAGGCGACCGGCATGGCTCGGCGTGAAGGCGGTGCTCGTCCTCGGCCTCAAGGTGCGCGACCTGTAGGTACGCGTGGAGGACGGGTTCGCGCTGCCCGGGGGTGCGATGGTGCGCGAGGCGGTGGAGGAGGACATCGCCTGGTGAAAGTGTCCGTTCCTGGTCGGTGAGCACTTTCCCATAACCTCTTATTGATCCTGCTGAATCGCATGGCAGTCGCGACCATCGGGACCACGAACACGGGCGCGATGGACCGCGTCGACGAGATCGGGCAAATCCGTGAGTGCGCCTACGGTTATCTGAGCGCCGTGGTTGCTGATCATGCCAACCGCGTCCAGTGAAAGACTACCCCTTCATCTGGTTGCACGTCGACGCCGCGTGGGCCGGCATATCCTTTGCTTGCCCCGAGTACTGCGAGCAGAGCCAGCTCGCTGCCATCAACGAGCACGCAAAGTCGTTCTGCACCAATTTCCACAAGGTCTGCCGTGCGCCCGTCCCGCCTGCCCGCCCCTGCTGACAGTGCGCGCAGTAGGGCCTCGTCAACTTCGACGCGACCGCACTCTGGGTCTGCCAGCGCCACGACCTGATCGACGCGCTCGACGTCACCCCCGCGTTCCTACGCACGAAGCAGTATGATGCCGGTCAGTCGCTCGCCTGGAGGACGCGTACGCTCCCGACTCGCCCGTTCCTGCGATCTCGCTCGCTCGACTCACGTTCCTTCGGGCAGTCCACACCCTCGAGAGAGGAGCTGTCGCGCTGGTTGAGCGTCGTGAGTGGCCGCGCCGGGAACGTGACGGCGAACACTACCTTCTGCGCTTGACGTGTACATTAGAACACTTTGTATACCTATTCTTATCTGTGTTCCCACCCCTAGGCCGCCGCCGCCGCCGCCTGAATCCCTGTGCGTGCCGGGCGTCCTGGATCCCTGCGCCGCCCTGTGCGTCCTGTATGGTCCCGATTCCCCTGGATTCCTGAAATCCCTGAAATCCAGGGACCCAGGGATTCAGGGATTTTGGAAGTTACTGATGCACCTCGGCGCGGTGGAGGTCAACTTCGGATGGAGGTGGCACCGCCTGGGGAATAGGATCGCGGCGCAGTGGCTCGAACTGCTGCGCGAGCGCGTTGAGCAGCCCGTATCCGCTGCCGATCGTCGCCGAGATGTGCTTGCTCACTGCCCAAGCTGGAGAGACGTACGGTAAACTGATTCGATGCGCGTACTTCCCCGGGGATGATGCCGCGTTACCACGCACGGAGGACGGGGAGGGTACGTGAAAGCGAAGGGCGGAGTGGAGTGGATGGTTATAGAAGGGCCGTGGAATTAGTACTGGTACGGGAACGAAAATTTTCATCTCTCTGCGGACATAGCCAGCATTCGCCGGTACTGGAAAGCCCCGACTATGATGACTCCGTGGTACCTTGAGGCGTCCTAGTTTTCGGGGTTCGGATGTTCGACGCCTGTCATTTGACGGACTACTTCTACGACTAGAATAACACTATTCCGAGACGGCGGACTGGTTTGTGTCGGGGTTGGTGGTACAAGGTGCGCCGCGCGGGCGTGGACGCGCGGCATGCGCATCAACGCCCGCGACTGCCGTCACTGACATGACGGCGTGAAGTGGATGGCGGAGGGTGTCGGTTTCCGCGGCGCACCTCGCGCGCATGCCTCCTCTAGCCTCGATGATCGAGTCATGCTCCACTTTGGGTGCAGGCTCCGCCTCCTCAGGCTGGAACACCGAGGGGATGGAGGTCGTGGTGTTTCCAAACTCAAAGGCGCTTGCGGAGGGCCGAGGCGCGAGTGCCCGCCGGGTTCAATGTGGTAGCGGTCGACTTCGTGTGGGGATGGCTGGAAACCGGTGGGTCGTTTGTGGGCGAACCCAGGGGAGCGTAGGAACATGGGTATCTCACGGTCGTCGCGGAAATGTGCCAGGTGCTGTCAGCCGTGGTTCTTATCGGAGGGTATGGACGAGACCAGCACGTAGCTGGGACTCACGGAACGTATTGTGGATCTGTGGATCAGGCTCGATTTGGGGTGGCGGGAACCTTGTATTTACCACCCGAAACGCAATGGCTCAACTCGAAATGGATGACGGTATCCTGTGACCACCAGGATCGCCCTGCACGGTATGCGGGTTGTTATTTGATGGGTCCGATACGATGGAAGCAAAGCGCACCTTTGGAGGTATAATGGTGGTCGCGTAGGCGATATCAGGGTACACGCACACAATCCAAGAATATGAGCGACCTTCCTCCGACTTCGTGCACCCCTGATCTGGAGCGCGTTTGACTACGGTCCAAACCATATTGCTGTCAATTCCCGTTCAAACAGCGAGGGCAATGAGAAACCGCGGCACCAATCACGGCGGATGGGATTACGTGCCAGTATCCCATCACTCCGAGATGGACGGACGGGGAAGGACCACGTCCAACTTGGGCTGGTTCGGCCCATCGGCGATGCAGTGCCGCCCGTGATCCTGGGGGTACGCTCAGTTGACTTTGTCTGTGGACGTGGCAGAAGCAGCCACCTTGTTCGAGTCGTCGGTGCTCGTTCGCGAGCTCGTGCCGGTTCCGGTTCCAGTCTCAGTAAGGACGAGCATAGGAAATGGGTGTCCTACGTCCATCGCGAGCGTGGTGTTCAACGCAAGCGCTGACCGCGAGGGTAAGTAGGAGTTGTCACTGTGGAGGACGTCGGCGGAGGAGCTCTGGTAGGCGTTATTCCGCATGCGCTCGATGAGGCTCTGTTGCACCACTTGCAACATGCGTCTGCGCCCGAGGAGACACGGCGGGGGTGCTGTGGCATGAGGTGTCACCAGTGTGGGTGGGGCTGAGCGGAGATCTAGGGAAGACGAACCGCACGCTTTCAGAGATTCACCCCCTGGCGTCGTTGTGGACGTTTCAAGCAGACAGTTCTGCATACCGGGGGTAAGTACAGCCCGCTGACGACGGAGTACTCTCAAAGTTTCTCAAAGTTGAAGCTAACCGCGGTAGCGGGCAGCGGCGGTGGCGTGGGAAGAAGACGGACAGTGTGGCGGCGCTTAGACAAACAATAGCGCGCGTGAGGCTTTGGCTTCAAACCAAGGTCCACTTGCTCATACCTCTTGTCGCGCTGCAGACTCTACGCTCTCGTCAGAAACGGAAAATGAACGAGCCTTGAATCTGGGGAGCCGCAATTACGACCGGTCGACAGCAAGTCGCCGGACGACGCTGGAAGCCTGATACCTTTCTCAAACAACTTGGTCGCACGGCTGCCCGTACAGATTGCTGGGCGCGACGGGACTGTCGAATGTCTGATATCGCCTTGTATTCCCGCTCTACTTCTGGCTTCTGTGGACCCGTCGGTGATATCCGCAGTACCTGCGATCGGAGCTACATTCCAGTCGCTTCAAGCTTGCCACCAATTTAACTCCCGACTCGCCCCACTCTAGAGCTCCATCCTATCGCCAACCGCAAATTCCCCCTCGTACCGACGCTGCTTGTGCCTATGGCTACTCCACTCCACGCCTCTGGCTTGCGGGATCGACCGAAGCCGTATCAGAAACGTGTGGAGTTCCAAGAGCTCCCGTTTCGTTCGCGCTTCCAACAGCAACGCGAACGGATTCTCAAGTTCCAACGCAGATGGGAGCGAATCAAGGAAGACCTTCCACCACAGCTATCTCGAAGACATAGTACGTATCATCCTATTTGCTGGCAGAGATATTTTACATTCCTACAACTCGCAATCGTGTTTTAGTCGGAATGATCTCCATCGGTGCGTATATAATTATCAGACTCTCGCTCGCGTGCTCATCCGATCCAGGTGGTGTCATCGGAACGGGCTTGTTTCTAGGTTCTGCGGTATGACTTCATATATAGTTTCCTGGCCCATCTCTCGTTCCGCTTCTGATCTATGACTGCAGGAAGCACTCAAGAATGGAGGGCCAATTGGTTCCTTGATCGGATACATGATCGTCGGCAGCATGGTTTTCTGCCTTTGTGTCTCTGTCGGTGAGATGATCGCATTTTTGTTCGTTTATTACGCCGTTTATACCACAATCACTGTCTTACGAACATACCGTAGACCAAACGTGGGCGGTGTTGTCGGTTTGGCAGACCTATATGTTGATCCTGCACTTGGGTTCTCGCTGGGCTGGGCAGCGTGGGTGAGTACAGTATGTTTTTATATCTGGCACCGTCCTGATGAACTGAAATACGTTAAAGTACAACTGGAGCATCACTTTGCGTACGTCGAATTATTTACGTGTTTCACCGTTGATTGGCTGACAACGTACCAACAGCCGCCGAGATTTCGGCCGCGGCGCTTGTAATAGGCTACTGGAAGGACCTCTCAACACCTCTGTGCGTATCCCTACTCCTTGGCTTTCGTCGTGCTCTAACATTTTCGCCAGCGTGACAGTCATTTCTGCTATATTTGTCAGCTTTCATCACCATCATGACGCGCTCTATATCTCATGACTAGCAGCTGCTGATGGCGACAATAATCAACTGCTTTCCGTCCAAGGTCTACGGAGAAATGGAGTTCTACTTATCTTTCTTGAAAGTGGTAACGATATTGGTTATCGGTACGAGACCATTTGCCGTGCTGTTATCATACGAATGGACATGACAGAGTCTTCAGTTATTTCCTGTCTTATGATCGACTTGGGGGCATCACACCTCGGGTAAGCATCTACAACTTCGTTCCGCCGCTCTAAGGAACTCATAACAATGCATACTACCAGGTGGATTGGTCTCCGACACTGGATTAAACAACCTTTTGCCCATGACTACTTAGGGATTGACGGCTCGCTAGGTCGCTTCTTAGGGTTCTACGCCGTCATAATGCAAGCGACATTCTCCTTTTCGGGATCAGAGGTTCCTGGGATTGTACGTGCTAAAGCTCGATGTTGTGGATGTGTCTTATCTCATGCGTATAACTACTGTAGGCTGCAGGTGAAGTCATTGATGCTTCCAGGGTGAGCCCCGTTAGTTCCTGCCATCACCCGAGCTTGCGCTAAGTGTATCCTCAAGAACGTCCCACGTGCACTGCGAAAAGTATGGATAAGAATGTACCTTCAATTCCTCCCAATCGAGTGCCGTAGTCTAACAGTACCCAAAGCACCCTCTTTTACGTGGGAGGAATCTTTGTAGCAGGACTCCTCGTTCCTGCCGATGATCCGCATCTCGGTCTCGACAACCAAAACGGCTCTTCTTCCCCATTCGTTATCGCTTTCAACATCGCCGGATGGAAAGTCGTACGTATCGCCCGACGCGCTCCCCTACTTCACCGCTGACCCCCGCTGTACCGACAGCTCCCGCACATGTTGAACGCCGCCATTCTCGTCTCTGCATGGTCCGCCGCGTCCTCGGACATATACGTCTCCTCCCGCTTCCTCTTCTTCCTCGCCTGCCGCGGCCATGCTCCTAGTATCTTTGCCCACCTCTTCCGCTACCCGCGCCGGCGCACCGCGAAAGACCCACACGCGGCGCCGTATTCCGAGCCCTACTCCGACTCCGGAACCGACCCCGATTCAGATTCAGAATCAGGCGGAGAATCGATCATGGAAATCCGACGCGATCCCCCACCCTCGCCGGACTCGCCCGGCGGGCCGCGCGGGGAGGAAGTCGCGCCGTGGCGCCGCCGCGAGCCGACATTCGTGATACCGCTTGCGAGCGTGTTCGCGAGCGCGTCCGTCGGACTGCTCACCTTCCTCAGCTACCACACCGGCAGCGCGGCGACGGTGTTCAACTGGCTCGTCGCCGTGGCGAGCATCGCGTGTCTGCTGTCGTGGTCCGGGATGCTGTTCACGTACATCCGGTGCGTTGTCGTTTTTTTGTGGGCGTTCTAGGAGAGCGACTGACGATGGGAGCCTGCGGTAGATGGCACCAAGGGACGGTGTACTACGAGGAAAAGTACAGAACGGACATGTCGCCGGCGGGAGACGAGGCTCGGGCGCAGATCAAGCAGATCAAGATCCATCGCCAGTGGGGGCAGCCATACGTGAATATCCTCGCCATGGACTTCTACTGCGGTGCTGACCGACGTTTCTACTCTCGTACACAGCTGGCGTGGTACGCATTTGCGACGTGCATCCTTGTTCTCCTCACAAACGGCTGGTATGTCCGCGCGCCGATCTCACTGTCTTCTGATGTCGTTGAATCTCCACCGGCGCACAGGGCTGTGTTCTTGCACAACGGATGGAAGGTCGCGGAACTTGTCCCATCGACTGAAGAGAAGATGTACAACGACAGCCATAAGATCTCCCAGCCGATCTTGGTCTTTCTTTCGTCCTACATCCCGCTGGTAGTTCCCGATCTCTACTGTTTAACTACTACAGGACACTGACACCAACTGGCAGCCTATATTCGTTTTACTCACATTCGGGTACAAACTCGTCATGCAGACGGAGATGATGCCCTTGGACAAGATGACGTTCTTCCGCGGGGAGGTTCCTAGTCCGCTTCCCGAGTGTGAGCCTACTGGTTGGCTGGAGCGGCTCCTGGCATGGCTAATGGTAATATGACAAGGGGTGTTACGCAGCGCCGATGCATATGAAACGTGTCCGCGATGCTCGCATGCCATATGTATAATCTGCTCGTGCTCGATCTCTGTCGACAACCTTCAAGGACCTTCGTCCTCGTCTGCCGCTTGTAGGCGGTCCTGGCGCCGCCGCTCGATCTGGACAGCTGTACGCCCATTGCACGCTTCCTCACAGAAACAGTCGTTGACAACGAAATACGGCTCCGCGAGCTCCCATGTACACCGCCAGCGAACGCGCTCTGCTGAATTCCGTACTAACAATGCGGCGTCCTCGGGCGCATGCGCGAGACCGTCCGTGCAGCGGTCCTCACGCGTGTTCGTGCTTCGCAGTGCACGTCCCTGACGGCTCCGAGGGCGGTGTTTTCTCCCCCAAGTTTCAGCGTGCACAGTGTTCATTGACGCTTGGACTAGTTCCGCGCCCTCCGTCTATCTTGTTGGCGATAGCATGGCGCCGAATCAATGGTTGCTGACGTCGAGCTCACGCTGACTGAAGAGATGGTGGCAGCATGCTGAGTATGGAAGGAGCGCAGGTCGGTGTGAGGCAGACAGGGGTATTCGAGGTATATAGACGGCTGGGGGGAGACTGGAAGGGAAAAAGGTTGAGAAGTGGTAAAATCCCGACGCTAAACTGGTGGGGGCGCCTCCCCGGCCCGACGGATCGCGATTCGCGTGACCGCGGGCAGCGTCGCCTTCCATCGATACGCGCCCCGTTTACGGTCTTCTGTTCGTCCATCACACCCCGCCTCGCCTTCGAAGACTGGGATACTCTAAACATCGCGAACAACACCATGTTTCTGGAGGATGAAATTGAGAATGTCTTTCGACGGCTTCGCGCTCTGCGCGGCGAGATCGACCTATCTACATTGAGGTGTGTTCGTTGATCATGCGCATGCAAGTCAAATATGCTCACAAAGCGTGGATATTTCAGTGCGGACAAGGCAAGAACTATGATCACATTTACTCACTTTGTGTCTATGCTGATCCCGATTGGCAGATTTTCGCATTTGGTGACGTGCTTGCAGACTGTGCACGCAGTATCTACTCTGTTGGGAACTCTCGCTCGAGAATGGACACCGTTCCGGAGGAGATCTTCCTAAAAATATGTCATTTCACTCTTGCCCCTTTGAAGGGCTCGACTCGTACTCTCTACGGAAGCCTTTTCAGCAACTCGGTGACGGAAAAAGAGCAGAAGAATCGTGTGAAGACCCTTCATATATTGGCAGGAGTTTGCCGGTCTTGGCGTCGAATCACCATCAAGGCGTCGTCTTTGTGGTCTTATCACAGCGACTGTATACGCTTCGAACGGAAGGACCCCGAAGAACGATTTCGCACATGGATCCAACGCTCGGGGTCTTGTCCACTCTCTGTGTCCATCCACATCCCGACCACCGTGTCCATCGATGCATCTGCATTGATCCGCCTCGTGAACGTTCGAGTGGCCATTCAATACGCACACGATACTGAAGACCAGCTTTCACAAGTGTTTCCTTTGGAAGCGCCTCTTCTCGAAAACGTGGTCGTTCTCGCTCATAGACACGCCGGACTCTCCATCAATGATCTGTTCGCGGCCACTCCATCTCAGCTCCGCGCACTCGCACTTTCTTACATAGCAATCCCATCGTCCCCCGTGAATTTCCCCAGCCTCACCAATCTCTACCTCCACAACTGTGCGGAGGGGGCGACGCTTCATGGCTTGCTCGGTCTACTCTCTCATTCCCCCAACATCCAGTTCCTGTTCTTTCACCGGGACCTGCATCCTCCATTGGACTACACATCCTTAGAGGTACCACTCCCCAAAGTATCCATGCGTTCTCTGCGAGTCGTCACATTCCTCGAGAGCAGGTGGCAATTCATCTTCTACATGATCAACAGCCTGTCTCTTCCCAAGAACGCCCACGTCCACCTCCGGCCCAGACAATCCCCTGGCAGAAACGTCGGAAATGTGGTTCCGGTCGTGCAGCTTCCTTATCTAACCTTCTACGACGTCGCTACCCGCCTCCATTTCCAGCTCACTCCATACGATATGGCGATGGTAATCGAAGGCTCCCAGGACCCCACGGACCTCTCGCGCCCAGCCGGGCGATTGCACACACAACACAACGACGCCTACGACTACTTCCGCAGCACCGCGCTTCCGATGGTCCGCGAGCTATGCGTACGCCTCAGGGGATCGCGTGAGCTCAACTGCAACGTATTCAACACATTCCTACATCTTCATCAGCTGCCGCAGCTCGAGACCCTCGTCCTGGATGTCGGCCTCCTCGGCTACTCGCACGATCCTGTCATGCGGCACGTGGAGAACCTGCTCGACGCCCTGGTACCGCCCACAGGGGATCTGGTGTGCCCCGCTTTGCGCAGTGTGGTCGTCATCCTCGAGATCGAAGAGACGGCGGGGCCGCGCTTCTTCCGCAACCGCTGGCTGACGCTGCTCGAACGGTCCGGGCACGTCAAGATGCGCGAAAAGCGCGGGTGTCCGCTCGCGCTCAAGGTCAAACTCTGGGTTCCGGTCGTGGGCTCCGACATGCGGGAAGGCTCTATATGGAGATGGGATTACGACCCGGTGGCGCCCGGAGCTCTGGGTGAAGACGCGAAGACCCTTTTGGCGGACTCGAAGGCGGAGGACCGGGCTACGACGTCGCTCGTGCAGTGGGTGGAAGCGGCAGGGCAGCGGAACGCGGATAGATGCAACCAGAAGGAGCCATTCCTGTTGGAGCCATTCGTGTTGAAGGAGATGGACGAAGCGACGCAGTACTGGGGGAATGCTGAGATATTGATCCAGCCGTGGATACTGGACACTATGTAGACGACCTCGAACATTCCGAGTCGCTCGCCGCGTGTGGTGGAGTAAATGAGCAGTATGCATGGACGCGCGTGAGTTCAGATACAGAAAGAGTAAGGCAGGGTACGTACGCAGAAAAATGACAGCGAAGGACAGGAGGATGTTTTGTACACTCTCTCCTCCCTCTCCGCACAGCTTGGCGCCGTGCGGCAGCGCGAATATCCCACAGATGTGCGACACTCGCTGCGCATGAAGCCAGCACCGTCGCGAGCTCGGAGCTCGGATCTTGCCATCAAGTTGCGCCGTGAGCTCGAGAATCCGCGCTAGTGGCCGCATCCGTCGTGCACGAAGACGTTTGCATATTAACCGCTCATGGTGAACCTTCTCGGCGTGTAGTGTGCCTCTGCGTGACAATTCGTGCCCGAGGAGCTGAGAAAGATAAGTGTAGGGTTAGGGTCCTGACTCCGAGGATGGCGAGACAGGAGGCCCGCCCCCACAAGCTCATCGACATCCCTGCTGATGCACCTCCATCTGTTCAACCCCGTCACTACCAGGCGGGCCCAAAAAATGGCGTCGTGCAAGCGCGACGTTCGGCGCGGACGGACATCGCAGCATCACCCAGCCCATACGGACCACCTCTGTGCGCAGGACAAGCGTTGCGCGTGGAGCTCTCCGAGGCTCGATGCATCCGAGACCGTTTGTCGCCGCTCCATCATAGTCTCATCCCTTTCTATGTCCATATACCAGCGTACTCGCACGCATACAACGCCCAAAAGACTGGGATAGCACTCACCAGATCCGGACCGATCAAGCGGTCCAGTCCATCGCTGGTTCCCTCGTCGGGAACGCGGGGCATGGTGGGGGGTGGCCGAGGAGGTGACTGATTGGCTGCGCGAACCGGTGTTCAAAGTCTGGCTTTGCACGAGTCTTGCGTCCTCCGGCCTTCTCTCCACCCTGGAGACCGACGAGACGAAAGATGAGATGAAAACGGAATGGTGATGGACGTAAGTCTTTGCCTTCAACACCAAGTCACAGAATTGCAACACGCACTGAATGAGCAGCGTGGCAGACAGCGAGGAGATTGAAGTCCGCTCGAGGTCTTCGGCGGACGCGCGGTTGCGCGTGAGCCGAACGGACGATGACCGTGATATAACGGAATGTGTGCTCTTGAGGGCCATGAATTCAGGAACGGGCTTGCGCAGGATTCGAGTGAAGCGTACCGACAACCAGACTCCCCGCCGGCCCACCGGCTTAGCTGCACTCGCCGGTGTCGCCCCCATTCATAATCGGTTGCAGCCGAAACAGTCCATGGCTGTCTATATCATGCGTGACGGCGGATACAAGTGATCTCTTGTCCCGGAGTGGACTTCATCCCGAAGATGCGACGTGCTGAGGGAAACTCGGGGGTTGGTGCGAAGAGGTCGCGAGAGGACCCTCCGCTTGACCAGCACCTCCAGCCGAGCGGTTGACGATTTGGGGGACTCGGCCGCCGGCGAGTGAGGACCTCGGCTGGGAAAGGAGAACGAGGTTACGAGGGTACTTGAACGAATTGCACGGACAGTCCGCGCGAACAGGGACTGGGAGAAGGATGAGGCGTGCGAGATGGCAGATGAGCGGTGAGTTCGAACGTCATGATCAGTGGCTGCCGCGCGGGGCCTGGCACGTGCGGCGCGCGACGTGCTCTCCACCCTCGCCCGGAGTACATAAACCTCCTCCCGCCGGCCGCGTCCCGCCTTTCGCTTGCGTCCCCCTCGTCTGCCCCGCGTTTCCTCCCAGGCCGCCGTGATGATCCGGTTCGACAACATGGCCCCGGAGGTGATGCAGGCGATGTGCACCCCCATGCACCTCATCCTCCCCGCGTCCCCCGCGCAGCATACCGGCGCGCTCTTCCTCGGGTCCTTCTCCGCCATCCTCGACCCCTCCCTGCTCTCCGCCAGCCACATCCAGGCTCTCGTCCAGGTGCTCGACGCGCCTTGGCTCCCCTCCGTCGACGCCCATGCCGCGCAGGGCAACAAGCTCGAGTGCTACCGCCTTGACATCCTCGACTCCACTTCCGCCGACCTCCGTCCGCACCTGGAGGCCACCGTGCGCTGGATCGATGACCGCCTCCGACGAGGGGTCAATGTGCTCGTGCACTGTCAGCAGGTGCGTCTTCCTCTCCATTCCTCGCGCGTTCTTTCCCCTGCTTCGTCCCCGTCTCCACCGAGAATGCACGCTCACGCCCCTCGCCGCAGGGCATCTCGCGCTCGGCGGCGGTCGTGATTGGATACCTGATCTACACCCACAACATGTCCTACGACTCCGCGTTCGACCTCGTGAAGCGCAAGCGGGCGTGCATCAAGCCCAACTCGGGTTTCGTCCGCGCCCTTCAGGACTGGGAGCAGCAGTGGCGCCTCGCCTCCCAGCGCCCGGGCGTGCGCCGTGCGAGCACCACACCCGCATGACGTCTCCCGACGCTCTCCCCTGCTCACACTCCCTCCCCTCCATCCTTCCTCTCCGACCAGGGTGGGGCGCACTCCCGGGATCGCACCACCTGCTCGCGCCTTCCGCCACCGCCCTGCTGTTCCTGCTGCCCTCGCCGCCGCCTCGTTGCCCCGATCACTCGCCCGCCAGCTCGTTCACCCCGCGCGGCGCGCACCCCTCGGCCTATACACCTACACTACTGTCTGTCCGGGTATTCGTTGTCCTTGGGTTCCTTTTCTCTCCCGTCCTCTCCCGTCCGCGCGCCGCGCTCGGCTCATTTCCACACACGCATCCCCCGCTCCCAGCTCGCCTGGCGCCCCTCCACCGCATTTACACGACCCTCCCATCCTCACCTTCGCCGGCCTATCGACCGCGGCCCCCTGTGCCGAACGGCCACCGCGCCTCGTGCCTCCCAAAATCGGCAGGACGGGCGCGAGCTTCTGATCAGCTCTCGGTCGTCCCGGTCCAGGTCCTCCGTCGGGCACGCGCTCCGTGTATCGCTACCCTCTTGTACTCTTTCCTGTACAGTACGCCTCGCCCCCGCCCCCCGCGTCGGAGCACGCTTGTATCCCACCCCGCATACCAAAATTGCTTGTATCCTTACCTGCCCGTGCATACCTGCCATATCAGCATCCAGCCCCGACGCCCCGTGGGACCCTTTCCGCTCATCCGCCCGCGATCGTCTGATGCCAGCATCCACACCCCCGATACTCCGGATGCTGCAGCGTCATCGTGCTCCTGCCCACGAGGAGCCGTGCGCCGGACGCGCACCGACGGTCTTGCCTCGTACATATGCGCCATGATGACAGCCACGACGACTCAAAACCTCGCTCGTCATTCAACCGCACAAGGCGCGTGCGCACCAAAGCCTCCGCCTCAGCTCCGACTGCAGCCATGACGGGGCAGGCACCGAGCTCGGACGGGCTCGAGGCACGCGCCGGAGGCGCTCGGGTGCGCTCGCGGGGCATCTTGCCTCCGCCCGCACTTCGCGATGTGGATCGCGGAGAGAGGATCTGCGGCCGGAACGTCGACATCGAAGAGCGAGCGATCTCGAGGCGAGCACGAGGTCGGGTCGTGACTCGCTGCTCAGTCACAGTACGTGGTCCTCGGGGAGGCCGCCATGGCCTCGGGGGAGAGAGGGGAAGGGGGAGAGGTCGAGAGCGAACGAGTGTGGCGAACCTTCTGGGTTCGAGGCCACGGGACGCTTTGCGCGCATGCAGTTTGTTCGAGGATTTCTTTCGAACGAATTGGAACGCCCGCGAGGGGTCTGGTACAACACGCACATGGAGACCCCGTGTATTCTGACGTATGTATCCCAGCCCTCGTGCCTCCGAGTCGCACTGGACTACTCCAGGCTCGCTTGTGATCAAAGGTGGCGGTATACATATGGCTACGCACGTCCTCGGGACAAGGGGAGCCGTGCCAAGACACCGCGGACGTTGCGCGATCGGGATCTCGGACCGGGCACTGGCCATGCTCGAGGGCGCAGGCTGGAGATGGAGCGTGAGGCACCCGCGCGGGCTGGGCTCTGGAGTGTGGGCCCGCAATCTCCGCTGCTGGGGAGGTGGACTTGCCTCCGTTGTGGCGCCGACGATCTGTGTGAAGAAGAGCAGTCGGCGCATGCGATGAACTTGGCTGGGCGCAGTAGGACGTAATTCTCACATGCGCGGCGTTCGGCGGTCGCTTGGATCTAGAGGACAAGCAGAAGAAAACATGGGTCAAGCTGCAGGAGGCAGTAACCAAGGATGAGTGGACGCGGGCACGCCGCTCCTCCCGGGACCTGTATTGTCTTCGAACGCCGCTCTTCGAGCGCAGGGACGAGCACGACGGTGGCTGTCCGTGGTGAGCGGAAGGAAGGAGAGAAGCACGGACCGTACGGGCCTGGGCGGGGCCTGGTACCTCCTCAGGCCTGATCTACTCCAGAAACCTGTCGAGTACGGTTCGGCCACGCAATCAGCGCGTCGAGCTTCGAGATCAAGCATATGTAGGGGACACAGGTCCGAAGGGAGGATGGCCGCGGCAGGTGCAGTTGAGTAGAGGGTCTGTGCTGGAAGACAACAAAAGGCAAAGCGCGGCAGGGGATCCAAACAATTATATTAGCTTGGCGCCAGCTCGTGTCAATGATTAATTAACAATCATTGGGTCAGTGACTACACCTTATGATCGCACACGGTCGTTGATACAATGTACCACTTATTATTCTTCATTATGAGCTCGTCCCAGGCACTGTGTCGATATTCATAATCTAGTAATCATCAAGGTCCATTATGCCAGGGATACTGCTCCCTCCATTGCTTACTTGTTTATGGAGCGACAATGACTTAGTACGTACTGAATGACGATGCTTCTATAGCAAGACACTTGACCAGGGAACCTGTCGAGGTAGTACTAGCTGCTACACTCGCCTCCTCTAGCTTGATCCCGGCCTCGGGTCGGGGCGCCGGCCCCGCATCACATCTCCGTCATCGGTGCGCCGCGTCGCGTTCCCGTCGTCTGGGCATACCTTCGCGTCTCCGCGGTCGGGGCGCACGTATGGCTTTTCCACTATCGGGAGCATATCCACGCGCATCCGACAAGGCCCCGCAAGAGAGCGGCGGCGACGCGATCCGAAAGTCACTCGCGATGAGCGTGTGTGCTTTGCACGTCTGTGGAGGACAGGCCGTTGTCGCGAAGTGCGCGGCGGGTACGGGTGCGAACCAGCGGCGCCAGCGGTCCTTCGTCCTCTCCCGGCGGCGACCGGGCAAGTAGTAAGATGATAGTCTTGCGGGGTTTCGGAGCGAGTGCGTTTGCGCTGGTGAGCGCGGCAGATAGTGGGAAGACATTTAGAAATTAGGAGAGACGATTTACAAAAGAGAGGAAGTGGATACGGAGGGCTAAGGATCTTGCAGTGCGACGTCAAACATTGGTGGGAGAATGCCGGTGTGCTCGTCGACCGGCTGAAGATCCGTGGAGGTTGCGACGAGCGTCGCAGAGCAGTGTCACGATGGTTCGGAGTCGCGGGATGTCTCGTCGTGTAGGCACGCGTCATGCATGTTCATGCTCGGTCAATGATGGCCAAGAGTTCTTCATATTCGTCAATGTTGATACTGGGCATGACTTCTTTGAGCGCTTCGCGGAGGGACTGTCGTCGACCACCGTATGAGCATGACAGTGGCAACGGCAAGATTGGCTGAGCCACTTACGCTACTGTGGTCAAGCTCCTCGGTATTCCAGCCCATAGGGAGTGCGTCTTGATACGCCTTTTGACAAGTATCTTGAAGTTTCTTGTACATGTCAGCTTGTTGATAAGCGTATGCGCGCGATCCCAAGGATGTGTTCGGGGCCATGGCCGCTGCCTCCCAGCATCTAGACATGCAGGCGCAACCATCCCTATAGTGGCGTAGATCTGCGCACGTGGTGTTCACCCACACGTCTGCCCGTACCTTCTCATTACGGACGCGCTGCCAGTGTGTTTGATCGACTGGTTGTGACAAGGTCAGTGAGATCATCGGCGGCAATCCAAATGACATCAACTTACAGTTCTCCTCCCATGGAGATGCAGCGTTCGCTGCGTCGGGCTTGGGGACTGCGACTGTTTTCTTCTTTCGGTCAGGCTGCTTGCGAGGAGGAGGGGACACGTCGATTACGCTCCATATCCACGAGGCATGAGCATCGGCGGTGTGATTGACAGGCGCCACCAAGTTGCGAACGTGAAGATCGTCGGGGACCATTGGGCGCAGACGACCTTCCATTGATTGGGGGTCGACTGTGAGTCCGAGAACGCTGCGCAGATGGATGACGCGGGAAATGTTGTGGTTGAAGCGTGCTGAAAGCAGCATTGCCATGTTGCGCTCCTGCGTGACGAGCTTCTGGGCGCGTGTATTGTGCTGCTGGGTGTTGTCCGTGTGCCTGATTTTGTCGCTGAGGTAGGCTGCCGTGTGCTTCACGGATCTACGGGTCTCCTGGAGAAGTGCATAAGCGTGGACTAGACGTATCTTGTACTCGGCAGTGGCAAGGTCTTCAAGTGCGTACGCTTTGACGTCATCGCTGCTGAAATCAGAGGGAAGTCCAAGACCGTGACTGAGTCCGTCGCGTGGACCGTCCTCCATCGGCTCGTCAAGGCTCTCCAGTACAGCAAAAGCTGCTCCAAGTGGTTCTCTGTCGTCGTCGGGGTCGGTTTCCATCGCAAGGGGGTCATGGTCTGGCCAGTCGATCTTAGACATGTGTTTACGCTGATCGAGACGCCACTGCTGGAGCTTGCGACGGAAGGAAAGAAGCGCAGGCGTGAGGGTTCCCGTATCAGTGATTGAACTGAGGTTGACTCCTGCCGTCTGGTGGCGCTGGCCCCGTAGTTCAACACTAAGCACATCTGGAAAACCCCAAAATCCTAATTAGTACTATCATGTATAATACTAGTGCTATCACTTCACTAATGGGACTACTGAGTTTTGGACCTTCTAACACATACTAAAGGGATACTAGTGCTTGAGCCCCTCATATAATATATCTATCTGCAACTATTACTTCACTTATCACTGGACACTGCTGTCTAGCCAAAACACACACAGCTAGCACAGGTCTAACCAGTGACTAACTACTGCAATTTTGGAGGTCGAGATATCAAGAAGTAGTGACTAATGCAATCAATAGATCACACAAACGTGAAGGAGAAGCAAATATATTTGTGTTCATTACACTACAAGGTACACAGTAGACTACAAACAAAGACACTGAACACCTCCCCGGGCGAGACGGGTGACACAGGCAAGAGCGAGGTGGGTGAGGTAAGCATCATGGATGATGCAGACGCGGGCGCGAGATGGGAGAGGCGGGAGAGGGAGGCGACGTGGACGATGTGGGCGGCACGGACACACGCAACGCGACGTGGGTGGGGGCGAGGGCGACGTGGACGCAGGCAAAGTGGGCCAACGAGGCGGGTCGCGCAGCCACTCAGGAGCGAGACACATGTCGACGCAGGGGTGAGACACAGGCGACGAGGACGAAGTGGGTGGAATAGATGACGCAAGACGGGAGTGCGACGCGGGCGAGACAGGCGAGGCGGATGGGATGGGCAAGGAGAGCGGGACGAGCAACGAGCGAGATGGGCAACGAGCGAGATGGGCAACGAGCGAGAAGGGCAACGAGCGAGAAGCGGGATTGACAGACAAGGTGGCGACTCGGGCCAGACTGACGCAGGCAAGCGCGAGGCGGCAGGCGCGATGTGAGCAAGGCAAGCGAGGGCGAGGGGGCAACGTGGCAACGCGGGCGAGGTGAGCGACACGGGCGAGGCGGGCGAGGTGGGTGACACAGGGGATGCAGTCGACGTGGTCAACGCAGGGGACGCGGTCGAGGTGCGAGACGTACTCTCAGAGGGGCAAGAAGCGCGCAAGACGCGGGCGTCGCGGAGGTGGCGACGGACGTGGGTAGCATGAGCGGGATAGGTGACGCAAGCCAGGCAGGTGCAAGACGGTGCAAGACGGTGCAAGACGGTGCAAGACGGGTGAGATCCGGGGTAACGCGAGCGAGGTGGGCGATACAGGCGAGACGGACGAGGGGGGTGAGACGGGCCAGGCAGGCGAGACGGACGAGGCGGGGGTGAGAATAGAGATACGGGCGAGGTGCGGGGCGCAGGCGAGACGGGTGAAGTGGGCGACGTGGCGACGCGGGCCGTTCCGAGCAGTTGTGCTCCCTGCTGCTGGGCTCGGTGGGCGGCATTAGAGAAGACGGGGCAAGGGTTGGCGTCGGGGCGGCGAGGACGGGAGCCAGGCAGAGAGGATCGAGGGCAGCGTCAAGACTCAAGCTTCAAGGTGACGACGAGCGTCGAGGAGGTTGCTGGCAGTGCCAAGAGTCCATGCAACGGGCGTCGATTCCCACGCATCCGGCGCTGCCAGCACGTCGCTCTGACTCCACGCTGCCCGTCTTCCACGTCCTGCCCTTCCTCGTCCTCCCGTCTTTTCCTCCTGGCGCGACATCTCCGAGGACCACGCGAACGCGCACCTCACCTGCCGCTTCCTCAATGAGCTGTTGCGGCCCCCTTTGTCTTGGTGAGTCCCCCGTTCTGCTCTCCTGTGCTCCCCACCTCGCCCACCGTCTCCCCAGGCCCCGGCCATGCCATCGACCTCGTCCCTACAACGAGCCCGTCCCAACGACACTCATTTCGATGCGGTTGTGCCGCGTGGCCGTTGCCGCTGTGTCGCACATCGCACGCACGCCGTCTGCGCACACCACGGTGCGCACCACCTGCCAGCACACCTCGTCCTCCCCGTCCTCCACATCCAGGCCTCTTCGTCTCCCCAGCCCATATTCTGCGCCCTTCGCCTCAATCTCTTGACCCGACGACGTCTGCGACCACACCTCGCCTCTGTAAGTCCCCCACTCCACCGTCCTGCGCTTCCTACCTCGCCCACCGCCTCCCCAGGCCCCGGCCGCGCCATCGTCCCCGTTCCCTCAATGAGCACGTCCCAACAGGCATACTCGGCGGGACACTCTTTCCGCCAATGTGGCCGTGGTGCGCCGTCATTACCACTCGCGTGCCGCAATGCCGCGCACCGCAACGCCGTTCGCCCGCGCCCCCCGTGTACAACCCTCGTGCACGGCCCATCTCGAGTGGCCGCGAAGGAGAAAGAGGCCTGCACCGCGGCGGTAACGCATGTAAAGGGTCACGCCTTCGGACGACAGGGTACGGAGGAGGACACGACCTCAGTGCTCGGAGGTAAGTCTTCTCCGTCTTGCCTACCCCACACTCGCTCGCTCACGCATTCTCGCCCGTCTCGCCCTCATCGCCCATTTTGACCTCGTCCGTGTCACCCGCGTCGCCCGCCGCGCCCTTATTCGCGTCGCTCTCGCCCGTCTCGCCATCACCCGTCATGTCCTGTGTCGATCTCGTCTACCTCGTCCTCGCCTGCCTGCGTCGCCGTCTCACGTCGCCGTCTCCGCGTCGCTGACGCACCAACCATACGGACGTGCTTGTCGTCATGCCGCTGCTGCCGCCGATGCTCGTGTTCGGCCCAGACAGGTTGATCATCGTTGCTGGGACTAGAGCAGGGGTGGGGGCGTGTGCGAGCGAGGGCACAGACGCGACGTCGGGACGCGGCGTCGTGAGCCAGACGGTGCCGCTTGACACCGTCCGATGGGCTCTGCGCGCCCATGCGTCGTCGCGACGGACATTACCCAGAACCGACTCCGACACGGACCCTGAGCCCGGCGGCGGCCTCGCACATCGCCCTCAAGCTGCCCCCGCACGCGCACTGCATGACAATCCAGCAGTCTAGCTGCTAGTATCCCCGCCCCGCCCCCTCGCCCACGTCTCCCACGTCTCCCAATTGTCTGTGCCGCCCACATCTCCCCCACGTCACCCACGTCACGCCCCCACGTCACCCTCACTCTCACCCAGGGCCCACGTTGTCCACATCGTCCGCGTCCGCGCACCCCTGCGTCATCCTCGCCCACCTTGCCCGCCTCGTCCGCCTTGCCCTCACCCACTGGCTCGCCTGTCTCGCCCTTGCCCATCTCGCCCACGTAATCCTCTCGCGTCGCCAGCGTCCTCCGCCTGTGTCCGCCACCTCCGCCTGCGCTGCCCTCCGCCCACGTCGCCCACCTCCGTGTCGCTCTCTTCCATGTTGCCTGCCTCCGTCTGTAAATAGCTGGTTGTCTTGTACGATACTTTGTGTAGTCTAGTCGTCTTTGCCAATAAATTTCGTTCTCATCACCTCTATCTGTGTGATATTGGTCCGCTAATCTGAACTATTTTCTGAGCTGCCATACTATGTCCAGATCTATGAACTAATGCTTGCCTATGCCTATGACTATCCCTGTCTATCTGACTAGATTAGTTTTTGGGACTTCTAAATAGTGCTAATCAACTATTTCTGACTATTGGTCTAATTAGTGCTAAATAGTCCTAATTAGGAGTTGGGGGTTTCCCTGACGCAGTGTCTATGTGTCAAAAGCGGGTCAGGTCAGAGTTTTTGAAGTGACTCACTACTTCAGATCGAGTTCAACACCACGTTGCACGAAGAGAATACTTCCATGGCGCAATCGGCTCCCAGCGCTAACACCTGCGACGTCTGCGCTTTCTGCCTTCTCAAATCGGGCAACGAGATCTTGATACGTGTCCTCGCGTGTGGGTACTAGTAATGCGTTGAGTGTGTGAGGAAGGATACTTGAATGTGTCTGGAACTTACAGTCGGACTGATTGAGAACGTAGATACTGTCACGGTATGCACGTTCCTTCTCTTCGAAGTTCAACGGGGTGGGAGCAGAGTATGGCTTCGCGAGCTTGCCCCAACGAATGGCTCGCTCAGCGCCGGCCAAGATAGTCAGCTCAGCAAGGTGTCGGGTAGCCTCTGTTTGTGCCGGGATCACTTTGGTCCTCAATTGTCTGATTGTCGTATCAACTGAAGCCGAGATGAGCACGCGCCGTGGAGGGAGAAACAGTGGTACTACTCACCGAAGTCTTCCAATTTACGACGATTCCAGTAGTTCAAAAGATCGTTGAGCGCATCTTCACGAGGTCCTGCAGCCATCTCACGTAGTACTCTTCCAGCGAGATTCAACTCGCTCCAGGGTGGTTCAACGTGTTCTCCGTGTTGATGACCAGACCCTTCGCTGTAGGGAAAACCGTAAACCACCTGGCACATGTCTCGATGAGCGTGTGCATGGAAGGTAGGGATGTGGCAAAGTAGCTCGTCGATGATCTTACGGATCTCCGGAGTATCGTTCTTGAAGCGTTGGTTAGGTTGCAGATGTATATGCAGAAAACGTCGAACGACAGCAATCGCTGTTTGAGGTCACGTGTTCGCTCTGCCATCTTGCGGACAATGACATCGAGAACGCCGAACCTGAGCTACCAGTTAGTAAGAGCTCTCGGGGGCGCGATTATACTTACTTCTCGCCGGAAATCAGGTTGATGACCATGTTACGCCAGAAGAATGAGTGTCGACAGCTAATGGCTGACACTCCAGAATATTGAAGCCCTCGAAACTTGCCAGCGCGTTGCGCGCGTGCGACTTTGAAGCCGCTACAGGTGTGCGTCTAAGAGAGCATGAGAATACTGCGATCTTTGCAAACCTGTCACTAAATACATACCACTTTGTCTTCATGGCCGTCATACGTCTTCTGAACAGCACTAGCAGCCTCGTTGTGGTCGACGATGAAGGAGTCTCCCTGGCTGAGACTGCGGTCTCTGGGTCTTCGTTCTTCTTCGCTTTCTTGTTGAGCCAGTAGTTGCCGTCCATGCCGAATGCCACTCGGAACAAGTAGCTGTGCGCACAAGATCAGACATAGCTTCGAATACAAGGTGACGTGGCACATACCTTAGATATTCCGCGACGAGATGCCAGTTGTCCGGTAAGTTGAAACCGGGAGACGGGCATGATAGACAAGGTACCGTGAGGTCGAGCGGGTCGCGATTAGGGATAACAAGTTCATGAAAGCGCCCGGCGCGTTTCATTGCTGTCAGGTGCGAGAAAAGCCTGCTGACGATGCGAAACTGTTGGTATAGATCCTGTTCAAAACGTGAGTTACATTGTGTGTGAAGAGATAGAGATGCGTACCTTGGTCTGAGACGGAAACGCGTTATTCGTCAGGCGCTTCAAAGTACGCATGAAATGGAGAGTGGAGATCTTCGCATTGAGCCATAAATGGCTCCAAAGCTTCAAGACGGAATTGTGAACGCTGTCTGACAAGATTTGAGGGTGGTGGGCCAGAGACGAGCATGTATGAGCTGTATAACACGGTCCGGGGCTCGTGGACATTGGCAGTAGCGCAGCGAACAGCGGTGGATGCCGTTCACATGTGCAACAACCACCGAGACCGTCTCGGGCTTCAGAGGATCCGCTTCGGGACATGGTCGGCCTTGATGACCGAGGAGAATGACAAACTCCAGATCAGCAAGGTCGCGTTGAACGAAACATTTACCCGACCACTCTTCAATCCAGTGGAACCACCCTCGATGATGAGAGTCTAGGATACAGGCACACATTTCATGCGGGTGCCGTCCCAATCACATTCGGTGCAGCGATAGTGCGCAGGACCTCTGCCGCACTCGCATTTGTCAATGTTGACCGACGTCGGGGCTTCCCAAGAAAGCATGGCCTCGCCCACTTCCGAAAATCGGGAAGTCCAGGCCTCAATAAGCTCTGATCGAAGCCGTTTCTGGGTGTATGTTTAGCAAACACTTTCAGCAATGATAAACAATGAGAAGCTTACCTTCTTCGTCTTCGCAGTTTCCTCCACCGGCTCTGGTACGTCTTCCCAAGCGTGTCGTCATCGTCGTCGCCACTGACAGAACCCTGACCGCAAGCAGATTGGTCGCCCCGTCACTGATTCCGGGGATACCCAGGGAAGGGGTGTCTTGGTGGTCTCTCGTGGTTCGTGAGAGCGCTCTGAGATGGAAGCTGGAGGGCGAGGGCTGATCGGAACAGGTGTTGTTCAGGCGACGGCGTTTGGTAGCACCCCCGCTCTCAAGTTCCAGAGCTGAAAAGGCGAGCTGTTGCCTCCCGGACCCGGTAGTTGTATACGAGCGGTGTGAACTTGTTAACCTGGTTCCCCCAAAGACGCTAGAGACGCCTTTGGACGGTACTGTTCTTCGGAAAGCCATGAAAAGCACAGCAGACGACAGCAGAGGGTGCGCAAGCAGGGCAGGGTTATGGGATGTCGCAATATCAAAACAGGAAGGGGGATGTATTGAGAGAGAACACTGAAGTTACATGCGAAACGGGGTGGCCCAGATGGCTTGGTCTAGGCAAGCGACCACAACACAAAGCGGACGCCATTCTCACTTTGTCAGTGGCGCTCCAGGCCACTCTGTGTAGCAAGGGTGGCACTGCATCGCAGAGACAAAGAGAATAGGCAGCTCAGTGGTATAAGCACTGCACTCTAGACCACTGAGCTGCTTGGTAAACGAATCGCACCTTGTTTCCGTACGCGAAGAACAGCGCCTCCAGTGCACCGTTGCCAGCTTGTCCTTGCCGTACTCCTTTGCAAGGCTCTCCAGGTCCTTCTTGAGGCCGCTGCCGCCCGTGCCTCTCCGTGCCCTGCACCATCTTCTCGTGGAGGATCTTCCTGCCCACCGCGGGGGTGACCAAGTGCGCCTTGAGCGTCTCTGTCTCGCCGTTGCACTACGCGTCCGTCAGTCATGGGATGCGCTCTATCGCGACATGGCAGTAAATTGTGACGGAGAACTCCCCGACCTTAGCCCGAGGAATCGCCGCAGTGCCCGCGTGAGTGCAAGGTTTGAACTTTGCTGCCACGCCGAAGAGCGCGTCATTGGCGCGGCGCAGGGTTTGCTGCCAGGGAGTGGGATATTCAACTCACAGCAGGGTTGCTGAAGCCTGAAAATAATAAAATAAGTTAAGGAAAGTAGATGAGATGGTGCAGTATATACCAATAGGTCCCCTGCCAGCGGCGAGATGAGCGCCGTCGACGAGAGTAATCATAGAGCCCAACATGGGAAGAGCACGACGTCCCACACACGAGCTCACGCTCGCCCATGACTACTGTCGAGACGTCAAGGGATCAGCACTACTCCAATTCCAAAGTCTGAGAATAACACTTACAAACAACGTGTTCACGCCGTTCGCCGACAGGTTGAGGAAAGCGCGCACCTTTCCGGAGTTGTTCAATTGCGCAGCCGTCAACGGCGGTGGGTGATTCGTCAAGAAGCCGGTGACCGCTTCGGCCTGTGCTGAACCTTCCGCCTGAGAAGACAACCTGCTCGCACGCGCCCTAGGGTCATTCACCGTCGAGCCCGGGTTCACCTGAGTGGCACCCACGGCGGTGATGAATGGGCAGGTGACGGGGAGGTCTAGGCTGAACTTCGTGCCGTGCCGACTAGGTTGGTTTTGCGCGTTGAGGCCGACGCTGCCGCCGCCCGTGACGCTGTCGTCCCCGGAGGTGTAAAGGACGGTGGTACCCATCATGCCGAGCATGCCGTACTCGGCGCACTGCCGTTGTGCGTACGCAGCAGTGACCGTGGCTTCGTCTTGACCGTAGGATGTTGAGACGATGAAAGGGGGCGAAAGGATTCCGGACAATTCAGGATCTGGGTCGTGCGATCAGATCACGGAAGCATTCTGGCGTGTTATCAACGTACCATCGAATCCACCGCGAAGAGGGTCGGGGTAGATACTGTCTTGACTGGGATTGTCACCACCTTCGAACGTGCAGAAGGAGCCGTCGATGGCGTCCAGCCAGTTGTTGAACAACGCCGAAGAGCGTGTCGTCACCGCTAGGGAACCCGCGAACAGGTTGGGTGAGCGTGGCATGTCGGTGTATGCCTCAACGAACGCGCCTTGGCCTGCGTGCAGGACAGGTCGGCAACAGGGAGGGGGGCGCACAGAGAAGTGGGGACGCACCATACATGTTGAGGATGCCTGGTGCTTTCCCGAGAGGATATGCGCGTGTACGGTGCTCACGAGGCCGTGCACCTCGAGGTGAAAATGCATCGCAAACTGTGAGGTGTCCTGCAGTATGGTTCATCGAGCAACGTCTCTCCACCCCACCCGAACATTGCTAGTTAGCAGGCCATGGCTAGAGTTTCGACGGCCTTGAGTCGGGCAGTCTTCCAAGTTCCTTGTCACTGCTGAAGTCGATGAAGTTGTCCAAGGTGTGAGACAACAAAGAATCAAACTTGAGGACAAGGGCGACCACATACCAAGAATTTTTCCGACCGTAGTACATCTTGAGTTGATCTGGAGGGAAGGCGAGGGGGCCGGATCATAGCACCGGATGCTACTATCCCAGGGTGGCGAGGAGACGAGCAAGGTGGGGTGAACACGGAATGTGGGGCACAGGAAGAGAGGCGTATGCGTGCACGCGAGGTGGATCTCGCACGTGTTCGGGCCATGTCGTGGTTTCGCGCGGGTTAGACAAATGAGCGACCGAGGAGAGGGATCATCAAGAGCAAGAGATCTGCAGCACGCGCGACGTCCACCGTCCGAGAACAGGGCCCATTTGATAAGATAAGACGTCACTGATATCTGGCTATCTTAATCTCCCGGATATCCGAAGTGCCGCGTCTTTGCTGCCCTCTTGTTGGCCCTGCATTCATTTTACAGAGTATGCCGAAAGGCTTTAAGAATCGCCACACTATAACTGGCTGTGGGAGTTACCCACCAACTCAGACAAGTCCCCTGCGCGGGTGTCTAGCCACGGCGCAGACCAGCCGCACGCTCAGCGCTCAGCTTTGCCTCAGATTCATTTGTCCTCCTGGTGAATGAAGGGCCTCCTTGGCCCAACTGATGGCCTAAATGTGTCCGTAACACGGTCCAGAGTGAGCCACAGTACAAAGAACAATATTCTCATTGTGTTCGAGCCACACTTGAGCTTGAGTGGTCTGTGGTAAGCTTCTAGTAATTGCCGCCACTCAAGCTGAATCTCTGCCAACTCCACATGTTTTAAAATGCTTGCTGTTCGCGATCGGCAAGGCATCAATGTGTTTTTCCTCCCCCGACCGTACTCCTCTCTCGATGCCTCAAACACGCACTCCTCAACAGAATCCCCAGTCCCAAACCCCGTCACGGAGATTCTTCAGTCCTTCGTGTCCTACAGGGCGTGAAGAACGCATGTGTTCCATGCCCTTTTTCCGAAGAAGGGCATTTTGCTGTCATCAGCAGCGGGATCTCCAACCCCGCCACTGTGGGCTTAATCTTCGAGAAGGTATGATATTTTGCTTGAATATATTCAAACTGAGCACCCCCCGACCTGAGTGCTATCTTTACAGTGCCCGAAGCAACTGTGTTTCGGAGGCGGACCTCACCCACATCGCATCCAGCTCTCACCAGTGGCTATGGCCGATGCCATGTCACGTATCCTTGGAACCCCCGACCATGTTTTTTCCACCTACTACTCTGACAACCGCCTCTGTGAGCTTCGCAAAGAAACCGGGAAGCGTCTCCATCAGGCTCTCGACCATCAGGGCCGCGGAGATACTGTCTTCATCGTCCCTCGCACCCCTCTCAAAAGGAAGAACCGCCAAGCGACTGGCACCACCCGGCGGCCCGCGAGCACCCAGGATAAACGCAAGTCGGAGACCAAGAAGGATGTCGTAGTTTATTTCTATGTGCAGGTGCGTAACGTCATTACTACCAAGGGCCTTGTAGAGCCGTACTCAAAGTCTTTCAGTCTGGTAAACCACCCAAAGAATTGCGGCTTGAAGGACGAACCTCTAAGGACGGCGACACCATTTACCTCCAATGGGAGCAGAACCAGGCCGTCTTGAAGAAGTTCAAGGAGGACAACGACCTTGGTCCGCGTGAGCGACTTGACGTCTGGGACGACACTGAAGACGCTTGGTCTCCCAAGAAAACGCGCGACAAGATTTTACTCCTTCCCGGTGAAGGTCGAGTATACAAGCCGAGGTATCTTCCTGCAGACAAGTTATATGCTTTCGAGAAGTACAAGAATCTCGCCCGCCCTCCTGCCCAACGTCGCTCAATTACACTCCCCATTTCCCCAACCACTGTGCGGCCTTCGACTCCTCTAGCTGCCTCGTCATCTCAGACGCGAGCTTCTGCTGTGATGGGTGGTCGACGTGCTCCAAATGCCGTTGCCTCGTCCTCTAGGCTCGTCGATCCCTTGCACACCCCACGGAAGCCTGCTCCTGGTGATAGTAGGGAGCTTCCCATCGAGCTGTCTTCCGAGTCAGAGGCGGAATTGGTGCCATCTGGTTCGGATACGGACAGTGTTATGACAATTTCAGATACGGACTCTGAGATTTTTTGGCTACCTACTTCGGCTGCCGAGCTCATCGAGTCTACCAGCCCTAAGAAGAAGGCTCGGATTTCTTAGGTAGATCTCATATGTTAGTGTTGGATACGATAGCAATGAGCGTAGTCAGTACATAACAGATGTATGCCACCCCATTGAATGTGTGCGTAACTCATCAAGAGGCGGCTACTGGGCGGTCATGTAATGCGAACCCGAGTGGCGCGGAAAAAATGTGAGGGGACCGCGTGCGAGCTCGTCGAGCGTGCGTGGCACTGCGCGGAGGACGGAGGACGACGGAGTCAGGACGCGGCAACCCGGCGAGCTTTAGTGCGGAGATAGTCAGAGAAGAAAGGAGATGGCAAAGCCACGGAGCGGTATGAGACAGCCTCGTGGACACGAGAAAAGGTGTCGAAAGACGTGCGGGATACGCAGTCGGCGAATGGCACACGGGCCTGCGGTCGGCGACGGTCAAGAGCGCCTCCGCGGCCGGCGAGCGGTAGGGACCATCACGGGCACGCAAAACCCGCGCGGGCCACGGGTGGGGCGCGGGTGAGGGTACAGGTAGCAGTCAGAGAAACCTCGGTACACCGCGGGTACCTGCGGCCGGCCCGCGGGACCCGTGTCTACCGCGGTCAACCTACGGCTGCTCCGCGCCCTAGTACGTCTCCATCCCCTCCGACCTCCCCACACCAGAGACGACACGTCGTCCACAGTGGCACAAGCAATCCCGGATAGCAACCTCCTGCCTCCACCTGGCCCTTAACCTCAGTATCCATGTCACACACATCGACCTCGACCCCCTCCGCCTCCGCGTCGCGGCCTTCCTCGTCGCCCACCACCTCCGCCCTCGTCTACTTTCACGCGCGTCGCCCACCTCCTCCCCAATGCCCACCGCCTTACCCGCTCTGCGCTCCTCCGCGTCGACACCTACGGCATGCGGAGGACGTCCTCCCGGACGTTCCCCCCTGGAGATGAGGTTGCCGTGAGTTACGGCGACCTCTTTCTCGTTCAGTGAGTATGCCCTGGCACCCCCCTCCGCTCTCTGGCATGTCCAGCTCGTTCGTGCGGGGACGTCCATGTCGCCCGCCTCCACCGCCGTCCTTCTCCTCCTTCTCCTCCGACTCCGCGTCCCGCATCCTCCACCTCCGCGTCGTCCTCCTTTGCACCGGCCTCCTCCGCCTCGCCCACCTCCGGTTTCCCTCCGCTCGCCCACGCCTGGTGCACCACCGTATCGGGTGCGAGCTTGCTCGTCGCATCCCGGCGTGCATCAGGCCGCAGCCTCCCGCTGTCCGCGTTGACATCTGTGCTCGGGCCCACCTTGGCCTTCCCATCGGACACCCTGGCCGCATCCGTGCCTTGCCATGTCGCTCCCCAGGCAGCCCTCCTCGCACCCCTCGCACGCTCCTCCTCTGGGTCCTCCGGCTCTGCGTCTTCCTCATCTGCACTGGCCTCCTCCACCTCACCCACCTCCGCGTGTGTTGCCCCTGCGCCAGCGGCCGGCCGCTCTCCCAGGCCTCCCTCCACTCCCCCACGCCCGGCACACCACTCTCCAAGTCCGCGTCCGCGTCGGGCGCGAGCGAGCTCGTTGTGTCCCGGCGTACGTCCGGCCGCAGCCTCCCACCGTCCGCGTCGACGTCCGGGCTCAGGCCCACCCTCGCCACATCCGCGCCCCGTCATGTCGCTCGTCCTCGCCGCACCCCCCGCACACTCCCCTACAGCGCGCACTCGACGCTCGCCACCAGCTCCGTCCTGCAGACCCAAGGACCCGCACACCGCCTCGCCCCCCGTGCGCCCGCCTTCGTTCAGGTCGCCCTCCGCCTCCCCCGCCTCCAGTCTCTTGGCCGTGCTTAGACACTTGTTGTATACTAATATCTACTATTTATGATATTTACACGATACCAGTACACTACCCGCGGGTGACCTGTGGAGGGTCCGTAGGGTGCAGGGCCCAGGCTGTCGGCGACAGAACAGCGTGAGTGTGTCGGCAAGCCATTGGCCGGTGGGGACGGAGGCTCGGGCCTCAGGAGGAGCAGCGCGTGGGCTGGAGGTGCTGGTGCAAATGGGTGGTTTGGTTTGATACGATGCACGTCGCGTGTGGTTATAGAGCATGCGCATCGGATATCAGCAGTAACTAGGAACTCATGCGCACCGTTGTTGACTGCTACGAACTCTTCCACGCAAGCTGCTCCGGAATCTGCCGTGCAAGCTGCTGCGAGCAGTGCTTGATCTTGCAGCGCTGCAATCGCATGTTAGGGTATGTCTCCCTCATCTCCGCCATCCCTGCCCCATCCACACCATCACCACCATGCCCCAGGTCATGTCGTAGAACTGACCAAAGCAAGTACTGACAAATGCAGCGTGTCAGGATCCCGGCTATGACTCACTACGTTACTATGTTACGCCCGTCCCGCGTCCGTTCTGCACTACATTCTCGCCACTCGTTTAGTTCCGCATTCCATGCTTCGGACTCCTTACATTTACATGTATTTCTACGATACTGCTTGATCTTCATTAACGATCAACACAGTTCTTGTATTTCTCTTGTCACGTCTCGTCCGCTCCCAGCGTTGCCGGCCATCACCCTCCACCACAGGCGCTCAGCATTCTCATCGCCGATCACGCCTCACGCGCTCATCGCCGACCGCACCTTATGCACTCATCGCCGATCACGCCTCGCGAATTCTCACGACGCGCTCGCCGCTTCGTTCACTGCACTCCCTCTTCGTCTTCGCGCACCGTCATAAGGTGTCTAGCCTTACACAGCCTTGTTCCTAGTCGAAGCACCAAACGAGGCTGTCCGACAAGCCCGAGGTTCGTGCCGTACCACAACCACACTTGGTCAGTGGCCCAAGCGCGCGCTTCTACCCCCACGCCACTCATTACACTAGCATGTACTTTGCTTTGCTCACTCTCTTTTCAGTTCATCCACCATGCCCCGCCACCCGAAACCCAGCAATCCCGTCACTCGCATTCTCAACGACATCACGCCGTACGAAGAACTTTCCAAGGCTCGCCTCACATGCACCGACTGCCCGCCTCATCCTCACATCCTTCAGGTCAGCAGCGGAGTGTCAGAACCCGAGAATGTCGGACTTGTGTTCGAAAAGGTGTGTGGGAGCCTCTCCTGGGTCAAGCGTCAACCAGCTGACCATCTTCAGTGCACTGGGAATCACTGCTTTCCTGGACCAGGTTCGTTGAGTGCTCGTAACGAGCTACAGCTCACACCGGAACAAATCGCATGTGCCATGACGAAAATATTGGAGCTACCAGCGTCTCAGTTGCGGCGACATTACTTCGGCGAGAAACTCGTTCATTTTCGTGCCACATGTGCAGAGCGCCTGCAAGATGCGCATGATCGTCAGAAGATGGGTAACATCATCTTCGCTGTGCCCGCCTCAACTGTCTCCCGATTCCCTTCGGTCCGCACGCTTGGATCCTCGACGTCACAGACCACCCCTACTCCCACTGGGACCAGCACCAGCATCCACCGCCATAGTGGATGCAGATCTCCAACCGTGATCGACTTGACGGGGTCGGATAGCGAGACGGACCTTCCCTCCTCTGCCCCGGACGTGATCATTATCACTAACTCGGATGGCAATGCTTCGGCTGCGTGGGTTCGACCCCGCAAGCGGCAGCGCCATGTATAAAGTATATCCATGTCTATAATCTCGGATAAATATATGTCTTCTCTATATTTTCATCGCGCTTGTCAGCACTCAGGTTCGGAGTAGGCGGCATGGCGCAGCCGCCCGTGTGCGCAAACACCTCGAAACTCAATGATGCACTTGTACTCCTTTCTACCGCCCTGCGTAAACTTCCACCACGTGTGTTTTGGCTAGAGCAAGATGATGTGCGCGTCCATATTGGCGACGTTTCTTTGCTCGGAACAGTGAAGATGTGGCGCTATCCTACTACTATCTGTCGGCACGCATTGCATATACTGTGGGCGGGTGTTCAACCGGTGAACAGAAGCCAGGGCTTCGGAGCGTCTACTGCGGTGACTATCTCCTTGAAGAGCTTGCCAAATCCCAATGCTTTGCAACCTGCGTCGCGCGCGTGAGTGTGTGGGCAGTAGTGGTCCGAGCATATCATGGGCATCCTCGGCCCGCCCGCCCGTGCGACCCGCGCTTACCCGTGCTCCGAGTAATCCGCCCTCACAGCCGCACGCTCCTCCACGCCCGAAATGTTCATATGTATCTCGCCACGTTCAACCCTTGCCCTACACATCGCCACCCCTTCCTTGGGCCTCGCAGACTACGCCGTGAAGCCCTCTGGCATTTTCACCTCCGCCAAGGCCGTGCTGCGGCCTGCAGACATCGTCACCGCGACCGAGGACACTGGGCGCTCCCTGCGCCGCTTCGTCTACTGCCTCTCCCGATGTCCACAGCCGGTCAGTACCAGTCAGTCATGATCCTAAGCTCGCTGATCTGGAAAGCAGATGAAGATCATTAGTGCGTCTACTTGGGCCAGCTCTGTGCTCCCACAAATCTACCGTGCATGTCCTCGTGCACGGTGCTATCACGATGATGCGCCCGATCTCCCACTCGGCCGAAGTCGTCCAGTTCGTACGCCCCCACCCGATTTCTTGTCCCTGCGTTCGGTGTGGCTCACGCTCCCTAGTGCGCTCTCCGTGCGCATCACGCGCCCTCACTGCGCCCCCGTATGGGTACCTTGCCTGGCTCGTCGTCAACTACGAGCACGGCATAAACGTGTTCCACCCTGGCGCGAGTGAGACTATTGCGGCTCAGTTTGTCGCTGCCCTCGGCCTACGCGCGTCAATGATGATCTGGCGCGTCCACGGACGGCTCCGCGGGGTGGTCTCAGCCGTGGCACAGGCCAATCCCTTCACCATCCCCAGCCTCTTCCACCCACAGGGCGTGCGCAGGTTCAGGAACCTGTTTGCGCAGCACGCATGGCGCGCAGGCGTCACGCTGGGCGGGTGCCCCGTGTACGCGTCCTGGTTGTCATCATCATCCAGATCGAGACGCACAATGGAGTGACAAACCTCAATGGGAACCTCACCATCGACGACCTCGGTGCGTGCCGTCTCTCCCCATTGAATCTGAAGCGGCGAAGAAGGGCAAGCGCTGACCCATGATTGCCGTTCTGCTCACTGCCAACTTCGGCTGAGCATGTGCTCGCGCAGGTCGCCAATGTGCAGGTTCGTTCCTTCACCTTCTCTCTTCCTCTTTGCGCACACAGCAACTGATTGCAGTGCTCCCAACAGCGCACTTCAAGTACGTCATTACCAACATGGGCGTGTACTTAGTCCCTGATCCACGCACTGGGCTCCGATGCAAGGCCGCGCTTGTCCTCCGTTTGGCGGCATGTACGTGTTTAATATCCGGAAGACGGCAGGCTTATACCCGTACGTGGTGTACGCACTCACGCCCGTCCCAGACGTGATGGTGCTCCTGCCCGCGACAGAGCATGAACGAGCGGGCCAGGTGGGCCACCGTGTTATGGCGTTATCAGACCACGAGTCAATCTCAGATGCAACTCTGACTGCTCGAAGACACAGTGGTGAACAGTGGCCACAACGGTGGTGAGTGAGTGAACGACCACAGCAGGTCAAACCGTTTGACTGTTGGGCGGCTTGAGATCAGTGGTCCAAGCAACACAATACAGCTACCACAACTGAGTGGCGTGGTGAAGTTCCAGATCACAGCCCATCCCCGTACCAGTCAGACACGTCCTCTTCCTTGTCCTCACTGCAACATCTGACCCCACTTCGCTCCATCCTTCAGATTCCTCTGCTCTCATCATGTCTGCCATCCCTCCCGATACAACCGACCTCGTCCTCGTCCTCTATGCCTCCAGATCCGCCTTCTGAAACCACCGCTCCTGACGCCTCTGGCGCACACCAGAATGCGAACCGCCGCCCGCGATTTGGATGGAAGACAGACACGTACGCTCCAGCCGCCATTACATGCTCGAGCGGTTCGACGAATGGAATAAAACCAAGGTTGTCGGCCTCAGTAAGAAGAGTAGGTCCGACACGATTGCGAAGGAAGCTTTCGAGAAGTTCAGTCTCGCGGGTGTAATCCCGTACGAATCGTTCAAAGTGGTATGTCTCCTATCCTTTCAAGCAATGGTGCTACATCTGAAGCATTTGTAGAGCGTTTACAATCGCCTCAACAACCTTCAGCAGCTCGCCGCAAGCCCAACGGAGCACAAGACATACAGAAACAGCGCGAAGCACTCGAGCGTATCTTGGAGCTCTCTGATGGACTCAACGGCGACCTTGACGATGGCGACATGGACGACGACGACCCCGATAACCACACCGAAGAACCTGCCAAGCGATCATCAGGCGTGGTTCGTCCAAGAGCAGCCCTCCCAACCCGCTTCTCAGTAAGCTTCGGATGCGGAGCGCCGCAGCGTGTAACCTATGGCGCAAGGACCATGAAGACCTTGTCAAGACGCACGCTGGTGACAACGCCAACGTTGGACAGCTGCATAAGGCCACCTGCGAGCTTTTCGACGCCCTTCCTGATGCAGTCAGAGGCGAGTACTACACGCGAGTCGCTCAGAGTGCTCAGAACGCTAAGAGTTCTCCGGAGAGCTGCTTCGAGTATGCAAACCACCCTCGCTATTCCGCCACTGCCACTAACGTCACCCAGGAACCAACCGTTCGGCTGCAGCACCGTCACTAATGCGCTGAAGAGCCTTCCAGGCTTCGACTACAATGGGCTTGGTCACGCGGTTTTCTACTTGATGTACGCATATCGCGACAAGAACGGCCAAGTGAGACTTCTGAGTAAGCACATTCGTTTTTTGTGCCGTATATAATGAGCGCTGAATAGTTGCGACAGCGGCACTGTGGGGTCGGGAGCCGAGAATAGTTCCTTCACCCTATGGCGTAATGGCGCCGCGATGCCCTTCGCTGACCTGTACCTTGATTACGCGGAGGAGATCTTGCGTGAGTGGCACTGGTTCATACAATATTTACTTATCTAACGTATCCCTACGTGATATCGAAGCGGAGAACCCCTCGCAGTTCCTTACGATGCGCCTCAAGCCTTTTGACGACGGCTGGAACAAGGGTCAGATCTTGTCTGCGCTGACAGTCTTCTTGCAGCAGCTTTGGTGTGCGTATAGCACCGTTATTCATCTCACATACTCCACACTTACGCCCGTTACGTTCAGCGGAGACTTCGGACACGGAGTTTCGATATGATGTACTGAAGATGCGCGCGGAGTGTGCATTCCGTCCGACTGGCGCGGCATGGGCATCGAAGACCTTCCCGCGCTCTCTTCATTCGACGAACGAGAACGCCTGTACAAGAAACTCTATGATGCTCAGGGATCTCCAAACCCCTTTCATTTCCTTCCTACGCTTCAACAGCTCCCTCCCCCCACCTCATACATACCGTTAACACCGTCAAAGCAGCGTCAGAAGGTAGTTACATTCATGAGTCCCCAAAGCACTCCGCATCCAGCACGCTCGATGGTGGGGATCCTTCCCCTGTCCGGTCTAGACCCGATTCGGTGGACGACCCAGACGCTACTCTTGCCATCTTGACTCATCGCGAGCCGAAGCTCTCCGCTCTTCCTATTCCAACCTCGCCACTTCGCCTGGTCGTCGAATCCCCGGCCACGTCACCTACTACACCAACATCTCAACCCACTGAATCACCCATAAACCCGGCGTCCTCTACGTCTACCGCGCTCCCCACGTCGACCGACGCGGATGGAGATACCGCTTCCGCATCTAGTATGCTTGCTTCTACGAATGCTCCCATGAGCTTGCTTCAAGACGCCTCACCTGTAGCCTCCGTCCGTGAAGCGTCGACCACCTTCACGGACCTCTCGGACAGCCTTGCAATGTCTCCTTCTACTGGCGCCACGGTCGAGATCACCTTGAACAGCCACATCGGTGCTCTTGGATCAGAGTCGGGTTCACCGGCGCTCGCCACTTCGCCCACGCCCGTCCCGCCGGCAGCCCAGGCAACTTCGCCTCCGATTGACCAAGCTTCGACTGTTCTCCCCATCACGCCACCGGATGACGCGTATTCAGCGTCCGTCACGCCCGCCGAGCACGAACCACACACCGCCGCCCCCACGAACGTGACTGGTACTGAGCCTGTCCTTCCCGGTCCGTCTGACGGCAACACCTCTGCAACTCCAGTGCCTTTACTGCCTTCTTCCGACGCTCGCCAAGCACCTAGGCCCCGCAAACGCAAACACGCCACCGACGCAGAGGAGCGACCCGCATCTGCAGCTAAGCGAAGCTCTACGCGGCTATTGAAGACGGCGAATGGGCACCCCGAGGTCACGTTGAACAAGAGGTATGTGTGATGGTACATTCTCGCGTCATTTGCGCTCACGAATATTGCGCCAGAGTGACGCGCGCATCTGCTTCCGCGGCCGCTACGAAGGGGACGAAGTAATCATAAGCAGGTCGGAGTGTAGCCACACTAATCAGTTATAATTGTTGGTTATCATCCTGCGTGTTGGGTACTACAATCGAATGAAGTCCTTTCATAATTGTTCATCATCATCCATTACCAAACACTGTATTATCCGTTCACGATGCGATTAGAATACTCTATTTTATGAACAACTGTGAAGATAATCATGGGTCACCCCACTCCGACAAGGCCTGTACTTGATAGAGCGTGATAATGATCCATGATCAATCATCGTTGCGAACTAGTGTTGGAAGCTAATATAATTATGCTGGACCTTTGAGCGCGGGCATCGCCGGATGCCCCGAACTGAGTGACGGCGCAGAGGGCGACAGAGTCGCTATCGGGGAGGAAGGGGTCAGCGCTCCGAAGACCTCGAGGAGAGACAAAGCACCGACGAACGATACGCATCGCGGGTCCAGGCCTCTCGCCGCTGCCACAGAGCACGCGGTGTGGGTGCCCGAATCCAGGAGCGGCGGGGCCAAGAGAGGGAACCGGCGGTAGTTTTGCGTATCCGAAGCATCCAGTCGGTGTTTGGGTTCCCATCGAGCGCGTCAGTCGACCAAGCCCGCCACGACTCCGCCGTCCCACGCACACCACCACGAGATCGGCTATCCAGGGATCTCGGTCGGAGGGTGCTGTCGTCATTCCGACTTTGCAGTGCTTGCATTGCCGTTGAATTCATGTCCTCATCGATCACTGTTCCCGGCGAGGGCGTCAATGAGGTTTTCGACAACATCTATTGGTCAGTGAAGAGAGCTCATAGGTAGATTTTCGGAATGGGCTTGGAGAGCGAGGTGGTGACAGCTGTCTGGAGAGGTGAAAGTACGGGCGTTGGTGTTGGAGGTGAGCGCGTCCACAAATAAAGATACCGAGCCAAACGAAGGGACACCACTATTTTTTCCGCCCGACCAACTTCTTCGTCTGCCAGTGTGGCAGCAACGGTGGTCCTTGTACTCCATGCTGAGATCGCCCTTGCCCGAGGTGACGCCGTGGAGGGTGCTCGGGCATCCGAACATGTCGTTGAGCGGGATCTCAGAGACGGCGGTGAACTCCTCGCCTCGGTCTCCGAGTTTGCGATCACGCTCTAGAACCTGGCGGGCGCGACGTTGACGGTCATGGTCAGCTTGAGGATGAGCGGCTTCGTCGTCGTGTGGTTCTTGCGGATCGCACCGATCGCCGCGATCCGGAAAGCGAGTTAACCGAGTGCGTCTGGCCATCGTTGAGCACGAAGGGCATGCCGCAGATGGGGAGATGGTGCCCTCTGTGAGCGCCTTGTAGAAACCATAAGACAAAAGTCAGCTCACGAGAGCAGCCGTCGAGATAAAGCGGCATACAGCCTCAACAGCGGGGATGTAATCCTGCGTGATGGCAGGACTCATGGTCTGTCCTTACATCCCTCTCCTACAAAAAAGCGATGACACGACCGTACTGACCGGCACCGCCGGTTTGCTTCTTGTACGCGTAGTTGAAGTGGACGTGCTTGGTGATTATTTCCCAGAACACAGCGCACGGCCAGCCGGTGACGCACTCGGCGTCGTGCTCGCGTTCCATACGCTCGACGTGGACTTCGAGGTGGAGTTCGCCCGTGCCGGAGGTGATTGACTCCTTGCTGTCCTTTTCTACGTGGACACAGAACATAGAGATGTCGGCTTTCGGGACGAACATAGATGTTTGAACGAATATGAGCAAATGTTACATGGCGTCTCGGATTGACACTCACCGTCGAGAACGCCAGAGACACGACGGGCAATGCACAATCTCCGGCCGGGCGGCAAGGCGGATGATATTCGGACGAAATGACCGCTTTTGTCCGGCTAGGCGTCTACATTTCTGATCGGACGATTGTTTAACTGTTTGTCGCATTTCATCCACATTTCAGACAATGGGATAGTTAAACTGTACCGACCGGACGATATGCGGATTATATGAGGATGACAGGAAAACATTCTTCCACATTTCGTCCCAGACAAAAGGCGGATGACAGTGAAAATTTCGTCCGACTTTCGTCCTGGATGAAATGTAGAGGAAATAAAAACCTTCGTCCCGGACGAAATGCGGACAATATAATTGATATCCTCTTTGCGGAAATATGGATGACAGCGGGACTGTCGCCCACGATTTTGCGCTGGTGGTTGATGGATCGCCAGAGACGGACACGCGCATGTCGCCAGTCGAAGACAATCCCACGTGGTGTTCATCTCGCGCGTCGAGTTTGTCAAGGTTGACCTAGGGGTGATGGATTGTGGCTAGTCCGACATCCACCATAGACGTACTCGCGCACATCGCTCGCTCAGTCCTCTGAGAATTACAGCAAGAGACGTCGGGCGCGTGGGGATCGTTCTCCCCAGGCTCCGACGCGCACGAGACTGAGGTAGACTCGTGCTTGTCGGGGCCCGTGCGCGTCGGAGACGTACCCATACGGTGCATGGTAGCTCATCCACTGTCAGAGCAACACACGCGCGAACTCGCCTGCGCTGCTTGCCTCGCGTAGTGATTGCATGGTGTAGCCGTAGCCACTGGGACGCTGTAGTTTCCGGGCGCTGCTGTAGCTTCTGGGCGCTGCTGTAGCTTCCGGGCGCTGCCGTAGCTTCCGGGCGCTGCCGTAGCTTCCGGGTGCTGCCGTAGCTTCCGGGTGCTGCCGTAGCTTCCGGGCGCTGCCGTAGCTTCCGGGCGCTGCCGTAGCTTCCGTATGAGAGCGACGCTGCGTAGCTTCCGGGCGAGGCTACTGTAGCTGCCGGGAGGTCTATATCAATGTAGCTTTGTGGTTGAATACACATAGCTAGTGCTCGTCAGCCGTCCACAAAGCGCAGCCCGCTCAACCAGCCCGCGCACATCACATGTAGCTACGTGCGATGAGCGCGAGGCAGCGCGAGCTTGGCTGTCTGAGACTATCGGGTGGTCGATGAGCTTCGCGCGCCCAACTCGTTAGTATATTACACGCGGTTGCGACCGTGCGGGGGATAGAACGACCAACGCGTGCAAGCTCATCTGCGCCGGATGGTCGCCGAGCACGCTGCGGCCTGCACGCTTACAGGTCCCTCAGCGCTCGCGAATTCGCCTGGGATGCAACGGGTCGTGCGCGAAGGGCTCTTTGAGAGAGAGGGTCTTCTCGCGCGACTCGTCTTTCTCTCACAATGCGATGGTGACTGGGAAGGACAGAGCGACCGACACGCTCGAGCTGCGACTGCCGAAGCGCGCGCGTCCGTCTCTGGTGATCCATCAACCAGCAGCGCAAAAACTCCACCGCACAGTGGGGACGAGGTGGGGGACAACTAACGCACCACTCGAGAGCTCGAAAGACCAAAGACTTGAGTAAGTGCTGTTTGATCGGCCATGTCTGAGTTGATTATGCCCTGTCAACTTGATCGATGCAGAGACAGTGAACACTGCGACATCTCTCCGAAACAAAGCGGGCGTAATTAACTCTGGTGAGCCTTGGTGAGTGTCATGACAAGAACGATAGTCCAGTCAACGCACCCTGTCTAACGCTCGCACGACCATGCACTGCTCTTCAATCCCATCTGGAACGTAAGTCAAGCTTGCGAAGTGGCACGATATGTCGTTTGCTTGGATGACGACCTGTCTTTCAAACTTGTCGTATACCAGCTCTGTCTCTAGAAGAGGGAACCTTCGGTAGGGATCGTGCACGGTATGAGCTCTCGAAAGTTTTGCGTAAAGGTCGACAACTAGAAAAACTTCACTGATGTCTTCCCCGATTGAGCTATGGCGTTCGTGAACGAAGATTTGCGAGACCTGGCCAGCTCGTGTTGTACCGGAGGGTGAATCGGCATCTCGCACGCGTACGAAAGAGTTGCGGATGTTACCATCCCGAGTACCGAAGATCGTTCCATTGTGTTCGAACTTGGAGAGAAGCTTAGCCCGCAAAGGAAGACGAGGGGGTCGTTTCTGGTAGGACTGGGAGGTAGAATGGTCGTAGAAAGAGATATAGACGGCTTCGTTCTTGTCAGAGGTTGTGACTCGGCGGTTGACGAACCGAAGCAAGGAGTCGTACACTGCAGAGTTGAGCAGAACTTCTTTGCCAAGTTTGCCGAAGAGTCCAGAGGCCGACAATCCTCCAGCTTCCGATGCGGGCCCTGCCACGCAACCAGTGGAGTCGACAACACGAGTGCCTTTGTCTGTCTCGCGGTATACGTCTCTGTATGCAGCTAGCAGCGCGCTGAACTCTGGAGTGTCTGGCCAGTCGGTGGAGTTGAACATGTGCTGAATGTCTTTGCTGATACCAAATATCCGCATGAACGTCATCGGAATATCATCTATGATAGATCAAGCGTCAGAATCACCTTGATATCACAGCGACTGTATGCGTACTCACCGATCTGGTTGTTGGTGTTGAGCCGCTGTATGATGCCGTTGAGCCGCTCAAAAGGGAAAGCCCACCAGCCCTGTACAGGTCCGAATGCGAGAAGACACAGACACAGATGTAGAGAGAGATGATGGTTTGGGACGAGATTGTGCTTGAAGAGCCTGCGCAAACCCGTCAAGTAGCGATGCATATGCTCATCGAACAAACGCGCGCGCCCCAGTGTCATCGTTCGCCGAGGCGCGAGGTCAACAGCTATCACGAGATCAACAAAGTTCTCCAGGACCTCCAGATCTTGAGGAGAAGCGGTTGCCGGCCACGTTTTCACCAGTGTAATGACCATGCTGATGGTGCACACCGTGCGCCAGTGATCTGCTTTCAACTTTCCATGAGATGAGCTGCCGAGATTCGGCGGGGGGCGTTCGATCCATGACGGAAGATATGTGCGCTTGATGTCGTCACGGATGAGAGCAATGACGGCTGGCGTCAGGATACTGAATTTTGGGACCCCGCAGCATCGTCCGTGATGTGGAAGTTGTCCGTCTCCACGTCCAGCACCGAAGGTGTGAGAAGCGTATCCAATGGATGTGACAAAGCCTGCAACAAACATTTCATCTGAGCTTGGCATCCAGTGACCATGACGGAAAAAATTATACCCAATCTAACATGGCCTCGGCATACGCACGCTTGGTTTCGGCCTTTGGCACTATGCTGTTCAGCTGTGCGAATGCCACCAGGTATCCTTTGCGAGGTTTGAGTAAGCTTCGTAGAGATCGATCCGTCAGAGAGTCTTTTACTTGCTGCAACCAAACCGCTTGCTCTTCCGGTGTATGGGGCTGTAATTTGCGAGTCGTCTTGCCGACCTTGTGGTCCTTGACCTCTAGCCCCCAGACGTCTCGGAAATGGTGTCGGACGACGCCAAGGAATAGGTTGTGCATTGCATCAACGACGGCATATAGCATAGGATCCCAGTAAGGTAGACGGAGTAGTTCTGACCAGCGAAGACCGTGTTTTTTGAAGAGAGCCTTACGATCCACTTCGCTTGCCGCATCGCGCCATTGGGTTGCTATGTCTCGGTGCTCCTGCCAGGTGCGTGTGGACCAAGTTTCGCGGAGAAGGTTGTTCAAGTCCATCAGGAAAACCTTAACGAGCTAATTAGCTCTAGGCTAACTAGCACTAGCACTAACGACTTAGCTATTCACGCTAGCACACTATGAACGGCTAGTCATACTATTTGACCACTATTTTTCACCTCTCACAACTATGAAGCTAGTCGTTCTGCTGCCACAGCTAGTAGATCTAAATCAAATCTATTTGTACCGGATCTGAACTAATGTCTAGCTACTCGTCGTGCGCCTCTCCCGCCCCGTCTACATGGTCTTCGTGCGCCGGGGCGCCTCCGCACCCGGCCAGGTCATGGTGCGCACCTCGCGGCTCGCCGCAGCAAGCGTGCAGAGTGCGCTGGGCGTGTAGATGCACTCGACGCCGTCGCCCACGCCGTCGGGTGTGATCGCGTGCCGGGACCCCCCGGCGGCGTCCGCAAGGTCCCACTGTGCGGCGTGCTTGTGCTCGTGCTCGGGTTCGGGTTCGCAGAGACGGGGGCCGTCGTGATCACGGTGCTCACGCACCCCTTGGAGCGCGCGGGGGTGCTCGCGGTCGTAGCGCTCGAGGCGGCAGCGCGCGGCCTTGTCGCGGAGCGCAAGCGTGGCGGCAGGCGACGCGGATCCGCCGGAGGAGGGCGTGGAGATCGCTGGGCACCGGGCGGGCGACGAGGAGGCAGAGCGCGCCGCCGAACTGGGGGCGGCTCAGCTGGAGGCGTGAGCGGGGAGCGGGAGGCTGGGTGACGGCGCGAGGAGGACGTGGGGAGAATGACGCGGACGAGATGGGCCAGGCGGGTGACGCGGACGCGAATGCGGGGGCGAGACAGGGTGAGGTGGCGAGGTGGGCAATGCGGGAACAAGGTGGGTGGTGCGATGATGGGCGATGCAGGTAAGGCGGGGCGACGCGGGCGATGTGGGCGACGCGGGTGATGTGGGCGACGCGGGCGATATAGGCGACGTGGGCGAGGTCGTCGAGGTGGGGCGATGTGTGACATAGGCCAGGTGGGTGAGGTGGGGGCGAGACGGGCGACGCGGATGCGCGTGATGTGACCCGTGCGATGTACGTGAAATGGGCGAAACAGGCGAGGTGAATGATGTGATCGCGAGACGGGCAGGGGAGGAAAGGATGTGCAGGAAAAAAACGAGAGCTCACCGTAATAAACAACGACTTCATGGTCAGCGCCCTCGAAGACGTCCTTGAGGGAGAGGAGGGAGGTGGGGAGCCAGTGGGTGAGCGCGACGGTGAATACGTGCTTGTATGCATGGAGCGCGGGAGGCTGGCGTGGTCGGCATAGAAGAGGAGCAGCTGGAAAGCGGGAAGACGATAAGGACGATGAGGACTGCAAGTTGAAGCTGGCTGGCAGTGCCAAGCGCTGGAGTCCACGCGTCGCGCGTCCGTTCCCACGTGTCCCGAAGCGGAGCCGCACCTCCAGCTGCCAGCACCGTCCCTCAATCGTCCGTCTCTCTCCTTGCCCGCTGCTTCTTCTCCCTCTTACCCGGCCTTGACTACGACGGCGGACGAATTCCGCGGCAGCGGCGACGTCCGATGTCGTCCCCATCTTTGTGGAGTTGCAGGAAGGTCTTCCGTGGCTGGGGCTGGACGCCGCCCGCAACGTCTAGTGCGTCTCCCTCTTGTCTGTTCAATGCATCATTAACATTCCCAGGGTCGCCCAAGGTATTGGCCGCGGCGTCGCATCGCGTCTCGGGAGTAGGACCAGGCCTTCATGGTCATCAGCACGGCGGGGGAGCTTCTGGCCGGTTCCCGAGCTGCAGACTGCGCTTGACCGGTGCGTGACTACGTCCGCTCCACCCTTTCCTCTTGCGCCCTCTCGCCATTGCCTCGGTCTCCAGATCGTCGCGCGGCGGGATCTCGTCCTCGCTCAAGATGCTCTACAGATAGGCACAACACGGACAACACGGACAGTGTCGCGCCCAACACCCTTCTCACCGCTCATGGTCGGTCCCCCTCCACGCATGACGACGTTGTTCCCCATTGACACGTGTCTGCAGCAGGGAGTGAAGTCCCCGACGGAATACGACACCCTCGATGAGCTCAAGGCAAATCACCGTCTCTCCGAAGGTGAGTCGAGTCTCGTCTTCACCCCCTCCGTTTCCTGGCACTGACAGGGGTTCCGCGGATGCGTGTTCGCCACTGCGGGCGGACTCCCCAGGCAGCCCGTACGCTGAGCACTTGTCGGGCACGAGTTCACTGAGGCCAACCTGGCGAGCATCTCGCGCGGGAGTGTGCCGTCGAGATCCCCAAGGTTAACGCTCATCGCGCGCTCTCAGGCATTGTGAGTCTCTTGCGCTTGCGCTTGCACTCACTGACTCACGTCCGCTTCACACGCACTATGAAACTTGACCTCGCCCGCGTTGCCCACCTCATCCACCTCACTGGCATCGCCTGCCTGATCCGCGCTGTCTGTCGCCCAGGCCCACCGATGTCTCACCCTCGCCCACGTCACATGCGTCGCCCACCTCGCCCTCCTCCGCATCCCTGCATCCGTATCTCACCCGTGCCCCCTGCATCGCCTGTATCCCTGCGTCACCTGCGCCTCCTGTATCGCCTGCGTCCCCTATATCTCCTGTGTCGCCCCGCGTCTTCCACGTCCCCTCATGTCTTCACCTCGCTCACGTCTTTCGCCTCGCTTATATTTACTACGTCTCCCACATCATCGCACTAGGCACGAACAGAGAGGTCATTGTTTGTAGTCTGTACCCTGTACCTTATAATAGGACAAATATAATTCTGTCTGCCCCCTTCCATGCCCGTGTGATTGAAACTGCTAGCTCTGTGCTCTATTTACTCATCTAACTTGTAGGTATGCCGTCTATTCACCTGTCTACCTTGAAGCTAGGCAATCTATCAATCTATCCACCTTGTAGCTAATGGGGCTAGTGATCTAATTAGTTTGGGGGTAAAATAATTAGCACTAATGAACTATCTGCATCTAGTCAGCTAATTAGCACTATTTTAGATGACCTAGAGCTAATTAGCTCAGTGAGGTTTTCCTGATGTCTGTCTTAGCGATCGTGCAGAAAGAACACACATGGTTCGACCCGTGACCGGCAAAGCCCGCCATCTTCCGCAGTGCTGGGAGGTCGCAAATGAGGGGTATAACAGCCGCCCTGACAAGACGACCAAGTGGACGGAGTGAAGTGGAGCTGAGATATAATCCGGACGTCCACAGCACTAGGAGATCGTCGATGAGTGGTCGCAAGTAGTGGTTGATCTCATGTGTTGAAGGCTCCCTTGGACCTGGAATGATCCCAACAGGCATATGTTTTCGGGGCGATGTCGGATATTAGGAGGGAGATTGAGACAGACGAGGTATATCGCGCCGACAGAGCGCATCTTCCCTGCTTGTTTGTTGCCGCCAGGATTGAACCAATCGATGTACAATCCAAAGACAAGGTTGACGGCATCCCGCACTTGATTTGAGAACAGGACACCGTCTGGCCCACAGAATTGTCGTATCGCAGGTGATTGGAAGATGTCCGTCCATTGGCCAGGGATTTGTGGTGCCGTGTCCTTCCAAGAATTGACCAATTGCGCTTCGACGGACTGGCGAGAGAACATCTTTGAATCCAAGAGAACGGTGATCGGTATGGATAAGACTGGATAGGAAGGGGTGGTGCAGCGGTAGTGGCTTTGCGCGAGCGGGTGGAACGCACTTTGGCCTCTCTCACCAGTCGTGCGCCACATGGAGACTTGTCTAGCTCAACGTGCGTGCAGTTCGTGGGATATCGGGGGAGATGAGGGCTGCGCCGAGGTCTGGAGGATATATCATGCAGCAAGACGGGCAACAGGTGTACTGCGTGATGGAAGGCTCAACGTTCAGGCGATTGAGGACCGTGCGGATGTCAAGGGGGATAGAAGCGAGTAGTGTCTGTCGAGCTTCATCGGAACAGGGGGTGTTTGGGGCCAACAGCATATACATCCGACGAGGACAACACGGAGCAATGCCAGTATAAGATTGGTGGCCTCTCGACTCACACCGGACACTGTGTGGAGTGCACTGGCGACAAGCATAACTGCGAGTATGAAGGGCTGTAGTGGGCTCAGAGCTGGACGTCCGGAAATGCCTGCATATGGATGGATATGCGTGAGCTTACACCACCGACTGATCAGAGATGATATGGCGTACCAGTCTCATACGTCAATGGAGCACCTGAAACCGTTCCTCCCACTCCGTACAGCCCAGCACTCAGCTTTGCATGCTCCCATCCCGCTTTTTCGGCCACCAATAACTTGTCGAGATGGTTTGATACCTGCTGGATGAGAACGCAGCGACGAGCATCGGGATCCCGAAGACCGCACGGAGCCATTGCCCGGAGACGCGCTTGAGAGCTCTCAAGCATATAGCGACAGCTGAGAAACAAGTGATTATACCTGTTCTTCATAACAAGTGGGGAAGGAAGGTCGTGTATAGAGCTTGGCATGGCGCTGAACACAAGTTGAGACGAGGACGGGGTGAAGCGGCATGCGAGGCCAATAGAAGACTCTAGTTGCGAGAGTGCCGCGATACGATCGGCGCATATTTGAGCAGCGAGAATAGCCTGAACCAGATCTATGTCACTACTGATCCAATATGGCCGCTGAAAGCCTGAACGTGTAATTACCTCGGGATGGGATTCGGTGGGAGAGTTGTCCACAGACGGGTCCGAGTCTATATCCATCCGCTCGCCGGGTAGTTCTTCCGCCAGTCTTTCCGAGTCTGAGTGGCGTCCATGGTCAAAGTTGACAAAGGTGGTCTGAAATACGACTGAGGGGTTGTAGGAGACAAATGGTAGAGCACTGCGCACCTCCGCCTCTCGAGCATTCAAAGGCTCCATCTCCATCTCCACATCCTGACCCTGGTCATCTTCAAATGGAGTTCCTGACGAAGATTGCTCCGGACTGGAGTTGCGGATTGGATGGTTGATGATCTCATTTAGGAGATCTCCATGAGCTTCATACTGTTCCTTGATTCTTCCAATTGTGTTTCTCTGTTGTGCCGTTTCCATACGTGGAGATGTATGAACACTCCCGGCTTACGAGCGCCGGAGTGTTTGTCGAAGTGGCTCTGAAGCTTGCATTCAGAGCATAGGCAAAGAGTGAGTTTCTTGCCCATTCCCAGAGTAAAGCATGAAACAAGGCGGCCGGATGGAGATGAGAGCAGAGGCTAGGGAATGCGATAGCACGAGGTTTAGCGGAGGATGGTGGTGGGATGAGAGTGACCGAGTGGCGTCAAAGCTCAAGGTTAGTTGTTGAGCTCCTAGCCCATTATATCAATAGAGTCAGTGGCGGTCGGCGCGTTCGAACACACAATAGGCGGTCTGTTAAACCAAGGAACATTGATCCATTGAATCTATAACCACTTCATAATGTTCGGTCATCGAGGACTCGCTGTAATCCGTGATCGTCGAGTTCAGCGGAGGCATTAGTTCTCCAACGTTCTCCCTAGCGATCACGACGATCTCCCCTCGTTCCGGTAAAAGGAAGCCAAGGAAGCCTTAAATATGGAGCGGAGAGAAGTGTATGTGTAGGCATGAGGCACGGGAAATCGAGAGAGTATAACACATGTAAACGGTTTGGAATAGGGGCTGGAGCCAAGCGGTGCGAAGCTGGGAAAAGCTAAGGGGCTGGAGTGGGCGAGGTGGAGGGGGAGCGCAAGGAGAGGGGACATCAACAGAATAAACTCATACCAGAAGCCCCCGGTGGTCGGCAACAGGAAAGGTGCGTCACCGAGCTGCTGCTCGCGCTCCTTTATCGCCACCTCCCCATCCATCGAGCCGTTTCCCTCAGACATGTTGTTGTGGGGCGGTGGACCTCCGCGCGATGCTTGTCGCTCTCCTGCTGCACAGAGAGATACGTGGCCAAGTGCGGGCTTTCTGACGAAAGGTTCCCGATGACGTGCTGGGGTGGCGGCGGCGGAAGTGGGTGCGCAAGGGGGTGACGGATGACCTCCCGCCTCGATGCGCTGCCGGAACGCGAGAAGGCTCTTGGTGACGTTCTTCATGGGTAGTAGTAGAGCCTGGTCGCCACGAGATGCTCGTTCTCCATGCCATCAATGTGCCACGACCGGCCGGTGTAAGAGGGTTTGTCGAGCGCGACGTGTATGTTCGCGAGGTTGACGATAACCTGGACCGTGCGTCCACAGAGGGGGCACTGAACGCACACCTTTGGGCAGGGTAGAGTGAAGGGCATGGACGCTTGCGTGCGCTGCCACGCCTTGTGGTGCACCTCGAAGGCGCACGTGTCGCTGTCGGGCTCCACAGATGGATCCCACTTGGGTGACAAACCCTTGAGGTGCTTGTACCGTCTCCAATGTGCGCGATAGGCTTTAAAGAGGGCGACAGGAAGTCGGAGAGCACTCGCACGAACATGGACACGGAGCGTGAGCTATGGTGAGCCTGGGGAGGAGGAGCGCTGGAGGGCGTAGTTGGCGACGGGTGCAACCGTGATCCACAGGCGGGCGACTGCGTCTGCGACCCACTTCAAAACCTCGAATGGCGTGTGCCAAGCGTCATTGCGGAGGGGCGACGCAGCACCTGCATAGGGTCGTGCAGGTGCCCGGGGTGGCACTGCGGCTCGGGCGGGCTTTGCGAGTGAGGAGAGAAATGGTGGAGGTGGAGACTGAGGTCGCGCGACGGCGGGGAAGAGTGCGTGCCTAGATCCTGCATTGGTGCGAGCGCGTGTCCCATGGGTGGCGGGACTTGTCGACCGGCTGAGGCGGTATCGGCAATGGGAGGTTGGGTGCCCACAAGCGTTGGTGGGGAAGAGATGGCGTGAGCTGCCATTGCCCTAGAGCATGATTCGCGTAGGTGGTGGGGTGGACACTGGACACCCTGAGCGCCCGGGGCCGGAGAGCTTGCACAGCCAAGTATCCGGAGTCATATCAGCGCCAGGTGTTCCAGAGAGGCGAATCAGACGGACGAGAGGTGGGCCAAGGGGAGGGCGTCACTGACACTGTCAAGATCGAACGTGAGTAACAATGGAGGCTGAGGAGGGAGTGCTTGAAGAGGTGCTCACATCGTAGGTGAAAGAAGACCGTGGTGTCAACTTCCTCGAGGAAGAGGAGCCCACGAGTGTGTCCGTGAACATGACTGATCCGCGTACTCGGCCGCCATCTCCTCCCACGTCCGCTGTTGTCTTTGTCCATTGGGGAGCGGCTGGTGGGCTAGAAGTGCGACGTCGGGGATACAGAGCGCCAGGGTGAGGACTGCATAGTGTCATAGAGGAATTGTTGTTGCTGACCGTCATATCCCGCAGTATCCGCTACCCATGTGACCGTCAAAATCCCCCCAAGTCCCCGCGGGGCCCTCCCGCCCTCGCCCGCCTCCCTCGGTACCCGCCCTCCTCCTTCTCCTGTCGTTAAGTGGCGTCGCGCACGGTCGGCATCCTCCTTTGCGCACACGGCGTGTGATCCTGTGCCGTCGTGCGAACCAGAGCCCAGAAAAGCTCTTCTGTCGACATGCTCGATGTTGAAGAAACGAGCTTCTAGCGCGTAGGCAAGTGCAATCGCGAAGGCATTGACGGCATGGCTTGTGGAGGATGCGCGAGGTTGGGCAGACTGGGCCGGATAGGAAGCGAGAGCGAGGAGAATCGGGATGCTTGTGGGGAACGGAACGCAGTGACGGTGATGCGTGTGGACGATAGGATGGCGGTCGGATTCGAGGACTTGTTTTCGAAAGAGACGGGTTGTCGAACACTGAGATCATCTTCTCGTCTTCGCCCATGCCGTCGGTCTTGCTGAATGAATGACCCCTGCTGTCGCTCGTGCTGGTGCTATCCTGAACGTAACGACTCTTGCGGGCGATCCGGCACGACACGGCACCCCGAGGGAGCTCTTCGCCTTCGTTCGACTTCAAGTTGCGGTGCAGTTCGATGGTATGCTTCCAGACCTGTCAAAGGAGGTAGAAATACGTCAGATCGCGGGGTACCTAATTTGCAACGCATACTGACACAACTCTGCCAGCGAACACGTCCGCCTTTGGAATCGCCGGCAGCAATATCAAAGCAAAAGACGAACGGTACTTACATTACTTGAGTCTAAGTGCCCTGATTCAATCTCACATCCGATGCGCCTCGATGCAAAGCTTGTGCTTCAATTGTGCGTTCATCCTGTTGGAGGAGGGGGCGTCCAAGACGCGTACAGAACGCAGAGTAAGCATGGCGATAGCCTTGCGGTGCAAGTGTGGAAGAGATCGGTAAAGGAGGCAATGAGAGTGGAGCGTGCTCTAGCAATGACGGCTGAAGTAGTCTCGTCATGAGCCGTGGAACGGGGAGTGGTCAGCAACGAAGATGAAGACGAGCGGGAGATGGACGCACATCACAGCAACGATACCCACGCTCACAGGGACTGAAAAAGCGCCGTACCCTCACCGATCTCCTGCTGCCGTCCACGCAAGGGATATCCGATGCAACGAAGCTCATATACAAGTCGTTGGTCAAGCGTACATGGCGGTAGTTCTACACAACAAATATCTCCTTCAGCGGGGCCCAGGCACGTGCCCACCCGACGGCCTCCTCCCGAAGCCATGTGGTCAGGCTCTCCTCCGGTCCACCTCGCTTTTGCAGTATGGTAACACGTCTAAGAGACGGATGGGCGACTGAGTTGATATTAGTGCCCTTAGCCCAACCATTCACTACCTCGCCCTCTGAACGAGAGTCCGTGCTGACCGTGGCAGCAGTATACACCTCCAGAATGGAGAGCTCCGAGAAGCGCAGCAAGGCAGTGTGCCATGCATCTAAGTCGTTCCAGGAACGACGAGCATAGTCAGCGCGTCGCTGGAATATGAAAGCTCAGTAGTAGATAGAGTCGCAGTTCAAAAAAATACTCACCTTTGCGCATGACTTCTCTGTAAGCTTGAGCTTGCGCAGATTTGGCATGTTCACAGCGATGCGACCAAGAATGTCGTGATCATCATCATGAAAGTCAATTGAGAGAGCCTCGACTGGGCAAGCGGCGAGAACACCCATCGCCGCAAAAGTGGTCGACCCGACACGGGAGAGTTTGACACGTGCGGTACCGACAGCACGACCGACAGCAATAGCAGCAAAACACCGAGCCGGGCACTGCAGCTTGTCGAGAAGCGGGAGCTCAACTCCTCGTAAAGGGCAGTTGGCGGGGCGGCTACAACCCTCAAGTGCCAAGTCGGTGATTGTCGGATGCCTTGATAGGAATGTGAAGAGGACGCGATGGGGGAGGTTGGTGTAAAAGCGTTTGAGGTGGTTGAAGGTGAGGAGTCTGAAGACGGTAGACGGTGTGTTCTGGGGGAGCGTGAGACGGAGCTGCACGATGTTGAGACAAGGACTGATGTTTGCCCGAAGCATCCTTGGATTGTACCCGACATTCAGAGGGATGGAGACTGTGAGATCCCTGACCCCGAGAAGGGTGGAAGGACTGTGCTGAGCGATCAGGCCAAAACTCTTGATGTCGTCGACGGAATTTATGAAGATCTGTGGCTGATACACGGCACCGTTCAGCACAGATCAAGATAGTTAAGCAGAGGCCTACCTTGACCCGTTTGCCAATGAGAGCCTACCGCATAAGGCGCAGGAAGTTAGTATGAGGTTGTTCGTACGGATCAAAGAGCGCTCACCGTGGTCGTAATAAGCATCTGCGAACGACGCGTGACGATACTAGGAATGGGACCTTCAGGGATTTCTTGAGATGACTTGTGGGTGGACATGTTTGTTCAATCGAGAGTGGCGGATGATGCGGGTGGTTGGAGTAGCTAAGCAGTGTGTGCACGCGTGAGGTGAGTGAAGTTTGAGGGGTCATGGCGGTCGCGAGCTACGTTGGTTTTGAACGTCAGCGCTACAACCATGGCCTTTCAGCAGCGCATTCTTCCACGCCACACTGCGACTACATCATTGTTCAGCCGATAGCTCTTTGTATCTCACACTCCCTTCACCTCATCGGCAAAGCACGGATCCCATGGATCCTCTGGGTCGAGCGTAAGAGCATAATCTCGGGTTAATCAAATGAACAGATGTTCTGACCGGCTGGTTCAGCACTTCGGAGCGTTATGTCGCTGAGATGGATTGTCTCAACCATGCTCTGGATGAGGTGACAATATCATTTAATCCAGTGAAGTCACTTCGCCAAGAGGCTTTGGAGAAGAAATCTGTATGAAGTCACCGAGCTTTATTGCATGTGATGTCAAGTCTGATTGCATTTATCCGCAGCTATCTGAGAGAATGAGCGGGTTGGATAAAGAATTTGCTCGTCTTCGGCGAGATTCTTTGGAAAGAATCTCTTTTCTTGGTCGGCAGGTTGCAGAAATCAAAGGTGAGCGTGATTGTCGAGTTTACTCAGACACGTGAACGACGTTGATGATATCACTGAAAGAACTCTTGAAGACCGATTATCGGAGTTCAACCCTCTACCTTTCAGCCCAAACGGAGCGCGTCGAGAAGCTCATCTCTCGCGAGGAGGAGTTTGAAGATCGGTTGACAAAAGTGTGTTCTCGGCAACATACGCATGATGCCACTCTAGATCAGATCACAGCAGACCTAGAGCGGCGGAGTGAGAGGCAAAAGGGAGCCGCCTCGCAGATCTCTTCTCTTCGGCAGGACTTTGAACAGCTGCATGAAGAGGCTATGTCGCAGATTGGCTTACTTCGCCGAGAGCTTGAGCAGCTGCGAACGACAAAAGCATCAACCTTCTCACCGCATGCCACTGCGATTGAACTGCGGAGGCGGGTTTTACTATGGGTACCTTTGACGTTTGCTAAGTTGTTGTGATCATACTTTGACTCGCGCCATCTCGACACAGATTGGGGCCTTTACCGGCTGCGTGGGGCCCGTAAACCTACACAGCGCACTCGTAAACAAGCTTTCAAGATCCTCATTTATGCCTTGTCTCGAGACTATGGCGCATATTTTGATACTGGCCGCAGCTCAGCTTGTGTTGGAGCAGTTCTTTGGGCAGGCAGCGGAACTAGATGATGAGCATCCTGTATGGGCAACGCTAGCATAGTCTGTATATCGTCTATCCTATAATTTCGCAGTGAAGCTGGAACACCTTCTGCTCGACCACCCCCTGGCCGGCGATGAACTCAGTCCTGGCCACATCCTGATCGTCAATCGCCCACGTGGATAGCACCTCTGCCGCAACTCCAAAGTCGCTAGCATACGCCACCACCGCAGTCTCCAGGGACGGATGAAGATCTCCTACCGCCAGTCCACTCCACTCCAAAAGGAGCGCATGCTCTGCGCCAATGTGACCGATGGGTGCGGTGATGAGAGGGGTCTCCGTGAAAACTGCAAGAAAACGGAGAGAGCCTAGACGCTTCAACGTCTGTCGCCACTGAACACGATCGCTCCATGGGCGAGGAGCAGTCCTGTCAAAATATTCTTCCTGATAAATCATAAGTAAATGGGTCCAGCTTCGGGCGAATGAACAGACTTACCCAAACTTTGGAGCCGTCTGCTAGTAACAGGGCGAGGAGGTCGGGAAAGCGCGACGACACCTCAGTCAACAGCGACTGATCATCTGGCCCAACCTGAAGAAAGAGGCAATCCAAGGCAGGAAAGATGGACGGGGAAATTGTCTGGATGGAATCGGACATGGAGGTAGACCCTTCGTCGAGCTCCAACTTCAAAGTATGAACCTCGAAGAGGGGGAACGAGACGCCGTGGAGATAGGCGACGGGACAAGTTAACCGTCTCAGGTTGACCATTGATGTGAACTCGAATCGGGTGCGAGGGGGCGCAAAGATGCCATCGAAGGCAAGCACGTTGATGCGGTCGAGATGCATGGATAGAAAGCCTCGAATGGCGGTCCTCGGTCCGTAATACTCGAGTCGACGAAGGTGCGAAAAGACGAAGCCAGTAAGGGTATTGTCGGAGGTGTTGCGCGGAAGTCGCATGGTGAGCTTTTGGATAGTGGGAAGCCGCGCGAGTAAACGTAGGAGTTGGTTGAGTTTATGGATGTCATCGGTGGGAGCGTCGGCGTCGGGGGTCAAGAAGTAAATATTCACCTCTTGAAACGGTGGGATAAGAAAGTCCGGGGCGCAACGGAAGTGGTCGATGTAGCGTTGGACCTCCATTGGCGCTTCAATGCAGAGGATGGTCTGTGGATAAGTCAATATGCTGTCGAGAGTCTATTCCCATGGGCAATGTACCTGATGAATCTCGGCCAGGATACGCTGTCATGCAGCATATGTCAGATACGAGCAGACGGACAGCTATCGTACAAACTTACATCCATGATCGCAGAGGGGTAGAGGGCAGGGGTGTGAAGTTCCGAGCGACGGTCATGTCTTTATACCCACATGGAATGTGGTCCCATCAGCGTGGCTCACTGCGAAAAGAATAACGTACAAAGGAAATGGTGAAAAACGGCCGCGCTTCGCATCCGTCACCTACTCCTCTACTGCTTTGCCCCATGTAATTGTCTTTCGCTACCTCGTTGTCGCTACCTCTGGCCATTTGTTGTCTTGGAAATCACTTCATTTGTGCTATCTACCGACAACGAACGCGACCAACCCTGAAAGACCTGGATGCCAAGACACGAATACTGAATGGCTGATTGATTTATCTCAATCCAACCACGGCCTCCGTCGGCGATGACAACACTGAGGAGCAAGGTCTTGAAGCCGCGCCTCTTCTCTAGGACGGAGGTCGAATGAGGCGAAAGCGAAAGCGAGAACAAACTTGAGCTTGAGCAGGGGCCAGAACGCAAACAACAGCATGGTCTAGGGAATGGGGAGAGTGGGATGAACACGATGCATGCGATGTGACGGAAGAAGACCACGCAAGACGTACCACATACTCTGGTCCACACCCAAGCTTCCCTACGGGCCACCCGCCGGCCGTTCGATACCCTGCAACGGGGTTGACATGGATGAAGACCGAGTCGATGATCTGCTTGAAGATGCTGGAGTTGTATGGGGGCATGGCGGAGCCTAAAAGAAAGAGCACACTCAATGGCCGGGAAACCACTGAGAGACAGTACTAACAAGAGGGCGATGTGTGCAGCCACTGCACGCTTTGTTGCCCCGGACGTGTGGATACGAGCGATAGCCGGCAGCGGAGGGAGCATGTGGAAGATCTTCAAGAGCTTGAGAATGTAGCGTCGGTTGTCCGTGCCCATAGTGTTGCATGATTAGGTGACAAGTGGGGTACTCTTGAGTGCCTTCGAGAATGGGTGAACGGCCGGAAGAAACTGATCGTGAACCCGAGCGTGGCGGGCGAGCGGAACGCCGCGCTCTCCAGGTGGTCGACGGTGACACTGAGCGGACTGCGCCAGATGCCGGGCGGTATTGAGGCCTGAGGAATGTCTCGTCCCCCGCGGACCGCGGCTCGCGGAAGGCGACGGTGGGTGCGTCAGTGTTGGTACAAGTGAGACGGCAGTGCGGAGACGGCGTGAAGTTGGATCTGTAGGGGAGCAAACACAGTGTCAACACAGGGACGATGACGGCATTCGACTTGGGACTCAGAGAGCGCGTACGTTTGGGAATTGCGCCTGCGCTCCATGCTTGCGTGGAAGCCGCACCACTATCGGAGCGGCGGCTGGGTTGGTGGAGGATGGCGGATCGGATACGTCGGAGCTGAAAATGGGGGATGGCGAACTTGGGGGATGATGGCGAATTGGTGGTGTGTGGCGACAAGTCGGATCCCCGCTCCAGCCTGCTGTGGCTGAGGGTGGCTGATTCCCACGCCACTCAACGAGTTGGCTTGAAAATTCTAGAGTCAGTCAACGTCAGGATGCACGCAGCCCTCTAGAAGCCAAACAAATTATTATTCCATTCGATAAACAACGCGACTGCTCTGGGTAGTAATTCCCGAGTTCAAATTGTTGGAGGCGAGGACGCTCAGGTGAATCGTGAGTGACGTGATATATGGGAAATGACTACAGACAATTTGTGCCGTCTAAGTGGTACGAGCCGCAGAGCGAGGGCACGAGTGGGAACGGCCTCGCCGCAACCCGGGCATCACAGATACTGGCTGTTCTTCCTCTGCACGAGATACTGAAGGGGTACATCAGCGCATTATAGGACGCAAGAGACATGATACCCACTGGCAGCGATACGCTTAGTACCCCAGGCCTTGCCAACCCAAGACGGAACTTCATTCAAATGAGTGTATGTAAGGTATCTGCCATCTTCGCGCTTGTAACCAGCGGCGACCTCCTTCCAAGCACCATGCGTGTCTTCACCTGACTGGTCTGCATCGTACAGCCATAGCTGTACAACGCTGCTGTTCTGGAGTTTGTGAATGAAGAGATCTCCGACCTGCAAATTGCACCGTCCCTGAAGCGTAGGAGGTGCTGAAATCGGAGTAGTCGAGGACGTCTCAAACCAAGACGTGTACTGCTCGTCGTCGGGGCCGTTCCTGCTCTTACGGATTTTCTTCGAGTTCCGCTTGAGCTGTACCCATTGTGTAAGAATAGGGTTTCGTAATGCAGTCAATGGCAAATCTTACGTAGACGGCCCCATTGGAGTTGTCCGTAGTTCTTTGAGCGGCGTGACGAGCGCCAGACGTAGATGGGGTGTGGGTCCTTCTTGAAACAGTTCGAGATTGGGAAGGTGCCATCCGCTTGCCATCTTGAGCTAACACCTCAGTCGGTGAATAGTAGAGTGGGGGCGTGTGGAGAGCCAACTTACAAGGGTCACTTTCGGTCTCATCAACGGACTCCTCATCGGTATGGTCAGGCGCAGCCGGAAGTTCTGGTTTCTTTGGCAAGCTCTTGCGTTTTGGCCCAGTGGTGGTAGGTATCGGTGGGTGTATTGGGGAGACGTGCTCATCCATCTGACCGAATAATGGCAGAGGCGGGGTCTTGATGTTCGCCCTGTGCAACAATGTGAGATGTAGTCACGACATATCTACCCAATGCATACCGTGTAGCTGCCTGATGGACGGAATGAGCTTCAAGTATCGTAGGCATAGCACCATCACCAGACGGTACTAAAGCGGAGTATTGAAGCACAGTCGGACCGTCTTCCCGGATTCGAGTGGCGGCGGAGAAGGAGTGGCTGAGTTCGGGTGGAGCGTGCGCTATCCACATATGCCCGAGGAACCCATATGCTAATAAGACGATGGCGAGGGTGATGCATGCAGTCGGTAAGTGGACGAAAACGTTGTCTGACGGAGTGGCGAGCATGATGCAGAAGCTATTCGTGTGCGTGTCAGTCGCTGAGACGGCATCCAGAGTCAGATATACGCATCTGTAACACAAACGGCATCAAGGCCGATTGAGTGATTCTTGAACAGTGGTAGCCTCTGATCTAGCGATAATGAAGGGCGTGAATAAGCTCGGATGGATTGCCGGAAGTTACAAAGCTTTGTACTGCCGCCACGTGTACAGAATGGACGCGACCACAACAATTACAGTGACGAGACATCTCAAAGCCACACCGAGCTACGGATGTATCCATCAACTCTATACCCATTCAAGCTAAACTGCATGTCTCACCAAAGTACAGACTCGTGTAGCAAGAACACTATCGTTTTGAGCGACATGGGGAATAGATGGGCCGTCAACTCCTGGCATCGGTGACACATGTATGTCAGTAGGAAAATGTGTGTGAAAATGGGCACTCACGAGCCTCTTCGGCCTTCCACACAACTACCTCGCACGGATATCCGTGTCTGAAGGCACCAGTAGCAAGGAAGAAACCATCCGTTTGAGTATGTAAATAGCTCTGTAGGGTCTATGATCAGTTAGCACTATGGCCGTGTCGAAGCATCTACGCACATCAATGGCCAGGACTGAAACATTGTCTGTTAGAGAGAAAATGAGCCGGCTGCATATTGCTCAAGAATGGGATACTCTGACCTTGGAAGGCTAAAGGCTGTTTCAACCGGGAGTGGATGTCCCAAATGCATACTTTGCCTTTGAACGCGCCACCAAGTATGGCACCTCCGCCGTGTACGAACTGAACAGGAATACATCGCCCAGAGCTGGCATCTTGTCTTACTGAGAATAGAGGTCGGACCTCCCCAGGTTTTGGCATCGAGAAGAACTCGAAACCTGTCAATAAATTGGACACAGCCAATAAATCACCATGGACGTTCAGATGGGCGTTGGCGCTACAATGAAGATCATAAGTCAGGTGTACGAATCCACAGACTGATATTGTAGCTCACATGCATCCTGGGAGAGGTGTTGATCCCACACGGGTCCAGCCGCGAGTGTCAAATGCTCTGCGCAAAGGGTGAGACTTGATGCATTGTGGAAAAACGGGTTTTACTCACACTACCCCGTGGCTCATATACGTGACCAACAGTACTGAACGTCGCTTAGCATCGTGTGTCCAGTGAAGACTTGTAACAATAACACGATGCGACGTAGTGTAGGCGCTGCTGGGAGGAGTTTCCAGCGTAGCAGTGTGGCGCCACGAGCCTGTAACAAAACAAATCAGCTGAGTGACTGGGGTACTACGAACCCCTCGATGTAAAACTCACTGTTCCGTGCTCTCGTCCAAACTTTCACCTCCTTGTGAGCCCCAGAAGCTAGTCGGTTGTCTTCGAAAGCAAGCCGCTCAACAGGATAGCGGTGGGCCCAAAATCCCTCCACCTTGATCGAAGTCTGCGAGGTACAGTGAGCATCATATCGTGTGCCAAAGAAACGACATACAGTCTGAATCTGGAGGAGCACTATGGTACCATTCTCCAATCCGCAGGCCATTTCCCCAATTGAACGGCCGCCACCAAGCCACAGAAGCGACAAAACGGCGCTCTTGCCGGAGAATACATACCTTAGCACCCCGTCACTGACAGTCCAAACACAAAGACGTCCATCTAAACCTCCGGATGCCAACATTTGTCCGTTGGGGCTGAATGCAACTGCCGTTATTGCGTCGGAATGTCCCTCATGGTGAGCAAGGCGGACCATCGGTTGGTAGAGTAACGGCATTGGAAAGATGTGTCGGTCAAGAGCGCGAATTGCGTATATTTGTGTATGAAGAGGTTCGGGTGGGGAGGAGAAGAGGAATGGGTAGCTGATCCGGCGAGGTCGCTCGTCCCGGTGGTCGTATTTCCAACTAAGCGCTGCCTTTCGAGCGCCTTACCCGGAGCCACCACCCTTGTCCCGTTTGTTTCCTCCCTGCTTTCATTCCAATCCCAGTTGCGCGTTCCGCACTCCGGTGCTCGCCATCCACGGCCCGTGGCTCCCGGAGCTGCACTCGTCGAGGGCTTCATGCTCAACAGCTACCTCGACATTTACCTCCTCGATCTCACCCTCGATCTCGCTCTCGGATACCTTGCTCTCCTCCGCCTCACTCCACCTTGCCCTCCTCTACCTCGCGCTATCACTGCGGGCGCGGGCCCCATTTCTCACGTGATGATAGAGTTGTCGTAGCCATGTGGAAGGTTTCCTTTGTCTTGAGCGACGCATGACTATCGCACGACGCGAAATTTAGCCTTTTGTTTGCCTTTCGCATCGCTGTCGCACCCAGGGATAGGCTGCCTAGCACATGACTATCCCTCGACTGCCTCTCCACTCTCACCCCACGTGACAGGCAGACTGCCACTTGACTATCGCCCCATGCGAGAGTTAGACTGCCGCTTCACTGTCCCTTGACTGTCGTCCCGTGCGCAAGGTAAACTGTAGCTTCGCTGTATCTCGACTATCGCCCCACGTGCGAGGCAAACTGCTGCTTCACTGTCCCTTGACTATCGCCCCACGCGTGTGGTAGACTGCCGCCTCGCTGTCCCTTGACTATCGCCCCGGGCGTGAGGTAAACTGCCGCTTCGCTATACCTCGACTATCCCGTGCGCAACTAGTCAGGCTATCACTCGTGTGCGCGTGGGATGAGTGGCGCCGTGCGCAGCGGGCAGTGACATGCGGGACTCCGGTAGGATCACCACACCCTTGGGCTGCCCGTACCCTTACCCGCAGATACCGTGACCCGTGTAGCGCGGATAAGGGTACATGGGGGTCCGCTGGTTCAGTCCGAGGGTCTACCTCCACGGGTTACCCTCAGGTAGTGTACTGGTATCATATAAAGATTATAAATAGTAGATATTAGTATACAACATTGAGTATCTAAGCACGGCCGAGAGACCGTGGAGTACGAGAACATGCCCGCCGCCGCCGGGGGGAGCGGGCGCGCAGGGAGCTCTGAGGAGCGCGGGGGAGGACGAGGCGGAGGGCCAGGACGAGGCGGGGGAGGCGGTGGGTGATCTGAACCGAGGCAAGCGAGGCGGGCGGGCGGGGCGAGGCCGTCTGCGGGTATCTGCTGCGCGTGGGGGTCTGCGGCGTAGAGCCGGGGGCGAGCGTCAAGTGCGCGGTGTAGGGGGGCGTGCGGGAGGGCTGCTGGGGCGAGCGACGTGGTAGGGCGCGGATACAGCGAGGGTGTCCGAGGAGCAGGCCAAGGTGGGTGTGGAGAACTAAAGCGGAGCCCGAGCCCGAGCGCAGACGTCGACGCGGACGTCGGGAGGCCGTGGCCCAATGCGCACTGGGACGCGACGAGCGAGCTCGCGTCCGACCCGGATGCAGACTTGGCGGGCGTGAGTGAGTGGAGGGAGACCCTGGGAGAGCGGTGGGCGGTGCAAGGGCGACACACGCGGAGGTGGGCAAGGCGGAGGACACCGGTGAAGAGGAGGACGAGGCGGCCAGACGGAGGGCGGCGCTGGAGGAGGCGGGCAATGGGGACTCGGGTGATGCGTGCAGAGGCGGACAAGGAGGGGGTGGGCGTCGTAGATGTGGGTGACGCGGAGGCCGGTGCAGAGGACGACGACGCATAGGGTTGACAAGACGCGGAGCCGGAGGACCTGGAGGAAGAGGGGGCAGCGTAGGCGCAGGCGGGCGACGTGGACGTCACCGCACGAACGAGCTGGACATGCAGGAGAGCAGAGGGGGGTGAGGCAGATGGGTGACGGGCGTACTCACCGAACTAAAAAAAGGGTGCCGTAACTCACGGCAACCTCAATATCCTCATCTCCGGGGGGAGGACGTCCTCCGGATGCCGTAGGTGTCGACGCGGAGAAGCGCAGCGCGGGGCGAGGTGGTGGGTGGTGAAGAGGTGGGGGACGCACGCGAAAGTGGACGAGGCGGAGGTGGGCGACAAGGCCTTGGTCCAGGACCTGCGGCGCGGTAGCCCGCCGAGCCCCCCCCCCACGCCGTCGCCCACCTGCGTGTGCCCGCCTTCACGCGCAGCTTCGCGCCCGCGTGCGTCTTGCGTTCCCGCGCCGGTGCCGCCGACGCTGCAGCGGGCGCGGGCGCAGGCTTGGGGGCCGGCGCGGTGCTGCTCGCGGCTTTCTTCGTGCCCTGCTGCACGGTCAGAAGGGGAGCGGTGTGAGGCGGACGCGGCTCAGACGTACATTGCGTTTGTGGAACTTTGCGCTTGGACGGGGGAAGTCGAGCAAGGTGGTTGCAACAAGAAGTTGGCCGTCGATGGCATATGGAGGATGGCGGCATCAAGGGGCGGCAAGAGACGACAAGCAGAGAGGTTGAACGGAGGGTGAGCGGACGAGAGGAGCAAGGCGGGTGGGACGGGGTATGGCCAAGATAATGGGCGGAGGAAAGAAGTCTATAGACGCAGGCTGACGCACGGCCCCGAGTCGCAGGGGACGCGCGCGATGGTCACGTGCCCATGCGTTCAAAATGTGCGTCTGCGCGTCTGGACCTCCTTTGCGCGTGCCGCGACCGGTCGCATCTCCGTCTCCTTGTCCGGGCCTACCTGCAGCGTGGCCTGGCATGGACGTTGCCCCCTCAACGGTTCAGGCGAGCTAGCCTCGTGTCCAGGAGGGGGCTTGGAGACGCGTATGTGGGGGACTTTGCGTCCCCCACGGGTCCTGGAGCTTCGTGCTCCAGAGGTACGCGTCAACTTCCATTTCACAGGCATTGTTCCTCTGAAAATATGTGAGTATTTACCCTTCGTTGAAAATGGTGGCTCATACGCTCTGCGACAGACACCACTACACCAGATATCATTGCGTGGCAGTCTATTGTCCCGCGAGGTGTTTGGATTTTGTACGACGTGAATCATCTGCGCGACGCACCTAGACCACGCACCGATATTTAACTCGCGTGTTTCACAGGACCGACGCACGCGTCGTGACACTCTCGAATGGACGCCCAACACTTCGCGTTCTAAGGCTGTTTGCAGCTCCGGCTCACTTCGCGGGTAAACCCGCAATGATCCGGAGCCGTGAGCCGGGGATCATGAGCCGGGCGGCTCCAGCTCTCTGCGACTCCGGCTCCTAGCGGCTCCGGATCAAGGTGGCTGAAAATTGGCGGATCTACGGCTCGATCCACGGATTATCCGCAGATTCTCAATACATATACTACAAAAGCTATGCTAATAGAAAGCCACTTCAAGCGGCTTTCTAACGATATAATTTGTGTGTGATGTGGTGCAAAACCGACGGGGATATTGATACATTACTAGTTTCTTTCACTGGCAGCGCATCTGACGCCGGCGTCTGGCGTCTGCACGCGGGAATCCATCCCGATTAGGCACTTTTCGCCGTTCGGATTCGAACGCGGCGTCTCGCGCGCCGATTGTCCGTCCCTCATCCCTCCTCCTGTCCAGCCTGTCCTCCGCGTCCTCCTCCACTTACCCTTCACCCTCCGTCCATGTGGCGTCATCTCGCGCACGCGCGTAGCCTTTCTAAATCCCGGGGTTGTGTCATGGGGTCGCAGTGGGCTCACGCGGCTGCGATCTCTCCTGGTGAGTACTCCTTATCCCCGTCCTTGCCCGTCTCGCGCTCGTCCACCTCACCATCCCCCACGGGCTTGCCCCCACCTCGCCCTCTGCATCGGCCTCGTCCTGCACCTCGCCGTCTGCCTCCCGCGCTGTCCTCCACCTCAGCGCCACGCGTCTCTCATCTCGCCCACGTCACCCGCTGCGTCGCCTTCCCCCGCAGCTCGCAAGCCCACATCCCCCACCTGCCCCGTGTCGTCCGATCCTCTTTCCACGCGGCGCGCGCTCGCGCGGCTGTTCTGTTGGGTCGCGGTGAGCTCCCGCGGCCCCTGTTTCTTATGGTGAGTGCTCCCCGCCTTCTCTGCTCCCCGCGTCACCTCCCCCTCCCAGGTTCCAGCCGAGCTGGCCTCGCGCTGGCCCTCTTCGCTCTTCGAGCCCTCCGCGCGTCGCCCTCGCGCCCTCCCTCCCCGCGTCTCGTTCCTCTATCGCGCCTTATCCATCGCGCTCGCGCCCGCGCTTGTCCGCGTCCCCTTCGTCTCGTCCCCCGACGCCCTCGTCTCGTCCCTGTGTCACCCACGTCGTCCTCACCTTGCCCATCTTGCCCGCGCAGCTCCCGCCTCACTCACATCGACCGCGTCTCACCCGCGTCCCCCGCGTCCCCCTCATCCCTCTCGTCCCTCTCGTTTCCCGCCTGCCCCGCGTCGCCCACATCCCGCCTCGTCCGATCATCATCCGCATCTCGCCCTCGCCGCCTCACCCGCCTCGTTCCGCGTCTCCGACCTCGCTCGAACCCGCAGGTCCCCGCGCCGCCCATGCTCCCCGCCTGCCCTGCGTCACCCAACCGTCCGTCTACGCGGCGTCATCGCGCTCGCGCGCGCGGCCACCCTGTGGGGTCGGGGAGAGCTCCCACGGCCCCGCCGTCGTTTGGTAAGTCCTCCTCAGCCCCTCTGCTCCCCGCGTCACCTCCCCGACACAGGCTCCGGCCGCGCTGGCCCTCTTCGAGCCCCCACGCGCCGCCCTTGCGCCCTCTACCTCTGCCCCTCGTCCCTCTCGCACCTTATTAAACGCACGGATGCGCGCTCACCCAGTGCGCTCACTGCCGCCCTCCGCCTCGCTCCCAAGCTAGTGCATCGCCGACCAGCTGCTCCGTCAAAGCTCACAACACGCGGAGGACTCAGGACGTCCGCCCGGACGTCCGTATGGGGAGATGATTGCTGGGGTCGCGGTGAGCTCCCGCGGTCCCGATCTTATTTGGTGAGTCCTCCCCATCTCCTATGCTCCCTGCGTCGCCTCCCCCTTCCAGGTTCCACCCGCGCCGGCAACTTCCCCGACCTCGCGCCCTTGACCCTCCGCGCCCTCGCGCCCACCTTGGCCGTCTCTCCACCACGCCGTCTCCGCCTCATCCCTTGCCCGCGTCGCCCTCGCCCTCGCCCACGTCCCCGCATGCACCGCTTGCGCTCCACCCTCGGTCCACGCGGCGTCATCGCGCTTGCGCGCGCGGCCGTCCTGTCGGGTCGTGGTGAGCTCCCGCGGCCCCAGTCCTCTTCAGTGAGCCCTCCCCGCGTCGCCTTCCTCTCCCCCGCGCTGGCAAGCCCCCCCAACCCCTCCCTCGCCCTCTCCCTTCCACCACGCCCTCTCGCCTTGGCCTCGTCCGCGTCGCCTTCACCGCCCCCATCTCGTCTGGGTCACCCACTTGCCCCGCGTCACCCGTCTTTTCCCACATCGTTCGCCTTCGCCCACGTCCCCGTCGTCCCCCGCAGCGCCCACCGCCCGTCGCCTGCGTCGTCCGCATTGCCACGACGGCCGTGTCGCCTCCATGTTTCGCTCACGCCTGCGTCACGCTCACCCGCATCCGTGTTGCTCATCTCACACGCATTGCCTGCCCCCTCCCACATTGTATTCCCATAGCCACTAGTACAACTACTGAATGTATGTAGAGTAGTGATCTGTCAATGGAATATCATGATTTTGATGACTATGAATGCATTTAAACACCACATATGGGTGAAAAAATCCACAAAAGCACCTGAGCCGCACCGAGCCACAGAGTGCGGCTCGTTTGGCGGCTCGATCCGTGGATTGCGGCTCCAGCTCGTGCGGCTCCGGCTCTTCCAGCGGATCTGATCCATGCGGATCTGGATCAAGCCCCCAGATGTCACATGATCCGTGGGTTCGGATCCGGATCATCCGTGGATCGAGCCGCAAACAGCCTTATGCCAGTTCTTCTGGGCGTTGGATGCCATCTATCGCAAGCACTGGGCCAAGCCAATCGGAGACTGTGCCACACCCGGGAACCCTCCCAGGTTGCGCGTATTGACGCCGAAGAGCCGTAAAGAGGATGGTGTCGCTCCTTGTGGGCTGTGGCGAAACTGCTACGACCCCGAGTGGCTAGCCAGCCTTTTCCCTCATGTTCGGGATTCGCTCAACATCATCGACGAGGACTACAACTTTTCTCTGAACGCTTAACGGACGGTTTTAGCCCAGGCGGTATTATTTCATTTCATGTCGAGCTAAAGTGTTTTCAGACCGCCTGTACCTGTGTAACATAGAACGTGTACTACAACATGCTTACCCTTCGCCTATCGCCTCGTCTACGTCACCGTCAGGTGAACTAGCACACGTCGCCAGTCGAAGACAATCCCGCGTGGTGTTCATCTCGCGCATCGAGTTTGTCAAGGTTGACCTAGGGGTGATGGATCGTGGCTAGTCCGACATCCACCATAGACGTACTCGCGCACATCGCTCGCTCAGTCCTCTGAGAATTACAGCAAGAGACGTCGGGCGCGTGGGGATCGTTCTCCCTCCGACGCGCACGAGACTGAGGTAGACTCGTGCTTGTCGGGGCCCGTGCGCGTCGGAGACGTACCCATACGGTGCATGGTAGCTCATCCACTGTCAGAGCAACACACGCGCGAACTCGCCTGCGCTGCTTGCCTCGCGTAGTGATTGCATGGTGTAGCCGTAGCCACTGGGACGCTGTAGTTTCCGGGTGCTGCTGTAGCTTCCGGGCGCTGCTGTAGCTTCCGGGCGCTGCTGTAGCTTCCGGGCGCTGCCGTAGCTTCCGTATGAGAGCGACGCTGCGTAGCTTCCGGGCGAGGCTACTGTAGCTGCCGGGAGGTCTATATCAATGTAGCTTTGTGGTTGAATACGCATAGCTAGTGCTCGTCAGCCGTCCACAAAGCGCAGCCCGCTCAACCAGCCCGCGCACATCACATGTAGCTACGTGCGATGAGCGCGAGGCAGCGCGAGCTTGGCTGTCTGAGACTATCGGGTGGTCGATGAGCTTCGCGCGCCCAACTCGTTAGTATATTACACGCGGTTGCGACCGTGCGGGGGATAGAACGACCAACGCGTGCAAGCTCATCTGCGCCGGATGGTCGCCGAGCACGCTGCGGCCTGCACGCTTACAGGTCCCTCAGCGCTCGCGAATTCGCCTGGGATGCAACGGGTCGTGCGCGAAGGGCTCTTTGAGAGAGAGGGTCTTCTCGCGCGACTCGTCTTTCTCTCACAATGCGATGGTGACTGGGAAGGACAGAGCGACCGACACGCTCGAGCTGCGACTGCCGAAGCGCGCGCGTCCATCTCTGGCGATCCATCAACCACCAGCGCAAAATCGTGGGCGACAGTCCCGCTGTCATCCATATTTCCGCAAAGAGGATATCAATTATATTGTCCGCATTTCGTCCGGGACGAAGGTTTTTATTTCCTCTACATTTCATCCAGGACGAAAGTCGGACGAAATTTTCACTGTCATCCGCCTTTTGTCTGGGACGAAATGTGGAAGAATGTTTTCCTGTCATCCTCATATAATCCGCATATCGTCCGGTCGGTACAGTTTAACTATCCCATTGTCTGAAATGTGGATGAAATGCGACAAACAGTTAAACAATCGTCCGATCAGAAATGTAGACGCCTAGCCGGACAAAAGCGGTCATTTCGTCCGAATATCATCCGCCTTGCCGCCCGGCCGGAGATTGTGCATTGCCCGTCGTGAGATGATCTTCGCGAGTGGGCATAGGTGATGACCCGCACGACGCCTAGACGTGGAGAGCAACGTGGTGTCATTCATCGGTGTAATCGCGGGACTTGACTCGGAGGGATGGTATGGTATGCGCGAGAATGCAAAGCTCGCTCAATGATATACCGAGCAGGAAAGCTTTGTTGAGCGACCATTCGGCGGGCGACGTGTTGTGTTCACCCACACTATCAGGTCCGAGTAGGACGAGAGCGACGTGCCTTAGTGTAGGTTGGTCTAACGTCTGCAAGTCTCCCACGGCGCTCATTTTGAAGACCATGAGCTGACTAATTGTGCACGACCGAGCGGGGACCGAGCTCCTGCATGCCAATATTTGCGCACCAAAAAACACGATAAACGAGGCTACAGGTCGAGCCATGCACGGCCTGGCAGAGGAGGACGTTGCGGGACGAAGCGAAGCTGGAGATCGGCGCCACGCGATTGGCAGAGTACTCGCCACATCGCAAATAGAGCCAAGCAATCACCCGGCGTTGTCCGAGCGAACGGGCAGAGAGGTGACAGTCAGCGCGCACGTAGAGCAAACCCCCTTCGTCAACGTCCTCGACGATGTTCAGACATCCGTCGGCGGCGTTCCGTACGTCGTCCTTTCCCCTTCCGCCGCTGCAGCCTGTACTTACGCCGCGCTCTACACTCGCCTTTCGACAGAGATAGCGCGCCCGTTCCGGGCAAAACTCCGCCGCTCGTTCGCGACGGTGCAGGACACCCCTGTTCGTCGCTACGGCGGCCTCAAAGACCAGGACCGCATCTTCACCAACGCCTACTGCAGGCATGACCACGGCATAAAGGGCGCTCAGGTGCGTGTATGGGCTGAGTCTCAAAGGCCTATGACACGACTAAGCGCCGTTGGCGTGGGCAGTCGCGCGGTGACTGGCACCGGACGAAGGACATCATTCTCAAGGGCGACTCCTGGATCATCCAAACCATCAAGGACTCTGGTCTGCGCGGCCGTGGAGGTGCCGGCTTCCCCTCGGGTCTCAAGTGGAGCTTCATGAACAAGCCGGGCTGGGAGAAGGACCCTCGGTGTGTGACGTCCCATTTCATTTTTGCGCCCCCCGACCTATTCCGCCATGCAGTCCACGCTACCTCGTTGTCAACGCGGACGAGGGCGAACCCGGCACCTGCAAGGACCGCGAGATCATGCGCGGCGACCCGCACAAGCTCGTCGAGGGCTGCCTCGTCGCCGGGCGCGCCATGAACGCTTCGGCCGCATACATATACATCCGCGGCGAGTTCTACCAGGAGGCGAGCCACGTCCAGCAGGCGATCAACGAGGCGTACGCCGCGGGCTTGCTCGGCAAGAACGCGTGCGGGTCCGGGTACGCATTCGACGTCTACCTCCACCGCGGCGCCGGCGCGTACATCTGTGGTGAGGAGACGGCGCTCATCGAGTCGATCGAGGGCAAGCAAGGCAAGCCGCGCCTCAAGCCGCCCTTCCCGGCCGATGTGGGTCTCTTCGGGTGCCCCACGACGGTGGCGAACGTGGAGACGGTCGCGGTCGCGCCGACCATCTGCAGGCGCGGGGCGCCGTGGTTCGCGGGCTTCGGGCGAGAGCGAAACCAGGGTACGAAGTTGTTCTGCATCTCGGGGCACGTCAACAACCCGTGCGTGGTCGAGGAGGAGATGAGCATCCCGCTCAAGGACTTGATTGAGAAGCATTGCGGCGGTGTCATCGGCGGGTGGGACAACCTGCTCGGTATCATCCCCGGTGGCTCCTCCGTTCCGGTGCTCCCGATTGACAAGTGCTCGGAGGTTTTGTGAGTACTCCCTTGACATCTTTTGGTCATGTACATTTCTGAAGCTGCGTTAGGATGGACTACGACTCGCTCAAGGACGCGCAGTCTGGTCTCGGTACCGGTGCGGTCATCGTCATGGACAAGAGCACGGACATTGTCAAGGCCATCGCGCGTTTCGCTCACGTATGTCTTGCTCGTCAACATCCATATATGACCCTAACCCTATGTCTTGTTTGCAGTTCTACAAACACGAGTCCTGCGGTCAGTGCACGCCCTGCCGCGAGGGCACGACATGGATGATGAACATGATGGACCGCTTCGCGGAGGGTCGCGGGCACCAGCGCGAGATCGACATGCTGCTCGAGCTCACAAAGCAGATCGAGGGCCGGACGATCTGCGCACTGGGCGACGCGGCGGCGTGGCCCATCCAGGGCCTCATGCGCCACTTCCGTCCGGAGGTGGAGGCGCGCATCGCGGGCTTCCGCGCCGCGAACGGGCCTGTGATGTTCGGTGGGCGGATGGTGAGCGACGCGGACCAGACGCTTGCGCTGCCGGACAACCTGGGCGCGCGCTTGCCTGAGGTTGGGTCACCGCAGGCGTAGAGTACGTATTTCGGACGCAATATATGTTGCTTTTTGTCGTCTTGACGATGTGTGCGCCGTGCGCTCGTTCCACGTCCTGCAAGTCTTGGGCGAAGAACCCAGGATGCCCTTTATCACCATCCCCTGACTATATCGCACTAATTTCTTAGATGTTCAGTGGCCACTGGACCTCAAGTGCTTGTCGACCGACCGTAACCTCATCCAAGGACAACCCAGAACCCACTCCCGACTCTGTCCTACGTGGGGCATCGTCCGGCCTTCGGGGACGACCTAATGCAGCGAAAACCTCGGTCTACCTTCGATGGTCCCTCCTCCGACCCTCACCAGGTGTTGACTGTTATGCCACGGATGCGCGCAACGCGCAACCCGGCCAAGGCACCTCTCGATGGCCTCAGCCTGGACCTGGACGCGAGTTTCCAAGTTGTACGCAGCGCGCATCGAGGCAGGATTGCAGACGTCAATGGTTTGGACGCGGCCGCTGCCCGAGACGGACAGGTCGAGCATATCCATAAATCGCCCAACAGGATTTTCAGCTCCTGATCCCTAGGCTCGGCCGTCTATCCAACTCACTTACATGTCGGTGCCCCACCTCAGATACTACTCTTCTAATCCTCCGTCGACCAATAGTGATCTCAGAACGTTCTTGGGAAGGTCCCCAGAACGAACCAACGCGGCAACCAGCTCCTCCATCTCCAGGTACCATCCTGCGTAGTGTTCATCCATTTCGTTTCAATTCTGAAGTACAGCTCCCTCCTCCCCGAACTGCCCTCCAAGAAACCTAGCCACATCCATGTCCGAGATCTTCGCTGCTAGGTTAGTCGAAGTAGAGTCCTCCATCGACAGAGTACTAAATGATGGATGTCAGCACCACGACGGGCCCCGAATAGTACCTGGGCATACCGTTTGACCTGTGACAGGCGTGTACGATGAGAAATTAATGACTGCAGTCTCGAAGTAAAACTTACCAGTGATGAACGAGGCATCGTCAGACACAAGGAACGAAACCACGTTGGCCACCTCAGCCGGCGTCCCAGACCGAGCGATCAGACTCGGTACCTAGAAGAGTAGATCAGACAACAATTGGAACGCAAGAGCTGAACTGAGCACTTGGTACGAGCCGAGGGGCTGTCCAGTCTGTTCAGAGAGCATCCGGTCGGCCATCTCAACTGTGGTGGCAAATTCAGCGGCCGAAGCGCACGCGTATGAGGGAACGTACTCATGGGGGTGTCGATCTTCCCGGGGGCATAGCCGTTGACATTGATGCCGTACTTGGCGTAGTCCATCGCCGCGCTCTGCGTGAGCCCGCGGACGGCGAACTTGGTCGCCGAGTATACGCTATGCAACGAAGCGCCTCGGTGACGAGCGCGTCAGGACAGGAGATCTGAGAGCTTCGAATCGCGGCGCTCACCTTTCTTCCCGAGCACGGACGACGCGCCGACAATGCGCCCGCCTGTTCCTTGCTTGATCATCTGTATCGCGGCGTGTTTATAGGAGAAGAAGGTGCCCTTCAGGTTGACGTCGATCATGTCGTTCAGTTGTGGGTCCGAAGCTGTCGAACGCGAGGAGCTCGGTCAACGTCTGCCAGAGCGTCATGATCACTCGAGGAGAACGAACTGTCGTGGAACATTGCGAGCTGGGCTATGCCCGTGTTCGCGATCATCTGCGCGGGGATGGGTTGGCGATCTCGCAGGAGAGAGGGGAGAGAACGTACCGCGTACAAGCTGCCGAGCTCCTCCACCACCGTCTGAACAAGACCCTCGACGTCCGCCTCCTTCGAGACGTCACCGCAGACGACCACGACGCGCGCGCCATGCGCACTCCGCGCCTCCTTCGCAGCGGACTCCAGCCTCTCTTTGGCACGGGGGAGGTCCAGCAGGCCGAGGTCGAAGCCGTCTTTAGCGAGTCGGAGGGCGATGGCGCGGCCGATGCCCTCTGCGGCCCCGGTGACAATTGCGACGCGCCTGGACGAGGACATGGTTCTGAGGGGTCTCTGGAAGAACTGGGGGCGTGTTTATAGGTCTCTGTGGGACCCTATCGACGTGCGAAATTGTTGCTTGACAGATGACGGCAGGTGATGCCTTTTAGACCATGTCCTGCACGCATGGTCTTGACAGAGGGAATGGAGAGGGAGGAATGAACGCAGTGATGGGGACGGGTCGGAAGGATGCCATAGGAGAGTTCCAGAGAGCGAGAGCACCGGTGCGACGGCCGCCTGCGCACACAGCTGACGTCAGCGTTTCTCATCACAGCGCGCAGTGCATGAATGTCGAACTCTCAGCCACTTCCTCAGAACCGCTTACCAAGTTTTTGCAAAAGAGCGCACCTTCCCTGCTGGCGACGGATGCGGCGCCGATGAGCCCTTGTTTGTTCAGCTGCTCTGTGACACCCTTGTAGCACTGGACGACGCCCTCGGGGCGAGATGGGACGAGAAGGCAAAGCGTGAGCAGCGTGGAAACAGCGATATATTTTCGTGGAGGTCCCCGCGAAGTTTGTATTCAGTCGTACGCGCGCACGTCGTTTTATCGCTTGACGGGCCGAGCTCCGCGATGGCGGTCGCATATTCTCTTCGCCGGGAGCGACTCCAATCACGTTGACGACACGCGATCGGAGGCCGCTTCGACGCTCGCGGCGGGCAACGCCTCCACTCTGGCCTGCTGAATTGAGGCCGAGCCCATATCCGTCCGTGGCCATGTTTGTTCTGGACGCAAGCGGAGTGCCACCTTTTGGGGTGACTTCAGTCCGGAACACGAAGGTGGAAGGGCCGTGGCTCCCGAGTTGATATTTCTCCGACGAACGCTGGAGAGGAACGTAGCGAGAGCGGGCGAGGTCCGGGGCCTGTTAAAGGATGTTCTGAAGTCATTGTCAAACGCATAGTAAGCGATCTGCGTATGTAAATATTGAATGATCATATATGACATCGAGAACCGGTCATTCAGTGGTAGGGTTAGTCGAAGCAAATGCCTCCATCTACCAAGTACTGCGGGGGATGAGTATCATAGCAACATATAAATTACTGCACCCACCGACTGCCCTTGTGACAAGAACGAGCGAAATAAGAGCAGATTCAGTGTTATTACTATGATGTCAACATGATAGAAACTCACCGGTGATGAAATCAGCCTCGTCGGAAACTAGGAACGCGACGAGCTTCGCCACGTCTTCAGGGGTTCCAAGTCGCCCTAAGAGAGAAGATTTTCGAAGCTATGAAACAGCGCAATACGCGAAAATGAGCTATCGTATGTGCGTCTAAGAAAGTGGTATACCGATTCAGTCCAAGAACGCTTTGGTTGACCGCTTTTGCTTGTGTGATACTCATCCAGACTCGCAACTACGATGATATCGGCATCAACGTACGTCTTGTGCTATTCGAACAAAGACGACACACGTACGGAGAGGTGTATCGATCATGCCAGGGGCGTAAGTGTTCGCGGTGATCCCGTATTTGGCGTAATCCATTGCAGCGCACTGCGTCATGCCGCGGATCGCGAACTTGGTCGCCGCGTACGCCGCCATCTCTGGGCCGCCTGTCGTGCGCGGTCAGTTCAATTCACAAGATGTGTGAGAGAGTAGACCTTTCTTGCTGGCGATGGATGCGGCACCAATGAGACGGCCGCCGCCGCCCTGCTTGATGAGCTGCTCCGCGGCGTACTTGTAGCAGAGAAACGTTCCTTTAACGTTGACATTCATGAGACGTTCGAAATCTGCCACCGGCGCTGGACGGACGGAAGGGCAAGCGTCAGTTGTGTTCGTATGTGGATAATGGACAGCGGAGCCGGCGTACGTACTTTGGTGCAGCACAGAGTTGATGGAGATCCCCGCATTCGCTATCATCTGTAGATACACGGAGAGCATGGTAAGACGGCCGGTGAATTTGATGGCGGATATACAAGGCTCACTGCGTAGAGGCTTCCCAGCTCCTGGACGACGGTCGCGACGAGGCGCGCGACGTCTTCCTCGTTGGACACGTCCCCGACGGCGTTTACGACGGGGGTCCCGTGTGTGTCCATCAGCTTCGCAGCCAGCTCAACTAGGTTGGTCTGCTCGCACGGAAGATCGAAGAGGCCGAGGCCGTAGCCATCCTTGGCCAGTCGGAGGGCGATGCCGCGGCCGATACCTTGGGCGGCCCCGGTGATGATGACGACACGCCTTGGGTTGCTCATCTTCGGAGGGAGGCGGACGGGCGGACGGAGGGAAGTCTGTGCTGTGGTGGGGAAGTCGGCTCTTATAGCCCCCATGGCCGTCGACGTCATTGCGTCCAGTTTGGGGCCAAAAGTGAGTTCGGAGGCTGATCATGCAAACTGCGGTCCTCAGCGAGATGCTCTGTCCGAAGAGAATACACTGGCTCACCTCTCGAGCGGCAGCCGACATATGCAGCCTAGTACTTGCAAATCGACGGCGGTTCAGTTTGCATCCCTACAGCGTGGACATCACGTCCAGAGTCGAGGACATAGCTTGAGTTGTCAGCCTGCAGCAAGCTGTGACAGTGAGAGATGAGGTGCACGAGCAGATTGACGCCGAGGCGCGGCGTGCTCGCTGCCTTTTACCGTCATCCGAGTCCTCGCTCGCGTGCGTCCACCCAGGTCCCGCAGCCACCTTCGAAGTTGGCTGGGTGCACCCCTGGTTCGACAAACCCATCCTCCTTCGATCGCGCCGTCAAGGTCCAAGAGCACAACTCCGCGTATGTACGTGCGCCATCGACGACGCTGTCAAGGTACGCCTCTTCACTTTTCTTCCGTGCGTTCGTCCCCACCAATGCGCGCAGATCGTCCAAGTGACCCCGTCTTGCCGGCCTGCGTTCGCGGTCTCTCCAGTCGTGTGAGTAAGGCAGGCACGACTGGAGAACCGGAAGGCGGTACCCCGCGAGCGTCGTCGACAACCTTGACACCCATAAGTCCGCGGTGGGGAAGCGGAGTGGAACATCACTGGCGCGTCTTTCTCCTTTCCTATTGGCATGCTCCCCCTTTGCGACAGAAAACCTGTCAAGAGGAAATAACGATGGTCATGACATTATGTCTTCAAGATGACGGTGGGGAATGACCTTTCAAACGTTCAGCGTCGACATGGTTGACGATTAGGGGATCGGTGTATGAGGTAGTCGTCATTTGCTTTACTGCACGTCAAAATCCCCCCGGCACTGTCCCTATAGATATCGTATTTGGCCCCTCTCATCCAACATAACGTCGGGCACACCTCTCTGTCCAGACGCTCTCCCTGAACGATGCGCTCTTCCTGAACGATGTGCGTACGCCTTCCGAGTATCTCGGTGCGCCTCTTACCGTCATGAAACAGCCGAAAGTGTCATGCTCTGGCTCGCCAAGTTCCGCCTCGTCTCGTTGAGTGAGATTATTCTTCTTCTACATTTGTGGCGTTCGTGCCCAGCAACTTACACACACCGTAGTAATCTCTTCCGCCCTTGGCCTCACTATCATCGGTATCAACGCCGATGTTGCCACGTTTCTCTCCCAGGCAGCCGTCATTCATGTAGATGGTCAATCATACAGTCTCGGACTCGTCGACTATCCTCGGCTCGGGATCGCTGTAGGGGCGTGGACCCTTATAGCCTTCTCATCAATGTGCGTGCTCAGCTCACTCCAAACAGCCATATGGACTCAACCTCCATGGCAGGGTCGCCGTGGATATACTACGAACCTCGTTCATCATCTACCTCGAGCTGTGTTGTCTGGGTAGGCATTCCTGTCATCCCCGGTGTCAATTCAGCGTGCTCATGTCGTCATCATAGCCTTCGTGTCGGGTCTGTGGTTCGTCGTCGTCGTTTTCACCATCGTCGGCTTCGTCATCTTGTTCCACGGCGCCTGCAACGACCTCGGCCCAGTGGTCTTCCCTGGCGGCGAGACCCTGATCTCCACCGGGCTCACCCGGTTCGCGTTTGACCGGACGACCGTTCTGGCCACTAGAAAAGCGTGTCGCGAGACCGTCGCGAGCCTTGTGCTCGCTCTGGCGGTGTGGCTGGCAGGTGCGTGCTTTACGGTTCTCTGCACCGTTCCTCATGCTCACTTGCCCGTCACAGTCACGGCGTACGCCGTCGCGCTCCTCGTCTTCGCCTTCCGCGCCGAGACACGTGGGCGGCCCGTCTGGCGCTCCAGCGTCGCGGCAGAGGACGAGCGGTTGGCGAGGACCCCCTTGCACGCAAGTGGGAAGGATGGGAGCGCACAGGACTCGATCAGCGAGCTGCGAACGCACGATGAATGCAGGGAGCAGCCGTCCAGCCAGAAGCTGGGGGGTCAGGAGGTGCAGGATACGGTACCGCCCATGTCTGTAGCCTGACGTCGCCAGAGCACGACCCGTGTCTCGAGGCCCTCGGCGTGCTCATCGTGAGCGCTCTATGGATGTTGCGCTTTCTGCTGTACCTTGGAGTTCTCAAATGGCATCTCGTCTTCCTAGCGCATCTCTGTTGCTACCCACCATGTTCTGGCTGTCGAAGTTCCGCTTGATCAACGTCCTCGGTAGCCTTCCGCTATACCTTTTCAAAATACTCGCTGACACTCTAGGGATTGTGATGATGTGCGGGTTGGTGGCCCTTGCGCTCAGCGCCGACATTATAGTAGCTACCTGGAGTCCTGAACCGACCCGCACAACTGCCGGGGTCGTTTCAGTCCTCTCCAGGTACGCGTTTTGCGTCGTCTGCTCCCACTTTTTTCTCATCGCGTTCCAGGCATGTACTCTCGGGGTGTGCGCCTCCCGATACTGAGCTCGTTACCCGGCCCCACGCCGACGAGAAGGGCAGGCAAAGACTGCTGGTAATCTTCTGCTCAGCTTACATTCGCGATCCAAATTCTTCTCCGGTATTGTCACGACCTAAGCTACGTCACTTAATCGAAACAGTAGCCTCCATCGATGAGGTACTACAGAGCCACGATTCAGCTTACAAGCACGCCCAAAAGCTTTGCAAACGGACTCACCGATTGACCTGTGATCGTGCAGGCGGTATAATGTAAATACGTCAATGAGCCAGCCGTGTATGCGAATGACAACTTCGGGATGGACGCACCGGTAATGAAAGAAGAGTCGTCTGAAACAAGGAACGACACGAGCTTCGCGACGTCCTCCGGTCGGCCGTTCCTTCCGAGAAGGTTGGGGAACTAGGTTCAACGTCACCGCACTGTTGTTGAAAAGGCAAGGCGGTGCACGCACGGAAGAAGCGAAGGTGCCGCGCGGCGTGCCGGTGCGTGCCGTCTGGACCTCGTCCAGCGCGTCCACTGCCATCGCCCAAGTCAGTCGTATTCATGAGGTTATACTTGCCACTTACGGAGCTTAGTGTCGATGGCCCCGGGTGCGTAGGCATTGACGTTGATGCCGTACTTCGCGTAGTCCATCGCCGCGCTTTGGGTTAAGCCCCGGACGGCGAACTTGGTAGCAGTGTAGATTGCTTGGTCGGGGACGCCTGGAGGGCGAGATGATCAGCGAAACGGTCAACCAGCGGGCGAGGAGAACCGAACCCTTCTTGCTGGCGATCGACGCAGCGCCGACGATGCGCCCGCCTATTCCCTGCTTGATCATCTGCATCGCGGCGTACTTGTAGCTGAAGAACGTCCCCTTAATGTGAACGTTGATGAGCTTGTCGAGAACTTCGTTCGGGGCTGACACAGGAGAATTCAGAACGACAGATGAATCAAACACACGTCAGTTGAACCATACTCTCGTGGAGGATGCAAAGTGTCCCTCCTAGCCCAGCGTTCGCAATCATCTGTCGAATGTACACCTTTATGAGATATGCTCTCAAAACCCTCAGAACACGAAGCAAAGCACTCACCGCGTACAGACCTCCCAGCTCGGATACGACCGTTTCCACCAGCATGCGCACATCGTCCTCAATGGAGACGTCGCCGAGCACTATGCAAACCTTCGACCCGTGTGCGCTTGTCACCTCCCAGCAAGCTCCGCGAGCCTGGCCTTGGAAGTGGGCAGGTCAAAGACGCCGAGGTCGAAGCCATCCTTCGCCAGTCGAAGCGCGATTCCGCGTCCGATGCCCTCCGCGGCCCCAGTGATGATTGCAACGCGCTTTGCGGGGGTAGTAGACATGGGCAGGGTGAAGTAAAGCTCTCGGCGCCGCATGGCCTATCTTTTATGCATCGCCGTTAGTAGGTGCGAGGCCCTTGGGAAGCTGGTCGTCAGTTTGCCTTGGACGATGACAATAGGCGCCATGAGATGGTCCTTTGGCGGACCATAACGGGGCTCTTGAGAACGCGGCTGTGGGTGTTCGAAGACCAGCATTGTCGAAGTGTTCCCAGGTACTATCAATAGTAGGTAAGCGTCTATGAAGGGCTTCGCCAGCTCTTTTGCACCTCGTTCCGGGTAAGCGACATGTGTCTGGGGCGTGGAAGGGTGAGTAGAGTAGGGCTAGCGGGAAAACCGAAGGGATGCACTTCGTTTACGACACTCGAGATTGAACAGGACGTCGACGGGTTCGCACGAGTTATTTCCGTGAAGCCGATCTTATGCGGGTGTTTGTGCGGACGATGGGAAATGAGGTACAGCGTCCAACGTACCGTGTGCGGTCGACGCGCTGACCCGGCCCGCCGGTACCTGCGTATATGCGCAATTGTGTGAGCATTAGGTGTACACGGTGCATCAATCCGGCTGTGGCAGTAGGCTTTCGCGATGTGGGTGCTCCTGAAGGCCTGACGAGTGCAATGCACGTGAAGAATGCTGATGATGGTCGATGGTCATGCATGAGGCGGGTGAGTGTCGATTGGCGCCGGTGAACACAAGCAGAAGTTACAAATTACAATCGAGCGCGCTAGTTGCTACTCAATCCAGCTCCCACCCAAACGTCGTCTCGCACTCCGCCAGCCTCTCGCAAACGAGCTCCACCTTCCGGTCGTCCACGTTCGCGACCGAGAACCGGACCCACCGCCCCTCCTCCCCTTCCTTCTCGTCCGCCGGGGGCGCAAAGAACCCAGCAGGGAGCGTAACGACACCCGCCTCCCGCGCGAGCCGCTCGCATATCTCCTCCGCCCGCCGCCCCACGAACGGGTGCCGGACGAAGGCGTAGTAGCCGCCTTGGCACCCGATCCGCCATCGCGGGGGGACACGCGCCTTGAACAGCGCGTGCCGGTGCTGCACCGCGCGCGCCATGTCCTGCACGAACGGCCGGAGCGCCCCCGATGTGATGAGAGGCGCGAGTGCGGCTTGCGGAGCTCGCGGAGCGCAGATCTGTAGAGAGTCCAGCGCGGTGCAAAGCGCGGCGGTGAACGCGGGTGGGCCGGCGACGAGCCCGAGGCGGTGACCGGGGATGCAGAAGCTTTTGGAGAAGGAGAAGAGGTGGACGAGCGTCGTACGCCAGGCCCAGTCGAGTGGGGCGTCACCCACGGATGATGGTGAAAAGAGGTGGTGAGGCGCCCCGGAGGAGACGAAATCGCGGTACGTCTCGTCGAGCACGAGCGCGAGGTTGTGTTCACGTGCGAGCGAAGCAAAGGACGCCAGTAGATTCGGGGGATAGATCGCGCCCGTCTGCAGGCTGTGAGTCAGAAGCAGCATAGCGACGGAAGGAAGAGCACTTACGGGGTTGTTTGGCGTGACAAGGACGATCGCTTTCGTCTTGGAGGTAATGAGTGAGGCGCACCGCTCGGGTGATGGCAAGAAGCCCTCGTTGGCGTAGGTGTGGAGAAGGACGGCTTGATCCCGAGCATTGTGAGCGTCATCCTGTATCAAGGATATGCGAGAGACGCGGGTGCAGCAGGAAGGAAAGACATACTCGTGGTTGAAGTACCTGCCGAGATGTCGATGAGCGCACACGCAAATGGAGTGAGGAAGAGCCTACTACCAAGGAACGGGAAGGATGACCTCGTCTCCCGCATCCGCAAGGACCATTGCGGTGAAGAAAACGCAAGGTTGCACCCTGCGGTGATTACCAGATCATCTGCCAAGATGTCTGCGTCCTCTCCATAGCACTCTTTCATTTCCTTCGCCATGGCCTGGAGCAGAGCAGGGTCGCCAGCGTTGGCCAGGTAGCCGCAGCTGGATGGCGCGGCAGATGCAGCGGCCATGGCGTCGAGAAGCATATTGGGTGGGGGCACTCCAGGCACTCCTTGCGACATGTCAAGGAGTGGACGGGCCTCTGTGGCAGGGTAAAGAGCGGCCCATGCATAAGCCCGCGGGATCCTGCGACATATTGTGAGCAATCGGGCGTATCTGACAGCAAAAGGACTGACGGAGGACGCCCCGTGTTCTTGATACCCTGCGACAACCTGAAGCGTTGAGACATCCTGGCCAGACTACGCTGCATCCAACCTTGTCCTCGTCGTTATCTGCGAAGGCGGCCGCTATTTTCGACCGTGACTCCGCTGCGTCAGGCGTCCGGCCCGGAGGTAGCCGCACTCGAGAAACAAGCGCGCGTGCCGAGAAACGCAATCGACTTGTCTCCAACCACCATCTCTCGTGGCTGCACATGTACACCCTCACACGAGAAGCTCGTCGTGCTTTACTCTTATTGTAACGAGGCATGCAATATTAGATAATGATAAGCCGCCTTCAAGGTACGCGTTCATGTCGCTTCTGTTTGTCCTGGCTTCCCTTCCACAACCAAGTCTTCTAGCCAGCTCTCGCCGCATCGGACGGACAGCGTGGATGAGCACGACGCGTTCATAAGACGTACAGTCCGTAACATGTGCGATTCAAAACGCGTATATGCTATCATCTTGCCATATGGACTTCAGCACTACGAAATGAACGGAGATGACGCGCTTCCTTCTGCACCCTGACTGCACGTAAACACTCCTTCCGCTGCTTTCAAGTCTTCGCTGTGTACAGAAAGTACGCACCCACCCGCCTTCGCTTCTGACTGACACGTACACTGACTAGAAGCCTGGTCTTCCTCACAGGACCCCTACGGCCACCATCTCACGGGGCTCAATCTCCACCACGCCGTGCATGGAGCGCAACATAAGAACCGCGGCGTTGACGACCGGCGATCTCACACACCCTTCTACGCTCGCGCTCCCGCTCGCTTTCAACTTCCCCCCTCTTCTCACTCTCCTCGTCCGCCCTCCCAAAGAACTGCTATGTCCCTCCCTCGCCGCGTCGCAATTATCACCGGGGCTGCCGAGGGCATCGGCCGTGCGGTCGCCCGCCGCCTCGCGCGCGACGGCTACGACCTCGGCCTCTTCGACCTCCCGCGCGCGGCCCCACGCCTCGCCGACCTCGCCGACACCGTCCAGCGCGAGCACGGCGCCAAGGTCACGCTCGTCCAGGGCGACGTCACACGCGAGAAGGACGTCGAGGCCTCGTCGCGCAAGTCGTCAAGGAGCGCGGGGGTTTATACGCGGTGCGTCCCCGTTGTGCATCGTTGTGCGCGTGTGGCGGGCTGACGCGCGGGATCCAAGATGATCGCGAACGCGGGCGTGGCCGTGAATATGCCCCTCCACGAAAGTGAGTCTCTCGCTCGCCCACCCCATCGCGCGATCTCCTCACGCCGCTGGCGCGCAGCCCCGACGTCGGAGCTCGACCGGATGCTTGACGTTAACTCAAAGGCACCTTCTTCTCGTACAAGCACGCCGTGCGGCAGATGCTCGCGCAGGGCACCGGCGGGCGCCTCGTCGGCGCCGCGTCCGTCGCGTCGAAGCGCGGTTCCCGCAGCACGCCGCGTACTGTGCGGGCAAGTTCGGCGTCCGTGCGCTCACCCAGTGCGCCGCGATGGACTACGGCAAGCACGGAATCACCGCGAACGCGTACGCCCCGGGCGCGATTGAGACGGCGTTGTGTGAGTGCCCGGTGTACGGTTGTGTGGGACGAGATGGAAAGGCTGATGTGCGCGCGACAGTGGACAACCTGGACGCGTACCATACCGCGAAGTCCGGCGAGAAGCGGGGGTCTTGGGCGCGCTGGGTACGTCGAGAAGCGCGCGGCGTCGGGGGCGGTCGGGCTAATTGGGATGTGTCTAGCAAACTCACAGAACTTATGGGCCGGAACGGGCAGCCGAGATGTCGCCAAGCTGGTGTCGTGGCTGGTCTCAGACGAGGCCGCGTTCGTGACCGGTGCGTGTGGTGTTGTTGTCTCAGCTATGTGGTACTGACTCAGATGGATGCTCTTCCGGTCGGACGGCAGGTCAAAGCGTGAGTGTCCACTTTATCCCTGCTGACTTTGCTTACACGTGCGGCCTGTATAGTAATCGTTGATGGTGGCATGGTGTTCGACTGAACGACCACGCTCGCACCAGAAAGAGTGTACGAATACTGCCTCGCTGGCATTGTTTGCTCCCTGTTTGTACTGTCTCGTGTATCTCATCAAACTCTTGACATGACACGCTTACTTATCATCACCTTCGGAAACTCTAGCCTCATGTCTGGCTGCCATTGTCAACGCGATCACCATACGCCGTTCAACTTCCAGGCAACGCGCGCATGTCGTGCCCGTGTCGAATAGCGTGTGAACCATGTACGGTATCTATTGCATCGCCTGTCATTCACCTGCCACACACACCCGTACTACTAGGTCTGGCACGAAGAGAATGCCGTGTCGTGGGGGGCAGCAGACTCACGGTGGCGGAGTGTTAGTGTAGCGTCCTCCACAATTGCACCATATTATTGGCAGGTAATAGCGGATCCCGTGCCGCCGAAGGGCTTTCATGACCGTCGAGTGAAAACATCAGGCTTCCGACGTACATTCAACGCACAGTACGATGGGCCCTCAGTTGACGGACCGTGCTCGCCGTTCGGCGATATTGGTTTTGGCTTGCTCATATGGTGCTGGGTGTCGAAATAGACGAAGTTCTCTACGGCAAGTTCGAAACCTGGACCACGGTCGGACGCTGCTCTTGTGCCGCGCAACAAGTGCCTCATCCTCCGTCCTCTCTATCGCAACGTCGCACGCCACACTTCCTCCTCTCTTACGATGCCGGTGGCGGGGCGACGTACCAAGCCTGTCAGTACGGATCATCATGACGGCAGAACACAGCTGTGGGCGAGATGAGCGATCCGCGTGCGCACTGTTTGCAGGCTCGCGGGATTCGTCGTAATCTGCACAGCACTGCGCTGCACCCTGGGTTGGAGGCAAGCCGATGTGCCACCGCCTCGCTCGGACAGTCGGACAGGGCGTGCGGGCTTAGCGTGACTGTGCGCGTAACAAGGACTGGGTTCCGGCTCGGTCGGAGCTCGCACGGAGTTGCGTGAGCGTCGTGGGGAGATGTTCATGTTCGGGATGGCACGTGCATGGGGGTGGGGGCAAGCGAGTGCCAAGACGATCGGGGGGTTCAACAAGGCACGACAGACTGTCAAAGGTGTCCTCGAGCAGCCGCGACGGGTGCGCGCGGGGTTCTGAGAGGTACTGGGAGACTGGGAGCTTACGGCGCGGGGTGCATCTTGCGTGCGCTAGAGCGCGCTCGAGGGTGGATGAAGACGCGAGAGGGCCGACCGCGACGGAGGAGCTCTCGCGGGGCCGAGCGCGTGCCTGTGCCCGCTGCAGTGTCTCTCGATCCTGACTGGGCATCGCCCGCGACCCCGCACTCTCAAACAGCTTGCCGGGAGGCGTCGGCAGGAGAGGAAGGCGCCGAGAAGCGTGCCGGGACCGGGGTCGACTGGGATCTGTCCACCAGACTGGACGCGGGCTCTTTCCACCGTCGGCCATGTCTCGCCTCGACTGATCTCCATGTATCCCCACCCTCCTTCTTCGCCACGCTCTCCTTCGCTGCCCTGTCCCCCTCTCCGTCCTCCGTCCTCCGTCCCGCTCCGCCTCCGCCCTCCGCCCTCCATTCCACCCGTCGTCCACGCTGAACGCGGTCACAATCTCTGGACTGCCGCACAATGCCCGTCGCCGCACTCGCGCCTCGCGCGCATTATGCAAGCTTGAAGCGCGACGAGAGCGATCTTTCGGTCGCGATGAAGGAGACGGCGGTGAGGATGGCACCGTCATTGCCCTCACCCTCGTCCAAGATCTCCATACCAAGGGTGAGCATTTGGCTTTTGACTCTTTGCGTTTTCCCATTCGTCTTTCCATCCTTCCTGTGTCCATCGCGCGCCTCGCGCTGGTTGTCTGCCTGAGCCCCGGACGCCTTCCGCACCTGGGCCTGCGCGTGCGCACCAAGGCGGTCGCAGTCGCAAGACGCTGTGTCCAGCGTTGCAGGACGCGCGTCAGGTCTTCGCGAGCTTTCAACATTCGTCCGTATCTGGCTTGGGCACCGGCTCGCGTTGCGTACTAGGATGCGTCTTCTTGGGCGCATGCCGGGTTTCGTCCCTCGTCCGAGACGAGTACGGGTTGCCGAACACTCAGACGATATCCCGTTGTATCCCACCACGCATTCCGCGCCACGGCTCGTCTCCATCTCCTCCAATATCGACTGACATTGCTTTCCTTCTCAGCTCTTACGTCGCCCCAATTGCCTTCGGCGATGGCTCTTCGACCTTTCATCTGCAAGTCGACACCGGCTCCTCCGATTTGGTAAGCCCAACCATTGCTTTCCACTCTCACCAGGCAGGTGTTCAATCATCTTTCAGTGGATTGCTGCCAGCACATGCGGCTCGTCCTTGTGCAAGGCGCCCCGCGATACGATCCCTCTTCCTCCTCTCCCACAGGCCGTCACAAGACCTCAAGTTCGCCTCCGGAGAGGCAAGCGGTCCTATCGTGTGGGATAGCGTTCAGCTCGGGGGATACCAAATCTCGAACCAGGCATTCGGTAAGATCCTCCCCTCTGTTTTCTCCTTCCTCAACCCTCTCCAGTCGCCGCCGATACTGTGAACAACGAACCACTGTCGTCACAATACAGTGGGTCCTTGGTCTCGCCCTCCCCGACATCTCCTACATTCTAGCGTCCTTCCCACCGGCGCCGATGTCGCCGACGGTGCCACCGTCCGTCCAACCTCTTCTCCCTCACGCCCTCCTCGAACGCCCCTCCCGCCCGCTTCTTCTCTGTCGCCCTCGAGCGCCCAGGATCAAGAACCGTCCCTTCCGTGCTCGGGATCGGACGACATCCAAGCTCCCTCGTTCATGATCCCAGCAAGATCCAGTACGACACCATTGTGCCCTTATCGAAACCGTCCTGGTGGAAAGCGCACATATCCGGGATCACTGTTCACGTCGACGGCCAGGACAAGCCCGTCTCGTTGTCTGGCAATACTCCTGGCTCGGATGCAGGCAAGCCCACCGCTATCCTCGACACCGGCGTCCCCATCATCCTCGCCACACAGGCCATTGCCAATGGATTTACGGTGCGCTGGGCATCGGGCCTGGCTCGGATGGAAACTGTCAGTGTCGACCGTCTGCCTTGATCCCGATCCGCTAACGCGCATCCCCGCAGTTTACATGTCCTGCACCACCCCGCTCAACATCAGCATCCAGTTGGACAATCGCACCTCCATCTACCTCCACCCGCTCGACATGTCCTACCAGACCTCGACTCGACGCAGTGCCTCGGCTTCATCCAGACACCGCAGCAGTTCCCCGGCCTGTCCGCGAGCATCAACAACGCGGCGGATATCATCCTCGGCGTCCCCTTCCTCCGCAACGTTACACCGTCCTCGCCTACGACGAGCCGCTCCCCGATGGCACCTTCCCCCGCAACTCGCAAGACCTTAACCAGGCCGGGGCACGCGGCCGCACTTGGGCCTCCTCGGGCTCACCGACCCCGCCGTCGCCGCGGTTGAGTTCCACCAGGCGCGGTACTCGGCAGGCCATTGGGCTCGTCGCCCTCCACTCGACGCCATCGCCAATGAAGGGCCTGTCGATTGGCGTCAAGGTCGTCATCGGTTTCGCGGGCTTCTTCGGGCTCTGCATCCTGCTCTTTGGCGGCCGCTGGTTGTGGATGCGTCGGAAGTACGGGGACGACCCGCCGCGGCGGGCGCGACGGACGGTAAAGACGGCTACGTACTCGCGGCCCGCAAGCCGAGCCTGGGCGAGGACGATGGCACGCTGACCGAAGACGAGCTCCGGCAGCGGCGCTTCGAGGACTATCGCCGGAAGAACTCGGCATCCTACTACTCCGCAGACACGGCGCTCACCATGGTCGAGTCCAACTCCTCCGACCGGCGCAAGACTTATATAAGGGGCAACCCTGACGAGTTCGGCGCCCTCGTCCCCCTCGCGTCCTCGCGCACCCTCTCCGGCACGGGCACGCGTGCGAGCTACCTCGACGGTTGGGACGACAGCACCTACGTCGACGACGCGGCGCGGCGCGACAACATGTTCCTCCTTTCTCCGCCCCCGCCAGCCGCGTTCCGCTCGCCCTCGCGCGCCTCCGTGCACTCCCACTCCCACTCTCGCACCCTCTCCAACGGCCCCGACTCCCCACCCCACTCCTCTCATCGTCCCACCCGCACAGGGCGTCTCAGACCCCCATGCTCCCCGCGTCCGGGATGGACCTCGCGGATATCGCGGACCTGATCGACAGCGCGAGTCCAACGCGCGCAAGCTTCGCCGGGGTCGGATCCGGCTCCGCGTCGCTGCGGAGCCCACGCCCGCGCTCGGGCGCGGGGCCGGGAGCGGGCGTGCGCGCGTCGCTCGCGCTGAGCCCGAGCCCGATCGGAGAGGAGCCGCCGCCGACGCTGCGGTCGCCGCTGCGGCAGGCGCACGCCGTGCCCGATGACACGCCTCGGGCGTTGGTGGATGTGCTACCATCGCCGCCGCCACCAACGTTGGTTGCGCAGGAGGCGCCATAGCGTGTATCGTCCCCGGTCGTGGTTGACTCTTCTTCGTTTTATTTCGGGTTCACTAAGATCGACGCTCATTCGGCATGGGACTGGGTACGGTAACTAGTGTGTACGATATGTTGTACCTTACGCCGACGCTCCTGCTCGCCTTCGCTCACTCACTCCGCGCATCCCTACGGATCGAAACACCTCATCTCACCTCACCACAACTAACCATGGACTGGACCCGGACTCGGCTCGGCTCTGTAGATACTAGTTAAGTCGTGTAGTCACGTCCGCGCTCTCCCTGGCGTCTTCTCGCTCGCTCGTTCATGCTCTCTCCCTCACACCTCGGTCCCCGGCCTCCGGCTTGCTGCATTCGGGACGGGGCTGCTCACGCTCGTTGTCGCTGCTGCTGCTGCTGCTGCTTTTACGCTGCTCCGTATCTCCCACATACCTGCTTAATGAATACCTCATCTGATGTTTGGTTCTAGTTTGTGCCTGGTAGCATGAGATCTGTCGTTGGTGTCCGCAAGATATATGGACTCAGCCTTGGTGTAGTCTCGGCTCCAGGAAGTTGCTATTACAGCTGCCGGTTGCAACTGGAATGGTAACTCATCATCGTCATACGCCCCGACCCGGAGGCTGACAGATCGACCTTCACGCCGTCCGCCCATGGATGCCCAACGCCGAATTCCGTGATGACAGCAAGGTGCATACTTCTTCTGTTCTCTGAGTATGAGTATCCGCTTCACCCAGCTCTCCGGCGTCACCCGCATCTTAGTACAAGGTCGCGGAGGCCGCAAGGACCCCGTTGCCTGCGCGGCTGGGGATCGTGGTGACGTCGCCAAACGCGACGGAGAAGTGCGCGCGTACATCGAGGATCCAGGATGTGAGGATCGTGGCGTTGCGAGACGAGCCGGCGGCGAAGAAGAATCGGCTTGAGGCGGTGAACGGGAAGCTGCAGGAGTTCTGAATGCTTGTGTAGGTGGGGCGGTTTATTGGATAGTACATATGTGGCATGGTTCGTCTATGATAGGTACATGTTATTACGGTCCTTCGCGTCTTAACAGCGGGCCAAGCGTTCGCGTGATTCTGGTCCAAGGTCTCGATGGGTGATATGCACATCAAGTATGTAAGGAGTCCTCAGTGTGAGCATCGTGAGTACGTATGTACTGAGTAGGCAGAGCCGAGTCGCCAGCATTCTCCCCGAGTCGTGCGACGCGCGCCTGCGACTCGACGCGCGTCCATCGCCGTCATCGACGTCGCGCACAATCAGCCAGCAACGACTTCTTCCTCCACGACACTAGAACCGATGCGCAGGTCCATGCTCGCCTCTCACCCTTGTCCTGCTCCCGCGATGGCTGCGGAGCCGTCCTCGCCCGTCCTCACCTCCATCCTCCTCGGCCTGGTGAGCTTTTTGCATCGCCCGCTGTATGTACACAACCTCTCAGGCCGCGCACCAGGTCTTCCGCAAATTTGAGACGTACAGCATCTCCACGCACGCCGCGGTCTTCACCCTCCCTCCGCTCGTGACCGCCATCTTCAGCGCGCCCCCGGGCCCTCCCTCCGTTTGAGCATGCGCTCAAGGTCTCGTTCGTCGTCTACCTCGCCACCCTCGTGCTCGCCATCCTCGGCTCGCGCGCTACCCCGGTCCACTCGGATGCAAGTTTACCAAGTTCTGGATGGGCGTGGTTTCGACGAGGGGTTACCAGCACCTGTGTCTCTCCATGATCAGTACGGCAACGTGGTCAGAATCGGTGCGTGTCTACGTTCTCGCGTTCTCCTCGCGGTAAGCATGTACACGTCCCAGGTTCTAATGTAGTCCGCCCCCAGGGCCGAACGAGCTCTCCATCCGCGTCTGTGGTAAACAAACTCTACGGCAACTCTGGCGTCCCCTCGTACGTTCCATCCATGTCCCCCGGACAGTTCACCCCCTCACCCTTCTCCGCAGACTATATCGGCCGCGTGCTCAGCGGCACCAACCTGCCTATGGTCGGTCTCATGGGCACAGATGCGCACCTCCGCCGTCGTCGCAACTGAACGCGCGGCATGGGGCGGAGCGCGATCAAGGGATATGAAGAGCTCCTCGCCAAGCGCGCGAACCAGCTTCTCAGCCGGTTGGAGGACCAGAAAGGCCAAGTGGTGATCATGGGACATTGGTTCGAATTCTTCTCGTGAGTGTTCGGTCTATTTCATGCATTTGGGGTGCATACAAGGACCGTACGCTGCCGCAGCCAGAAGCGTCGAGTGCGGTCGGTGCCGCCGTAGCAGCTCTTCTAGCACTCGCTGCCGGTGGTCGTCATCGTCCCGACGGTTGTGCGCACACCCAACGAGGCGCGCTCGTATACCACGTTGCGGATTTTACAGTTGCGAGCCCTGGAGCCGGCGATGTTTGCAGGCTCGAGGACTGTAACTGTCCGCGTCGAGTGTATACAACATGTGCACGTGTTCGGGATGTTCATACTCTTTCGTGCAGCTGACAGCTTTCTTAGATATGACTTTATGTGCGAGATGGCATTTGGAGGTAGTTTGGAGCTGCTCGCCGCCGGCAGGGATGAGGAGAAGACCCTCGATGATGCCATGGCGTGAGTGCTTCGTCTCCTCGTGCAACTGGCAAAATGTACTCACGGGCTACAAAGTATCGGGCATGCTCCTGGGCTCGCCATCTACGTCGCCAAGATCCCAGGCGCTACCGGTAATTTCAAGATTTTCCTCGACTACTGCATTAGCTTCACCATGACGCGCCTCAAGCGTGGCTCTGAGCACAAGGATCTGTTCCACTATCTTGTACGTTCTCTCTTGAATTGCATCGTGTCATGCTCATTGTGTCTCAGAACAACGAGGACCTCCTAGACAAGCCCTCTCCGCCTGTTCAGCAGCTCGTCGACGATGGCGTGCTCGCCATTGTCGCCGGTGCTGACACCACCGCGAGCGCGCCGACTGTGTTCGTCTTCCGTCTCCTCGAGCATCCGGAAGTGCACGAGAAGCTTCGGCGAGAGATCGACAAGTACTATCCGGCTGGTCAGGACGCGATGGACGTCAAGAATCACCGCGAGTTGTCGTATTTGACGGCGTGCATGTGCGTATTGACTTTCAACTGACGTAACTACCACTTAGTAGTCTGTCGTAGTAACGAGACCCTTCTTATTTTCCCATCCGTCCCTGGATGCAGCCAGCGTCAAGTCCCCGTTGACAGCCCCGGTGTTGTCGCCGGCGACCTGTACGTCTTACCTCAGGGTCACGCTTCCACCTACCCTGCTGACTGCTAGTCCCTCCAGTGTGCTCCCACCCGGCACGATGTTCTGGTGCCACATCTACTCGCACCATATGAGCCTGGCGAACTTCGCGCCGCACACGACCGACTTCTGGCCCGAGCGCCGGCTGCTCGCGTCCGGCGAACTCGCCGAGGCGCGCGGCGTATGCAACGCGGACCTGGTGCACAACGAGAGCGGCTTCCTGCCATTCAGCGCAGGCCCGATGAACTGCGTCGGCGAGGCGCTCACGATGCGGGAGATGCGCGCCGCCGTCGTCGCGCTTCTGCGGCGGTTCGTGCTCAAGAAGGGTGCCGGCTGGGACACGGCGTGTGTGGGAAGGGACTACAAGGACTACTTCACCACGCTGCGGCCGGAGTCCCCGGTAGAGGTACCTGTGCTGAAGCAATGAGCGCAGAGGGGTGTTGTCGATGAGGGGGGTATGTGAGTGCATGCTTGGTTATGTACGGCATGGCAAAAGCTTATCGCAAAATTCACCGACCGGCAGCATAGCCGCGGCTTCGTGAGCGCGTTGGGGCCCAAGAGCGACGCGCTCAAAACGTACGATAGGAAACCGCAGCTCGATGCCACCTATCATAGACCTTCGGCGAGGCGTCGACATCGCCGACTGTACAGCCTGCGTTTTGCCTTCATGGACACGTCCTTGCCATCCTCCACCTCCTCCGGCCATCCACCTCTCCCTCTCTCCTCGCCAAGATCGCCTCCCGCGAGCCATGTGGTCCCCATTCGGCCCCGCCTGCCGCCTCCATCTCCGCCGGCTCCTCGCACACGCTCGGCTCGCCCTCGTTCTCCTCTGGCGCAACCTCCTCTTCTTACTCCGCCTCCCCGCCGTCCCCCAGCTTTTCGCATTCTACTTCATCTGGTGCTATGCCAACCTGGCAGTCATCGAGTACCTTGGGGGTGTCTGGGACCCCGGCTTCCCGAAGCTCTGGATCGCATGGATTGCGTTCCTCGTCACCCTCCCCACCTCCGCCGCGCTCCAGCTTGCCTGGTTGCTCGTGAGTCCCTTTTTATGCCGCAGACTCGCCCGCAAGAATGGCCTCGAGGGCGGCGATGAGTCGGCTCGGGACCCCCGCCCCCACCCCCGCTCGCCCCGGACAAGCACCCACGCCCTCCGGCGCCCGGCGGCCACGCGCCTCTGGGGCACGCAGATCGTGTTCTGCGTGCTTATCATCCTCCTCGGCCACTACCAGTACCGCAACTACGAGCACCCGGGCGACGTCCGCTTCCGCCCTGCGCTCCGCAAGGCCCTCGCAGACCCGTATCCCAAGCGCAGCGGCTACGCTCCCCGCGCGGAGAAGGTCTTCATCGCCGCCGCATTCCACCAGAACGAGGAGGTGCTCCCGTACTGGACCAAGACCATGCTTGACACCATCACCTGGCTCGGACCCGACAATGTCTTCGTATCCATCGTCGAGAACTACTCGAGCGACAAGAGCCCCGAACTCCTTCGCGCTTTCGAGGCCGAGCTCGACAGGCGCGGCGTCAAGAACCGCATCCTCGTCCAAGACGAGTCCATCAAGCGGCCGCCGAACATGGACGGGAACCCACGCATCGAGTTCCTCGCAGCGATCCGCAACCAGGTCCTCGAGCCCCTCCTCCTCACCGGCGGGTACGACCGCGTATTGTTCTCGAACGACATCTACATCGAGCCTGAGTCCGTCCTCGAGCTGCTCGAGACCCGCGATGGCGACTACGACTTCGCCTGCGGCCTCGACTTTGGCCACTTTGGCGCGTACGACATGTGGGTCCTCCGCGATCGCGTCGGGCGGCTCACCGCCGGCATCTGGCCCTACTTCTTCGACAAGGGCTCCTACGACGCCGTCAAGAAGGAGGACCCCGTGCCCGTCTTTGCCTGCTGGAACGGCATCGTCGCCTTCCGCGCAGACCCCGTCCTCCCCATTGCGCTCCGGGCGAACGCGACGCTGTCAACAACGCCCATCGAGCACATGCCCCCATCGAACCACCCGTGGACAAAGGAGATCGGGGCGAGCCCCGCCGTGACGGCACCGTTGCGGTTCCGGGCGAGCGCGGATGGCGAGTGCTACTCGTCCGAGTCCTTCCTCCTCCCGTACGACTTCCGACGCGTGATGGCGCTCACCAAGATCTACGCGAACCCACGGGTGGTGACCGCGTACGTGTGGAAGTACTACGTCTGGCACAAGTGGGTCCTCCGCGCAAAGTACGTCAAGTGGTTCGTCGAGCGCGTCTACGACGGCGCATGGATGCAGTACGCGCGTATGATCGTCGGCGATGGCGACCAGGTCTGGACGTGGGATGGGGTGGACTGTCATCCGTGGTGGTGATGAGGTTGGTATGATGGTTTGTAGAGGCTTCGCATTCCCATATTTTTTTGTACCAGCTCTCCACATCACTTAAAAGAGGCATGGCTTTCACGTTACAGTCTCCGACTAGCCTAGCCTAGGGGAGGGAAAACCTTTACATATCTCCGCCAGTTTTTATGGTACGTTCTTCGTTCTTGTTGAGCTCGCAAGCCCTCCTTCCCCCCTTTCTGTCTCGCCAAACGCGACGGATTTTCGCCCATGGACGCCCCGGGCCGTTGCGCTCGAAGACGCAGTCCTCCTCCTCCTCATGCCAACATCTCCCACCCCATTGGTCCGCGACGCCTCCGCCGATTCTTGCGCGGCCGGACGCGTTCTGTGCGCGTCTTCAGTTACTTTCAGGTGCGCCCCTCCGCGTCGTGGAACGTGCCGTCGTCATCGACCTACGTTGCGATCACTGCTGCCATCGACACAGAGATTACCCTCGAGCCGACCACCACCCCGTCCCTCCACGAAATTTTCCCTGTTCGAGGGCCGTATGGGCTTGTTTTGTGCGTGTATTTCACCTCTTCCCTACGAGCCGCTCCGTGCTGAGATCCGCCCCGCCATCGTCCCGCTGCACGTCGTCTTCTGCGACAGAAGAGCACCCATTCCACTGCCAACTTGATGCCCTTGTCCCCCGACAGTTCGGAGCCCGTTTGCGACGCGGCTGGGTTCGTTCTCTTACCATAGTCAAGGCCTTTCAGACGCACCTTCGCGCGTGCAGGTACGCCCAGTCCCTCGTTCGCGACAGTCGCCACATCATCGCCGTCCACACCATCTGCACCCTCCTCGACGCTGGCGATTTTGACCACCGCGGCGGAGTCTCCCGTCCATTCTGCACGATATTTGGTATGTCTTCTACCTTCGTCATCTTTCATTGAATGCGCCCTTACACCCGCTTAGCTTAGCTTAGGTTAGGTTAGGTTAGGCAGGAGTAGACGCGCCCGAACGGAGCCGACGAAGGAGGCGGAGTGAGGAGTGCGGCTACGGGTGAAGAGAGTGCTCGAAAGGAGGCAAGATCTGGGGGTTTCCCCTCCAGAGACCTTTCGACTTTATGCAGTCTCATCAGGCCTGTTATTTCGAGTAAGTCAATGATGTACTTAATACGGCGAATCTGAGCAACTCTTATGGCTCTACTAACCGTAATGCACGGCTCATGATTCGCTGCTATTCTCGTACGTCGCAGTCAGCATGTCCGACCGGGATATGTATGTCCGATCGGGGATTGACTCAGCTATTTCCAATTGATAGATTGGCAATTGGTTATAAATAGCCGCTTCTGGAATGTCCTAGAACATGACGTCAGTGATCACCTGATAAGAGAGGCCTTTTTTTAGGTCCGGAGGGTAAGAGCTGCATGAGGGGTAGAACTAGCGCCCACCCAAAAGGGCGCGAACCATCGCGCACATGGACTGTGGGTGTCTCACAAAGCATAGTTGCCATGTGCGCGATGGTGCGCGCACATCCGTGTCTGCGATCCATCGCGCACATGGCGCATAGTTGTAATGTGCGCGAACCATCGCACATATGGTGGAGTGTACTAGGGCGTAATGTGCGCGATGGTTCGCTCACATCATCGTAGACAGTGTCTCAAATGCCTGCGATCTATCGCGCACATGATGGAGTGTAGGGTGTAATGTGCGCGATGAATCGCACAGTGTCATGTACGTAATGGGAGCAAGTCCCCCAGCAAGAGGGATCTTTTACACAAATTCCTCACAGGTAGATGCAAGCCAGTATGGCTTAGTTGCTTAGGTGGCTGGGTGTCTCTGTTGTGATCGATGACACTCGCAGTTATGCATGGAAATGGCTCGCGTCTCATTGACAATGTCATTTATTTATTCGTCCTCTTCGTCTTCCTCATCTGACCCCTCTGCCATCTCCCAATCTGGGTCAGAGAGGGAATCATCGGAGACCACACTCTCCTCCTCCTCCTCCTCCTCCTCCTCGGCAGTGCCTTCGCCGTCCGAGGACCCCACATCACCTTCACTCTCCTGCGGAGAGCTGGTGTCGGGTGGCCAGGTCGTTCTTCTGGCAAGCCTGACTTCGAGTTCCTGTACCGCTCCAGTGAGCGGGTTGGTGAGAGAGCCTCTACGAAATGCTGGGGGAAGTGGTTCAGACATGGAGACGGTCGGACGAGTGGGCAGTGGTACTCACAGCCATTCAATATAGTAGCTTCAGTGACGTTGACGATGCCGTTGCCGAGGATGTAACCTTTGAGATGGAGGAGCGTGTTTACGACAAATAAGGAGCGAGTTTCCTGAAAGACGTTAGTTGGTGGGGCAAAGAGAGGACGACGAGTGATGTGAGAACTCGCCTCATCCAAGTCGGAGAGGTCAAGTTGGATTGGGTCGGGAAAGGGCCATGATTGATTGATGGTGGCGGTTTGCGCGACGAGATCGGACTACGAGGAGAATATGAGTGCCTCGTGACGGGGTGAGATCATTATTATAATCTGACAGTACGTACGGTTCTGACAACGCATGTGACGTCGATGTCGCAGGCGGCGTAATTCAAGAACTGAGCGGACATGGGTGGTAGAGGTGTGAAGGAAAGAAAGGAATGCTGTTCGGGGAGTGGAGATGGGCTTATGTATGTGGAGAGTGGGAGAAGGAACGGCAGTATGTGGAATTGCGCACGGACCTGTTACGAGAAAAGAGGGACGTGTGTTGTCTGCGGGATGGTAGAGTGCTTCGTAGTTGGCGCAAGCTCGGGTACTGATTTGGACAGCACACCGTCTGTTTCTGCGGCGGAGGATTAACGGTAATATGACAGCTTACAATGCTCACGAACCATCGCGTGAGTGAGTTCCAATGTGCACGGACCATCGCGCGGGTGAGTTCCATTGTGCACGGACCATCGCGCGGGTGGGTTCCAATCTGCACGAACTATCGCGGGTGGGTTCCAATTGCACGAACTATCGCGCGGGTGGGTTCCAATCTGCACGAACTATCGCGCGGGTGGGTTCCAATCTGCACGAACTATCGCGCGGGTGGGTTCCAATCTGCACGAACTATCGCGCGGGTGGGTTCCAATCTGCACGAACCATCGCGTGGGTGAGTTCCAATGTGCCCATCACCTCACGTGCCATCAAGTGGCCTCCAATGAGCGCGATCCGTCGCGCACATGAAGAACTCCTTGTCAAGGGAGCTTCCGCATCGTGTGGCGCAATATTGCGCATCGAAGATCTCCTCTTTTTGGCAATGCCATTCCTGTGCATCGTCCCGGAGATGATCGATGGATGCACCATAGGTGACGCGTCCGCGAACACACGTCTCTCCGCCTCTCCCCGTCATCTCTGGACACCGAGAAGCACCCCACAATTCTGGTTTGATTTCTCTATATCTTCATTTCTTCCATCACTCCCAAATAACACCAAAAAAATGCCCCCCAAGAAGGTGCGTACAAGGCCGGCCGTCTGTTGACACACTGCGTACTGATTTACGACTGCTGCAGAAACAACAAGTGGCCGAGTCCGAGGTGAGCCCGAGCGGACGCGTGGTGATATTGGTGAGTCGTCAATTTGACGGCCGATCTCTTGCATAGGATGGCGCCTCAACAGCGTCGGGAAGTGGGACGAAGAAGCGGACGCGCAAGGAGGCGAGCGAGCCCAAGCAGCGCAAGGAGCCCAAGGAGCCCAAGGCCGTCAAGGGGCCGTCTCGAGCAAAGAAGATGAAGGACGAGGTCGACGTCGAGGCGGCCGGTCGCATGTTGCAGCTGTCGCAAACGCCGAGCACGAGCGTAGCGAGCGCGACGAAGACCGGGTCCAGCCAGACTGACGCGAAGCAGGAGTCGGACTCCGCACAGCAGGCCGAGGCCGACAACGCCTTCCTCGGGTTCGGGCGAGTCGACTTCTGCAGCCAGGAGAAGATGCTGTGGACGTCGGGGTCGACGAACAACCGCGCGCTGAACATGGTCCACGTCGGCAACATCGCTGAGAACCTCGTGCTCGAGGGGGTCTTGGACGACGACCCCACCCGCATGTTGATCTTCGAGATCTACCCGGAGCATCTCGACGAGAACACCGTCTTGGCGAAGACCGCGGACGATCCGGCGAGCTTTCCGCTCGTCAAGTTGAGCGAGCAGGGCAAGAGCTTCTCGCACCTCTTGCTCGCGGGAAACCATCGGCTGCACGCACTGCTGGATCGCCAGAAGAAGGACGCCGCGATCCTCAAGGCGCAGATCCGCCGGCTGAAGGAGCTCGAGATCTCTGTCGGTCTGACCGAGGAAGGGCAGACGACGCTGCCCCAGCTCACGGAGCATGAGCCGATCACGGACCTGAAGCGGGAGATCGCGGCCACGGAAGACCGGATCGAGCACATGAGGTTCTGGAGGTGCAAGTTTTATCACTCTGGTGAGCATGGGTGGGTAGCTGTCAGGGTGACTTTGGCTGACGGCTGGCGCAGGGAAGCTCACGGATCGGGCGCGTCGTCACCTCGCGCGGAACATCACGCAGCACATCCGCGTTCAGACCGGGTGGGAGGCGTTCAACGCGAACGTCGCGGTGCTGCGGGACGCGGTCATGTCGGAGGCGGTCACGGAGGAGCCCGGGTCGGGCAAGTTGTGGGAGGAGCAGCTCAAGAAGCTCCCGAATAAGCTCGACCACAACAACCAATACGGGTCGTTGATTCGCGGTCGGATGTCGGCGAAGTTCTGCCTGGAGATCGCGCTGTGGCCGTACCTTCAAAACGACGACAACCTGGACCCGAAGGAACTCAAGAAGTACTTCAAGGCGGCTTCGGAGACGAGCGGCGTGCTGCCGAACGGACAGGTGCGTATCGTTCGTCGAGCGTAGTTGTCGCGATTGATGGACGGCATGCAGTTCGTGCTGGAGCTGCTGTACCGATCGACGTCGCAGCTGAGCTTCCTCGCGTCGCCGTCGAACCTGGTCGCTGGGAGCACGGCTCAAATCGTGGCGATGGAGTACGTGGACGCGTTCGCGGCGTTCCGGAAGGCGACAGAGGAGGTGCAGGCGACGCGGAACGGCGGCGAGGAGCAGCCGTACCACAAGATCAAGGAGCACGAGGCCCTGCACACCGCGCGCGAGAAGTGGGTGAAGATATCGAACACGAGCATGGTCGGGGTGAAGACGCCTCAGCGATGCGTGTTCCCGAACGAGCTGTTCGAGGACATCGACAAGGTCTTCGTTTCGACGCTGCACCCGGTCATCCTGGCGCGGGACGCGATGGGCTCGATGCAGAGCTCTGCATGGCGTGAAGCGTTGAAGAAGTATTGGCAGGGGGTGAAACAGGCTGGGAAGAGGCACTGGGACCACGCGTCGGACCGTGCGACGATGGAGGCGGAAGCCGAAAGCGAGCAGGAGACGACGAAGAAGCAGAAGAAGAGCAAGGCCAAGCAGACGGACGTGGGGACGGGGCCGGAGGAGGCGACGCGGGCGACGCTCGCGCTAGCGGCGTTGAAGGGGGTGCGGGGGAAGATCGACATACTTCACTACATGCAGACGGCCGGTGCGGAGCTGGCGTTGCCTTTGCCGACGAAGACGTTCATGACGGACCTGTTCAAGTTCGCGGGGAAGATCGAGCAGAGCACGAGTATGGTGAGTGTTCTTTGTCCCCGACATGTGGGGATTGTTGTGCGCGCGACGGATCGCGTGGATGAGTTGACCCGTCCCGGGTCTGTACGACATGTGCACGACTCATCGCGAACATTCGTATGTGTACGTATGCGCGCGATGAGTCGCGGGCACTTGACTGTTGTGCGCGATGAGTCGCGGGCACTTGATTGTAGGTGCGCGATGAGTCGCGGGCACTTGATTGTAGGTGCACGATGAGTCGCGCGGATTAATGACTGTACTTAATGTGCGCGATCATTCGCGGGCATGCATGTATTCAGAAATCGTGCACTGACGTTTGTCACTTGTAGCTGGCCCGCACCATCAATCCCGCCCTCGACTACCTCATGTTCAGGACGGGCGAGAACAGCCACGACCACTTTGGCGAAATCCGTCACTGGGTCACCACCTGCGAGGACCACGAGCGGTGCGAGTGTGTGTGGCAACTCGTGAGTCGTACGTCTCTGTACCGGGTCGGCTTCGTTAACGCAGTCCTGCCTAGTTCCTGGTCTGGTTCCTCGACCACGGCGAGGAGCTGTGCGCGCTCGAGGTCATGTGCAAGGCCGGCGACGTCGAGCTCCTCCGCTACATGTCTCGGTCATCCCTCAAGGGGATGAGCGAAGTCGGCTTGTCTCTCCTCGCTGATCAAGGCATCAACGACTCGCACGCGCCGCTTCTCGCCGTGGTGGACCGCAATTCCACCTTCCGCCAGACCCTCCGCAATCTGTACGCCACCACCAACACCGCCATCCATGTCGACGCGTCGAGCGGGTCCGGAAAGGGAAAGAAGAAGGAGGTCGCCAGACCGTCCCTCGACAATGTCGACGAGCCCGTCAGACGGATCGTCGCCGACCTCAGCATCAGCGAGCTACCCTCTCGCCTCATTAAACTCCTTCCTCAGCTCCGCACGACGCCCAAGTGGCGGCACAACTGGGCTCGCCCCTCCCAGAACGACAAGCAGACGACGCCGATGGGTATCGCGTTGCAGATGGCGCTGTCCTGGGAGGCCATCAAGTCCGTCATCGTCCTGCCGTTCTACTCCCCCCTGGGGAAGGAAGTCTTCTCCAGCTTCGCCGGTTCTGGGCGACGCATTCCACCCCTCGCCACCCCCCCAACAACTTCCTTGTGCCGGGGAAGATCCTGCAGACCTGGTCGTGGTTCGCGTTCGAGTGGGAGGAAGGCCTCTCGGTAGAGGAGCGGACCACGCCCGAGCTTCAGGACCTCGTCAGCGTATTCGGCCAATCGGTGGAGAGCTACAAGGTCAACCCGCTGCTGGGGTACTTCCGTGCGACCCTCGTGAGGCAGCACAACCTCGCCGAGGGCTTCAAGGCCATTCGCGAGCTGACCAAGTGCATCGCCTTCCACAAGGACGTCTTTTTGCAAACGGACGAGAAGAACAGCTTCGTCATGAAGCCATCCTATCTGGGCGACGTGGAAGAGCTGACGGTCGCTCCGGTGATTGACTGGCTGCAAAATGTGAGAGCGTGTGGGAGAGCGATAAGGCGACGGACTGACAGGACGCGTTGCGCAGGTCATGATTTGGAACGTCAACAGGCAGAGCGTGCGTCAGAAGGACTACACGTATTTCTGGGTGCCGCCGAAGGAAAGGCCGCACGAGTACGTCGCTCCGAAAATCTTGGCGTACCCAAAGGCGGCAGACATGTTCGCGTTCTCGAATACCACGGACTACTCGACGAGGTTCAACCCCGAATTCCGCAACGACCACACGCGTCGAGAGACCAAGGTCAAGGAATACGTCGAGCGTAAGCTCCGAGACTTTGACGTCGAGGCGGCGCGCAAGGCCCTCGACAGCGAGAAGACCGCTCTCATCCTTGCCGACATTGCCGGTGGGCCTTCGGCTGACGTGGAGCGAGAGGATGAAGTGCCGCAGTTCGCGAGGCAGGACGAGGACGTGCATATGGAAGATGGTTCGGACGACGCGACAAAGGACAAGGCCGGTGGAGCCGATGATGGACGCGCCGCTGCAGAGGCCCGGTTCCGCGACGAAGCGAAGGCCAAGTTCAAGTACCCGCAGGACTTGATTGAGGACGCGTCCGCGGACGCCGAAAGCTTGTCGTTCGCGACCTTCGCTCGTGCCAGGACTGAGGTGAAGAAGAAGGACAAGGCGGCGCACGAGGAGAAGATGCGGAAGCAGCAGTCGCCGAGTCGCCGAGTGCTTCCGTACTTTGGCGGTGCTCCGGAGTTCGACGTTCACCTCAACGAACTGCGGGCCGTTCTTTCGGTGGGTGACCAGGACGACGAAGATGTGGAGAAGGACGCGGACGAAGGGGAGTCCCTGGCCGCCGCCATTGCCCTGGTCGACAAGGACCCGTCGTCGGCAGAGGACTCGTCGTCATCCAAGAAGGGCACCAGGACTGGCACAAAGCCGACCCCCTCCCAAGGCGCCACGCATGCTCCGACCCCCGACAGCGACGATATGGACTTTCACCCGAGCAGCCAGGGGTCCAGTACCTCAACGACATCCTCACAATCGACTGACGCTGTGCGCTCATCGACCTCGGACGGGGAAGACATTATCATGGGCAACGCGGAGCCGGACATCAATCCGGGTGAGCGACTTTAACCCTCTGTTATCATCTGCGCGACGGATCGCACGCATTTGAACATACACGCGGCGATTCCGGTGAACGAATGTGCACGATCCATCGTGCACATCGCACGATCGTTCACAACGTCTGCGGTTCAGCGCATGTGTTCGATATGCGTGCGATCTATCGCGCACATGGACTCCATCACACGTAGGACGAGTGTCGAATGTGTGCGATCTATCGCGCGCATTCGACATCCATCCTATTCGTGATCCAGTCCGTGTGCGCGATCTATCGCGCGCATTCGACATCCATCCTGCTTGTGATGCAGCCCATGTGCGCGATAGATCGCGCACTTTCATATACTCCACGTCAATGTCATATCAGCGCTGACACTCGCAACATACACAGACGAGGTCACTCCCAAGGGCAAGAAGACTCGCAACGCCCCCGTCAAACGCGTCGCCGACCATGTCGAGGGTATGTTCATACCCGTCGTCTCCTTTGCGCTTCTTTTTCATCATCCCGTCTTTCACAGGCAACCCAGACGTGTCCCCCAAGCGACCTCAGAAGAAGAAGGCTCGGCCCAGCAACGACGGCAGCCGCGACGCAAGCGACAACGGTCGGGCTTCTCCCAGCGGCCTCTCGCTGTCCACGCTCACTGCGTCGCTCCCGGAAGCTGTCCAGCCGAAGCAGCAGCGCAAGCCGAAGCCAGGTTCAAAGCCGGGCCCCTCCCGAAGTGCCACGGCAGCCCCTCACGGTGCCGGTTCTTCAATGGATGTCCCTCGCCGAGCGAGCACTGCAAAGCCCTCCTCTCGTGTCCGGAGCAAGCCTTCAAGTTCCAAGCGTGTGGCCTCCGCCTCAGGCTCCCAACCGTGGGGTGGTTCAGGCTTCGAAGAGGACGAGGATGCGCCCGAATCGGACTAAGAGAACGGTCCCTCTGGGGCAGCCGAGTCAGGAGGTGTAGATGGTCATCCTGCGTTCCGTGACGACCGTCCAAGGCTGTACGCACATTGGACTGGTTCTCCTCATCGCCTTCCTCGTCGTCTTGCTCCTCATCGCCACCTCCCCGTTGCGCTCGTGGTCTCCTTCGCTCTCGCTATGCCTCGCCCCTCTCGCCGCCTCCACATCCTTGTACTATAATGCCCCTCTCTGCTCCCCGCTCCCCGCTCCCCCGCTTGGACGCTTCTCGTCATACCTCCTGTCTCCCTCTCTCCCGTTCCCTGCACGTCCTCCAGGACGTTTCATATTACATATCGTTTGGACTCTTCCTGCGGACTGTGGAGGCGACCATTGTCGTGTATGCTCCCATGCTCCCCCCGACTGCTTTATGACGCTGTACGATTACGTAGTCCCAAGCCCCAGTGGCAAACTGTATGAATAATGTTGATGACCCTAACCGCGTGACCGGAGCGGAGCGCCCAAGTGATTGGCTTCCTGAGCACTGCCTCCGCTAACTCAACCAGGTCGGAGCCAAACCTGTTGCGGTACCCGATCAGCGAGGCTAACTCTTAATGGAAGGTTCTTACGTTGGCTAGCCGCCAGGTCCTCCCTTGATGAAACGAAATTGGTTCGAGCTGTCTGACTCTAACCTTTACCCGCTGCAACCGTCTCAGTCGCTTTCCACACCCTCGCTCCAGTGCCCTCCCTCGCCCACCGTCGAGTTAAACGTCTCTTCACTCGCTTTCACAAAATGTTCGCCGAGGCCGTCCAAGACACTGGCTCCTTCGAGCATGCGGACGTCCACAACCGGTAAGCACCGGAATTTGTGACACGTGGACGGTCCCTCATTGTCGGGCTAGGAGTGAAGTCGGATTGGCCGGTGCAGGAGTCAGGGCCCTAGAGGACGCCCCAGAGGTGTTAGCTGTTCACGCTTCGGGGCAGGGCCTGAGCGACGTTCCGCCGACGCTCGAGTCCGACGGGAGCTTGACGCAGGCTGATCTGACGGCGTTGGTCGTTCAGAGGGTGGTAAGGGATCACATGCTCGACGCCGAGGACGAGTTCAAGCTGCTTCAACACACGCCCATCGCTCTGTCGAAGCTGAAGGATTACTGCGAGAACGACAAGGTCTCGGAAGCGTTGGAGGTCATGCAGGAGAAGCACTGGATTCAGCCTGACCCCACCATGTACATCGCTGCCAACGACGCGAGCGTCGTCGTCGACGTTGTCGAGGTAAGTCTCTTTTTGTCCAGTGTAGGATGTGGAACCGTTTTGCTGAGAAGGGTAGACTCGGTGGGACGCGGAGATCCGGATACCGTGCGCAACTGGGTTCGGAGTGGTGCTGCCCCATCCTGATCACGCCAATGCTGCCACGTTCAGGGAGTGGCGAGTGAACATGCGAGTGAAGGACACGTCGTACCCGTTCAAGGGCTCTCGCGACAGCTTCCCTTTCGATCCTACCGGGCGCCTGGTGTACTTTGGGAAGACCGGCGGGAACGCAGACATTTACATCGGATGGATTCCCAACGCCATTCTCGACGAGAACCACAAGTGGCCCGAACACGGCAAGAATCCCACCTCTCCGTCGAAAAAGCTCGCTCTGGCTACGCAAGCGATGATCACCCACTTTCTTCACAAAAGCAAGTATCGCACCATCAATTGCTCGACTACTTATCCGCCCCTGGACCACGCTAAATTCAAGGCGGCGAGCAATCTGTTGTGAGTGTTCGATTTCTCTCTTCGACTCGGGGGTTAGCGTTACAACGCCGACGCGTTGTCCCGGTCCGCGATGGTCCGCGCACATGATGATGGAAGCTTACGCACCAAAGAGAGGGTGTACAATGTGCGCGAACCATCGCAGACCTCGGATGAGGACCCACGATGATCAAGGGTTGGCACAATGCGCGCGATGGTTCGCGCACATGGCGGAAGTCTAGACGTGGAAGAGAGTGCGTACAATGTGCGCGAACCATCGCAGACCTGGGACCTGGGGTGAGGACCCACGATAATGTGCGCGAGCCATCGCGCACATAGACACGTCTCCTTCCTCCCATATATTATTATTGACGCAAGCCTTCTGTAAAGGACGGTATCCGCCAACACACTCTCGATGACTCAAGAAGAGTTGGCCAGCTTCAGTCGCAGCATGCGCGATGGATACCAGGCGTGGTACAACAACGCTCCTAAGGAATACAAGGAAATCCCGCAGATGGTAAACTCCTTTCCCGGGGCAATCTACATTGAATTCGGCCAAGACTACCCTCTGGAAGTCAACCTAGGAGCCCACCCAGAACGGCAGTGGTTGCAGCACTACAACGTCGACGAGTTTTACTCCATGGGCTTTGCTGTTACATCCCATCTTCGGTGAGTCAATGACCCTCCACGAGCGGTTTGTCACGTCGGACGGCTTCAGACGTCGTTGACACGCTCTGGTAGGGCCGGATTGATCGAAGAGCGCACTCCGATCCCCACCGAGAACCTAGAGGGACGTCAGCTGTACACCACGCCGGACCCACGTACAAGGGAACCGATAGACGACATCGCCGATTACCCACTGTTGGACGAGTACGACGACAACCGCGAGATCAGAGTATACAACGAACAAGGCTACAGAGTGAACCGTCACCACTTCCAAGTGCGGGAGATCGCCCCTGCGCTGCTGGCGAACGTCAAGGCGTCCAAGAAACTGTTTGAAGGTGCGATTGATTTCCGGACGTATCATCCACCGCCGCGTTGTCTCACGTCGGACTGGCACAGCGCCCGCTCGTACTGTGTTCGAAATGGAGGACGACCAGGATTTGATCAACGACACGCCAATCAACTACAAGGCGACGTACAACGCTTACCCTCTCGGGTTCATGCATTCTTGGGGGCACTGGCAATCCGACGGGTTCACGCTCGGGCTACACAAAAAGGTGGACGAGCTGACCAAGAAGGTGTCCGCAGGGGATGCACCCGCTATCGTGCCGGCGTACTCACAGGGGTACAACACGGCCATTCACCGCGCCCGGGCCAGCGCAGAGACTCACATGGCGCAGCGTGGTCTGATGACGACAGTGAGCAGTGGGGCGTGGGCGACTTCACCGAAGGCGAAACAGTCGGCGCAAGATCTGTTGGACCTCGTTACGACCCGGAGCCCAGGGGAGTGGTTGGACAGCCAGTTGGAGTCCGACGAAGAGACGTTGTGGCGACAAGAAAACAACTATGTCATCGTGTTCTTCCGCCTGAAGGGGACCATCAACGACGGCGCGAAGCTGTTTCTGCGCATCATTCGCCCGCTGGCCAAGCTCGTCACTCACCCGACGGTGTTTGACCCTATGGTGGACTGTCTCATCGCGATCAAGGACAACGTGAGTCTGGTGGTCGTGCAGCCGACGACTCATGTACTGATGTTCGGTATCATGTCAGAACTGGCCGGCGTTGCTGAAGTGGACCACGTTCCCGACGCGGTGCTGGATCAAGGCGGTGTACGAGACGCACATCCACAAGCACCTCGTCTCGCAACCTCAGACGCTGCCTCACCCCGTCTGGGTGGAGGTCATCGCGATCCTAGATCGTTTGTTCAACTACGCGTACACCGGCGCGGCCAGGGTGTTGTGCGGTGGTGCTATGAAGGCACTATTCGCGACGCCCGCCGTCACCATGCTGGGGTTCCCGATGCTACGGGAAGACATCGTGTGGATCGTTCGGGGAAAACCGCGAATTGACGCGAAGCAGTGGCCGGTGGACCATCAATTTAAACGGCCGCACACTGTTTCTGAAAAGGCGATTCAGTACGCTTATGGCGCGGAAACTGCTGCGGTGAGTGGGATCGTTTACATTCGTCCGTGAATGATGGTCTACGTGCGACGCGATGGGCACAACGTGCGCGACTCATCGCACACATGAGGATGTGCGCGATGAGTCGCGCACAAGACGACAAGCTCGATGTGTGAGAGTGCGCGCGATTCATCTCCCACATGGGAAACGGGTCGCTGTGAGACAATGCACGCGATGCATCGCGCACATTGGCATTCGCTGTCCCACGCAATCCATTGCCACCCATTTTATTCCGGAGTTGTGGTTCGCTGATTCGATTCACATTGCTTACAGTCATACATGATACATTTCCGTTTGCTTCTGTCCACCGAGCACACGCACTGGCTCTCGAACGACATCCCTGGAGTGGCCGACTTTCCTCGCGTTGCCTTTATCGCAGAGCTCATTTACGAGGCCTTGGTCTCTGACTACGTCGAGTTCGTCAACACCGAGGTCAGCAAGGACATCAACAAGATTCTTAAAGACCCCAGTCATCGCGATCACAACTCCGTAAAGGACAGGCGTTAGGTTAGGTTAGGTTAGGTTAGGTTAGGTTAGGTTAGGTTAGGTTAGGTTAGGTTAGGTTAGGTTAGGTTAGGTTAGGTTAGGTTA